AAAGCATTTTAGGGGTCCTCGAAGCCCTGCCTCATCAGTCAAGCCCGGCAAAGAAACGTTGTATTTTTTTTTTTTTTTTCATATTGACAAGAAACGTTTTTATTTTCGGGTGAGTTTTCTCGTGTGTATGCCAATGAGAGAAGTCTACTTCACACTAGTCCTTACTTATATCCATTTAATAAATAATTATCATAATTAACCTATACCTTCCCTTCCCCCTCATCACGAACAGGGTACTCCAATTCACAAGGGGTCCGCAAAGCAATGGACCTCTTGGCGAATATGTGCTGCCACCTAGAAGCGGGTTTCACATGCAGCGATTTTGGCCCTAAAGCGGCGCGATTTCTGCCGTCGCGGCGCTCGTGCCGCTGAATTGCTGGTGCTGGCTAGAGCGCCGCGACGGCAGAAATCGCGCCGCTCTAGGGCCAAAATCGCTGCATGTGAACTAGGCTAGACACGCGACTGGGTTCGAGGCTAACTGGCGAGAAAACAATGCGCGCTCAAGGCCTCTCCCACCCGTTCCACACCCAAAACGTCAGCTACATCCTGTTCACCCATTGAGGCGCTGTGACCTAGATACTGCTCCCCCAAACTCGCCTTTGTCCCCATCGTACGTTATCTTCCGCCCCGAGATCGACACAACGAAACCATCTTCCCTCTCTGCTCGGCCAGAAGGAAGAGAAAGAGGGTACTGGAACCATTTACTCTTGAACCGATGTTTCTACAAAAGGTCCATTGGTTGAGAACCACTGCTTTAGATTTTCAAAACGACCGACTTTTCTGCCAGTTTGAAAACATGTCTTTCACCCTGTTTACTTTTGGAATAGTGTTACTATATTATAGACTACTTATCTTCCTAATCCACCGACTTTGGTAACCCATCCTCCCGCCAAAGACCTTGTTTGTGGTTTTAATAAAAAAAAACAAAAAAAAAAAACTTGCAAGTACAGTTGTCGGGCGCCGCCATCTTGCTGCGGGTGTGGGTAGATCATTCGATAGGCCACAGGGCGGCCATCTTGCATGCGGCGAAATAGCGTTTTTGCTAGCGTTGCAGAGGCCGGCGGCAGCGTGCTGAAGACATATTTTCAACTCGTTCGTCGTCATTCACAGAAGTTTTTTAAGTCCCTGTGTAAGCGTTGGGAGTTGCCGTTGAGAACACGTGGTAATTTTTACGAAAACGCAGTACCGCAGGAAAAAGGCACAACTCGTCAAAAGCAAGTGTCGCCAGTCTCGTAACGTCATCAAAGCTTCCTTGGCACGCCGAAGTGCTGCGTCTCTGTGCTTTCGCACGCCTGGATACCAATCAAGATTGAACGCCGTGTGGATGTGCTTTGCGAGTGCAATCTGCGTGAAGCCGTATGTAAAGGCACAACTCGTCGAAAGTAAGTTTCGCACCCAAACAAAGCGTTTCCATCCACGGCGCGGCCAGACTAGTTGTCGAAGCGCGGCCGCTTACAAACGTCTGTACAGCCTGAAGTTAAGCAGGGAACACATGAGCGACAAAAAAAGGGCACCGGGCGGCAGTTTCTATGGCAACTTGCGCGCACACTTTGGCGTGGCGGATCGGCATAGGTCCATATCACAGCGTCCTGGGCTGTTGCTATGGGAATCAGTGCGCGGCGCCCTTTTTTGCCGCTCATGTGTTTCCTGCTTTAGACTGCCTCAAGGGGCGGATTGTCCCAGATGCAGATGAGCAATTTAGCCCGTACAGTACAACCAGTGATACACGACCGCACGTCGGTACAATGCCCATCCAGATCGAAACGGAGTGGGGTGGGGATTGAAGTTAAACCCAGGATGTCAGAGTTCTGCAGCGCGAGCCTTCGCTCCACGTGCTCCAAGTTAGTGTGTTAGTGGGCGCAAGCCAACTCGGTCATCGATCCCCCGCCTTGTTAGAACACAAAGTAATAAGATAACTCGGTCGATTACTTCCCAAAAAAATATATTCAAATCATAACAATCCAAAAAGTACGCGATTAAATCTGATTACTTGTAATAAGCACCGTGCAAGTCTCCACGCATTGCTCCGCCACGGAGGTACGTTTTTCCCTTAGCACTATAGGTTGTGCTGCGGCGAAACAAGGTACGCAAAATCGCGATGCTCTTTTCAATTGTGGCTTCGCTGCAGTACACCAGTGTGCGATGAGAAGCACTCTCAGCGAAATTAACCCGACAAAACAAACCACGAAACTTTCCAAGTACTGGCAGTGTTCGATGCAGATATAAAGCCGAATGTTATACAAGCAGGGACGGCGCCAAGGGGAGGCGAAGGGTGGCGGGCGCCTGCTCTAAAATGTGTACTGTCACCCCAATATAAACGAGAATTGGATAAACAAGAGTGTGAGTTAGGATCCCCATCGTACCAGACGCTAGCCTTTTTTCTTTTTTTAATTTCCGTTGCGAGACGCAGATAAGCAGCATACTGCGGGTGAATGTCTTTTCGTAGCATGTGCAAAACAAGAAAGGAGCTTGCAATGCGTCTAGACGAGCTAAAGCCGGGGTTACAGGTTAAGAAGGTAGCGGCAAATGCCCTTCAAAGGGAATCCTATATCCCTCCGCCACCTCCGCACCCAATAACGTCCCATCGTTTCCGTGACGTCGTGGCCAACGCGCGAGGAGGGTCTTGCCTTTCTGTACATATTTGCTTTATCTTTCGACTGTGACTTGGGATTGTGGAATCCACGAGAGGGAGATTAGAGTTTTTCCCCTCCGATGGAAACAAATACGACTTTTGGGGATTAGCTTCCCCCTCAGATAGATACAAAGGCCGCTTTCAGGGGCTCGGTTCCCCCTCCAATGGATACAAAGGTCGCTTTCTTAGAAAGTGGGATCGGAGACAAGTTGGAATCCATTGAAGCGGAACAAGGAGCGTTTCCAGTGAACTCTTCTTTCGTCTGCGGAGAGATTTGAAACGGGCGCATCACGCTTGTGGGAGGAGCTTCTCCTATCTTCTTGACTTGTAACCGACTATAGAAGAGCTAAGAGCGGGAGGGAGCCCGGGGCAGTAGGGGTGCCGACTGTCTCCTCTAGAGCCCCCTTTCAGTTGACAGGGTGGAAAATAATCGGGCAGCTGGTTGCGGGAGGTTTCATAGAGCGCTGTGTGCTCCCCGCGCTTCCTTGCATATCTGTGATAGCTAACAAACAATCTTGGTCTAGGCAGCTAAGACATTTTATACTGACCAATAAGCACAGCACCAAGAACTTTCAGCTCGCCACCAAAAAGCCTCCAACGCCGCTGTCATCGGACTTTTTACTGACTTCAGTCTGTTGTCAAACCACAGACTATCGGAGCCTGCCTTCAATAATGCGATGTAGAATCTTCAACTGTCATGCCCGCTGGGAGCGACCACGTCTCTACTCGGCCATTGTCTCCCATTCAATTATCATCGCTTTCTAGATGACAAGTCTCGAAAGCCCATGCCTCCCCGAAAATGCTGTGTGCCTCCCCACTATGGAAAACCTGGAGCCGTCCCTGTATAAAAGACGATAATCACAACCTTGGCGCAGTTCTTGATGTCCTCAATGTCGAGACAATCTTAGGAGTCAGTGGACCTGGAACGCTACCAAGGTGAAAATTACCAAATGGCACCAGTCAAGGGGTCAACTAACACCAACCAGGCTGACCGGCATCTCTGCCCTCCCTACGACATTGTGCTATGAACCCGGCCGCCAGACATCTCCATTTCTCAGTCGATCGGCAATGGCGGCGGAGACTATGACGTAGTGCGTTTCATCGATTTCATTTTTAATGTGAAAGCATTCTGTCCCGTGGAGCGAACTGGCTTTGTCAGCTTTTAAAGCCTCACTGAATGGCACCTAAGCTGCCCCGTCCCCATGGAGCGAAGCCTGCCGTCTCTAGCAGCGATTTGATGGATAGGCTACCATTGGCTGGCGTGCATTATAGTCGCAAGGAACGAGGCTTCCATTGGCTGCCGTGCGGCGTAGCGGCGTAGTTACAAGGAGCGCCACCCCACAAAAGCCCTCTCCATGGCGGCGTCAGCGGCCCGGCCGCCGCAGGCTCTGGGCCTCCGGTAAGAGGGAGCATCCAGCCGCACAGTCAGCTAAGGGAGTGGAAGAACGACATTCTTGCTTTTGCATTCACAACTCAAGAAGTGCTTAGGCGTCCTCAGAATTTGTTTACTTTGAATAGATTTCGGACCAAACCAGGGATGATCCGTACGTGACAGTGTGTGCTGCAATATGTAGTGATGTGGAAGAAACGTGCATGAAATGTGGGCCCCTGTATCCCTGCACGGAAAGGAATTAGAGATAAGGAAAGTAGGAAACAGTTTCGATTAGGGCTCGCTTTGTTGGACTTGCCTTGCAGAGGTAAGTTTTCTTGAGAACTATGTTGCTGTTTAGTTCCATGTAATCTATGTAATCCTAACTTGGTAGAGTTTTACTCAAAGGCACACTTGTTCACATATCCCTGGAGTGGTTTCGGTCTAGTGTTAGAATCCTGCCGAGCACGAGAGCCGACTAAAGACGACTATGAATCATCGTGAAATACGCAACGACCTGTACGTTCTAAGCTCCGTGTACATATTAAATACCTCCTACCTTCGATGACTGTATTCGACGAATTTGGAGACATATTTGACGACGAGTGAACAGGTTAGAACTCGTCTGGCGGCTCAGCTTCGTTAGAAGCCGGACAAATCGGTTGACATCACGCCGATGTGGAATGTGGAGAGGAGGCATTCGAGAGGCCTGTCAGTCTAGGTAGGGTTGGGTCAACAGGGACCAGCTGAGAGATCAACACGGTCCAGTTCAGGGGTCAACTTCAAAATACAAGGTCCAGGAAAAATCGATCAATGCACAGTACATTACCAACAATCATATCCTAGAGTACGTGATTGTTCCAGTATATCATACTGGAGTAGAATGTTTTCTCTTTTAAGCTAGACAAAAAAAAAAAACAAAAAAAAATGTCCTTACATGCTTTAAAGACAAGTGCCATTTATGCCCTCGAAACATTTTGACAAAAGAAACCCACCACAAAAGTTACAAATGCATTCATTTATTACTATTCCATCATCCAAAGTGATAGAGAATATGTTACACATATTTTACAACCAAGATTGCTCTTCATTACCCGAAACGGTCGCACCGCAGAGCTCGCGAGACGGTCCGTCAATCAGGCACAGAAGTTGTCACAATCAAATCATTATCTTCATTTATCGTCTGGAGTGACCAAAGTGCAGTCAACAAAGTGAGTGCAATTTGTTCTAATCTAATCTATGTTTCTAGGTATGAATTGCAGCTAGATAGTCAAAAAGCAGCCCATGATGCCAAGCTTCTTAAAATTCCAAACTCCTACTCAAAATTTTATCCTACAAATACCAGCTAGTGGCTTTTTTTTTTTTTTTTTTGCAAGCGGAGATGTTTGCGAGGTAGAACTACTGCATCTTTGCGGAATTTGTACCCTAACTTGAAATGCGAGTAAAAAAAAAATGGATATGTACATGCCCCGTTCTCTCTCGAGACTCGAGCAATTTCAAAAATACAAGTTCACGGGGATTGAGAACGTCAGTAGAAAAAAACAGCAACAAAAAAAAACACCTTCCCTACGATATGCACCTCCACGAAACAAGCCAGATATCTGTTGACTAGCTCCTTCCTCCTCTTTATTGCTCTGAGAAAAAGGCCACCAACGGCCTATTACGAAGACAACGAACCTAGGTCACATCCAAACGTTCTCCAACGAAACTTCGTTACAGGCGCATTGCTCAATGCCAAGGTATTCGAGAATCCAAGAGAGAAAAGGCACCAGCAGTAACGCAACTCGTTCTAACCCTGCGCCAACTCCCCATTCATTTATGCGAGCCTAGTTTTGCACACAAGCGTTCGAGCAACTCTTTGAGGTGAAGACGAAAAACCTGAGGTAGACCACCTTCACATGGTCCCAACGCAATGGAATGAATTAAAAAAAAACAAAAAAACTTCTAAGACAAATACAATTCTCTACGAGAAAAAAACAACAAAAAACCCAACTCCTTCTTTTTCTCACAAATTGGGGCCAGCAATGAGCTGCAGTCGGTGCAGCGTGTCTTGAAGAAACACGGAACGCCAAACTGTTGCTCTTGGGCAGACGCCCGCAAGGCACGTTCTTGGTGGGCAGACAACTTGCCAAGCTGGGCGGGCGGGCAAACGTGCACCGTGACGGCGGAGTGTTCGTATCCCCGGCTGCCGTCGTTTCTCGCGCACAAAGGAAGCGGGCGCAACAGCGTTGCAATTTAGAGTCGCTCGAGGGGCCGTTGCAGACGACGCGAGGTTTGACACGTGCGGGGGGGAGGGGGGGACGGAACTGTTGCGGAGTTTCCTCGGCGCTAGCTCTTTTTGCCCAGTCGTTTCTGGAGGGAGTTGTTGTAGACCCAGTGTTCTCCGACCTCGTGGAATACCTGCGAGGGAACGGACTTGAAGTTGGCAGAAAAAGACACAAACTGTAAACCGAATGGGTGGCGCCCGTAAAAACACGAGCAAGCCAAATAGGTCTCGTAGGTCTCGACAGAGGTCTGAACAGAAATACAAACAGGCTGTGTTCGTTCGCTCTATGCTTCCCAGTCACACGGTTTTGTTTCTTGTAAGACAAACAAAACTGACCGATAAAGGTCAAGCAAAAGAAAACAAAAAGTTGCACGAGTGAACACGCGGCACTCAAGAAGATACATCTGCACATAGCTCTCGAGTAAGGGGAATCTAACCTCTATTAGAGCGGTAAGAGACCCAACAACAAACTAAACAAGTGGTCAAGTGCAGGTTTTAATGGACACCGACCATCCAGCATTTCATAGATGACACTAAGCTGCATAGGGGTGTGTTATCATTGAACTCAATGACCGTCTCAACCAATGTAAAAAAAAATATGTTGGCTTCTACGGTCCTTGTAACCTTTCCAAATGTGTGTGCCGCCCGCAAAGCTTTGAAGTTTTAAGTTATCCAGCCAGTGACCAGCCACGGAGAGTAGACTACTTTCCAAGCATGGGGGAGGAAGCGGGTCATTTTCCCTCCGTACGCTCACAAAAAAGAGAGGAAGGAGGAAACTTTCTCTAGCAAGATCGCTCGTCAGCTCCGCCCGCCGATGATGTAGGTTTCCATGCAAAGCCCACAATGTAGAGCTCAAATCAACGTCGTCCCAGACATTCTATTTCGAGCACCACAGAGTCCCGAGGCAACATTCTAAAAATGGTGCTGGTGTTAAAAGACAAACCAGGCCCAGCACCGGTCACCGACTCCTGGTGTCAGGGTGGGCTCACCCTATTCTGCCACGTCACATTGTTCTCCTTGCGCTCCCGGGCCTCGCTGCGTTGCTTCTCCTCCAAAAGTGACTTGCCCTCCGTCGCCAAGTTCACGTCCTTGTTTTTCAAGGCTAGCGTCACTTCTTTCCACATCCTGCAAAGAAAGCACTTCATACCCCTCTGCGAGATGAAACTATTCTTAATAAGCCATTCATTCGGTTGTGGCAAAGTCGTGAGCTTCAAGAAACCATGCTGGAGGTTAATACGAGCGTTCGTAAATGTGGTCAAAACGGAAGATGGTATAATACTTCCAAACCAAACAATAGTGCAAGTTACCGCAACTTGCCGCCCTACTAGTGCTACACCAAACTTCATTTTCCCGGGTTCGATATTTCACGAATTCCGCCTGGAGTGGCTTCTGGGAATATTCTGCAGGCACAAAGTTTCACGATTTGAAGCGACACGCAGCATACTTGTTACAATGGGGCGATATATCCGCACAATCTATTTTTTGCAGTATTATTCGAGTGGCAAAGTTAGCAAAAGCTAGGTCTTTGCCAAACTTAAGCAGGTTCTAGTATTTACGTACCAGTAGTGGCGTCAGACACACTTTGACTTGTCCACACTGCGAGAACATGCCACAACAGCTTAACGACACTTGACGACGTTACGAGCACGCTACAGAACGGTCGGAAGCTTCGGTGAACGCTAATTGAAAGCGTGGCCCTTCTGAATGGATCTATCTGCCGAAACCGACGTGAACATTTGGTAACCATCTTCACAACCTAGGGAAAAAAAGCTTAAAGTTTTTAACGAGCCTAACTCACCTGCGTGACTCGTACGGCTCTTGCTTCTCGATGGGCTTCACCACTTTCTTAGTTATGGGCAAGCTTGTCGTGTCCACGAACACGGCCAGGTCCTGCACAGGCAGACAGCGACGAGACATAGGTTACAACCGCGCGGAACCTCGCCATCTTGTTTCACCGGTACCAGGTTTGGGTTTCACCCATCATCGTACTATTTACCCAAGAGCCAGCTGCACCCGTTCGGGTGTCCTTGCATAAACAGGGCTAACAAGCTAAAAGTGCGTCGGGCTGGCGTGCCAACAGATGCTCTCTGCATTAGTGAGAGACAAACATAAAGGCACCATGGCACTGCCCGGGCTCTTACGTGTCAATCCACCGTGTCAGTTATTCTCGCAGCCCCCCCCCCCCCCCCTCATTGGGAGGTCCACAAATCGTCTTTCGTGAACGGTGGGACGTCAAAACTTCAATAGGATTTGCGGCGTTACGTGCAGGGTTACATTGGACGCTGATATATTTCTAAGATTTCAGTTAGCAAACGACACAAGCCCCACTAATCGGCGCTGGCACTGCTAAGATGGCAAATGCAGGAGAGCCAAGCAAACTCGTCAAATCACTGTATTGTAGCCGGTTCCACTGCCAGAAGCTGATGTCAAGTGATTGGGCAAACGACAGGGAAGAATGGCAAAGTGATGGGGCATCGCTCACCCCGCTGGGTTTCTTGGTGGTCATGACCCCGTTCCACTCCCCGGTGACCGTGAGGAAGGGTCGCCGATCGTTGGGGGGAAAGATTTCAGCTGTCAGCTGATGCCGCCTTCCCCCAATGATGGGCTGTAGAGGGGAAAGGGACACACTTATTAAAGAAAGCAGCTGTATAAAAACACTCTAACAAGATAGTGTGTTTATGTGTTCTGTCGTCTGCTAATGACTGCGCCTTTCAAGCAGCTAGGGAACCTTGAGAGGTCTTGAGAAAGGCACAAAGCAAGACAGTGTGCACAAACCCTAGACAGAGTTTTAGCACTTCGTGTTTCAGTGTTTAAAAGGCTGATATCAGCATTACTGGTACAATAAATACTTCTAAAGCATGGAGGTCACGGTTGTGCCATGTCCTGCAGTCTACAATGTGCCTTTTCATTTTCTTTCTCATTCCTCCAGGGCCTTAGGACCTGTTGATTGTACCTCTCTCTGTAGTACCTTGATTGACTGTAGAGAGATATATTCAATCAATCGATTAGCACTATAATAAACGAACCAATTGGGAGGAAAATAAATCCACTGATTGAGAAAAAAAAGTAATCAACCATCTGATTGATAGAGAGGTGCAATAAAACAATAGACTGACCTAAAGTCAAACCAACCAGTCAATTTCTTTATCGAGAGGTACGATCAACCATTCAATTAACATAAATGTGCAATCAACCAATGAATTGATTGACTGAAAGGTACAATCAACCAGTCAATTGATTTATTGAGAGGTATTACCAACCAATTGACCGAGGGTACAATCAACCAATCAATTGACGAATAAATAAAAATTAAATCATACAATTCAATCAATTCATACATTGACCAATCAATTCCTTTGATTGGTCAATGTATAAACAGACAAGTAAATTTATTAATCAGATACAATCACCCAATCTATTGACCAATCTATAAAATCATCCACTAAATTGAATGATTGATCAAAGGGTAAGGGGTGCAGGGTCCCTTCAAAAGAATGTCCTCAAGCCCCGCACCTTGGTGTGGAACTGTATGGTGCAGCTGTAGCCGGTCTTCTGGCAGTTGATGTCCACGGTCCCGCCCAGCTCGATCCAGGGCACGGTGAAGATGGAGCGGCCGTAGCCGCTGGGGAAGGTCACCGTGTATTCCTCGTCGTGCCGCAGGAACATGATGCAGCCCTGGCCCACGTTGTGGACGCCGATCGACATGCCCAGGAACTTGGACTTGGTCCAGATGTAGCCGCAGCAGGCAATGCCCTTGGCCACATGCTCCGCATAAAAGGCAGATACTGCACGGGGGACAGCGGCCAGTTGGAGCTATACCAAAAAGCAACGTCTCCCACTTCGATCATTGGGTAGTGGATGGATAGATGAAGGGCAGTGACTATACCCTTAGTATTGGTGGGTAGCTTACACCACTTAGCCTAAAAACATTTGCATTTCTCCCCTTTAAGTTTTGCCCTAAATTTTGTCTCACATTTGTCCTGGTCGGCGGAAGGGGAACTAGACACTACCATAGGCTTGAGTTTCACATAAACAAGATTATTCTCTTCTCCTACCAGCAGCTAAAAGCTTTCCCAGCCAAGGACCTAGCCGGAAGGTACTCCCGCACCGAAAGAGCGCCTACTTCATATTTTCCGCCATTCGTACCTACATCGCAGAAAGGCGCCCATTCGGAACTTTACATTACAATGCCATCCACTTACGACGATAACGAGAGAACCCGAAAATGTGATCGTCGTAACCGATTGTCGTCGTATCTGGACTAGAAACTGATGGTTTCTAGTCTATAAACTCTAGAAACTGATCGTTACAAGCGGTATGCACGTGGCATCGTTACGAGTGGATAGCATGGTGGCCGACACGGATTTGCATTGCTTTTGTCCGCTCGGCAGGGTACAGACACAATCGTTTCAAACCTGGAGGGTGATGTGACACCTGCTCGGCGATGAACGAGAGGTCGTTGGAGGTGGCCCACGGGACTGGGCCGTCGGGCACGGGCACCTGCAAAAGAGGCGCGAGACGGACTTTTATCGATTGTCCAGAAACGACCTCGGCCTCACTGCAACCGCCGTTCTTCGTTTGAGAGATTACCCGGGCAGCGCTTTAGACATCGTGGGCATATGGATGGTCAAACAACTCTCGTGAGATCACTTTTGTGCATATGCACGTCCAACAAGTTGTGTTCTGTGAAGTATGAGGCGGTCGGTGGTCACTACTTTATCGGCACAGAAAGAAACTGGTTCCAAGTTAATTTTTAGATATATGCAAGTTAAATAGACGTTAGAATAGAGCAAATAAGGTGGATGATTAGAGGGATTGATGTTAATAGTTGCACCCTTTCTAATGGGTGATAGCTTGCACCAGTTAGCCTAAAAACTTGTAAAACATAATTCCTCCTCCTTTTAAGCCAAAGCATTTGTGTACCTACCAGCAGGCCGTGGAGGGTGATTGCCAGGATGCCCCTTGGAGGATCGGACAAAACTAAAACATCATCCCTGCCTTCTTTCTTTGTAAATCTAATTGCCATACAAAAAACAAAAGAAAGTAAATTTGTTCAAACTTGTTTGATCTGATTAAAAACAAAAAAACAAATGACTAATCTTAGATGCACATAAGTAATACCTTAATTCACCACATAGAGAGGAAAGTCAACAACTCTCTACAAGGAGTTTTACTCTTCATTTTTGTGATGGTTCTCGAGGGGACAAGTATGGTATGTCAAAGGTTTCAGCGGGCCACAGTAAAAAATCCGGCAAACCATTAATTGATCGATGCCGAAAACTCAAAGATTTAATTCACCAAACCTGTGAGAACGAAAGAAACAGCAGGCGTGCCAGTGCGAAGAGATTACTATACCACGATAAAAGGACAAGCACGTTAGAAAGTAAAAGTAAAGGAGGCTTCTCTACTTTGTGGCATCATCTTGACACAGCAGAGGTTCTAATCTTCTGAAAAGAATGCACGCCATTGCTGCTTCACATTAAAAATACTAGTCTTGAAATCGCTTCTGTAACGCCATACTGGCAATCCTCATACAATGATCGCTGCGAAGACCACAGTGCTCGGAGAGAGAGAGAGCGGGTGCCGTGGCTCACCCCAGGCTTGTCACCAATCCTCCAGTAGCAGCGGAAGATTTCCCCCAGGATGGGGTTGTACGGCTTCTTGGCCACCGACGTCTTGCGACCGGCGTGAAACGCCGACAGGTACCACCTCACCACCTCCACCATCCGGTCCCTTGGGTCCTGATGGTCCACTATGCTGCACAAGGCGGCGAACGTCGCCGTGACACCGTCGCGGCATGCAAGCGCACGGAAGAGCCGAGAAAGCGCCACGACTGGCACGCGCGGAGAGTTCTAACTCCCAACTAAATATCGCATCGGTACAAGATTCGTTTGCTACACCTGCAACTTCCTGAAAGGACAACAGCAGCTCGTTCGAAGCGGGTCTAGTGAAATGCGTCTCGTCCTGCCAGCACCTTTACCGACAACTTACACGGAGAGCAAGTAGTCTGCTTCTTGCTCAGGAGTTGCGGTCCCGTCGGAACAATGCCGATCTTCGATTGAAAGGATAGCGGGTAGACCTCAATAGTAGATGTTTGCACTTCTCGATGCGAACGTTCCCATTGTTACTCCTGCCACGGCTGCTGTGATCACAAGCCTTGCATGTGGCCAGGGTAAACACGAAGCGACGTGGGAGAGGCACCTCGGGAAACGCCGACAGCTGCGGAGACGCGAAACATCCTACGGCTGCTTCGAAACAAAGTGGAGTGCAGCAATGGCGACAGTTCTTTCCATGCTTGGAGCAGTCTGAGGAGAAATGATGTCCGGATGAAATTATCAGCAAACTCAACCTAATTATTTTTTTTACTCAGTAAAGCTGCCGCGGGATGTTCATAACCAAGGTTTCTTTGACTAAATATACGGTCAGTGTGTTCCACAGTGTTCCCATCCACCTTTAAAGCTGCTGCCACTGTTTATTGGCTCTATTGCTTTTATCGAAATATACCGCATATATTGAGTTTTTTTGCCATACCGTTGACTTTATTATAACAAGAGATTACTGCACTTCCAAATGTCTATAGGCACCCACCACACCCAGCGACTGAAATCAAACACCTGGGTGCCAAACATTTGGTCTTCAGAGGAACCGGCCGTTTTTAGAATGCTAGTTGCGCATTACCGAAGAAGGCAACTGGGAAGACGCAAAGAAGGCAGCTATGGGATGATGTGGAATGGAGCAGGGCCTCCAACTCACCTGACAAAGAGGTCGGGATGCGCGAAGAAGTCTGCGTACATCTCGAGGAGGGAGCGCCGCTCTAGGATGAAGGTGGGTAGCGTCACCTTGGTGAGGTCCATGCCAATGCGCACCTGAGACAGCAGGTGCGAGAACACGCTCTTCTGCCCCTCCAGTGATGCCAGCGCTGGAGGACAAACAGCAATGTGTTTTTCAGCTCGTTTGCACGAACCACTCGTGCCGACCTGCAGGCGCTTTGTCGACCCTGCAAAGCTGCCGGCTATGCGGAACCTACTCATTTAAAAACTCTACAAATGTGCAACAGGTCTTTCTTTTTTTTTTTTTTCAGTATTGACATCAAATATTGCAGTTTTAATGTCAAGTACCGCCCGTTCAATGCTAAACACTGCCCTCTTAATTCGGAATGCTGCCTCCGTCATCCTTTTTTCATTTCAGTATTTTCTGTGTAGTGACTGAATAGCTTTTTGATGCCTCACATTAAGAAGTTCAATGAAAAACAATGAAAGCTGGGAAGAGACAAACCCCATGCCCAACGATTGATCGAAAGATCAACTTTTCCAAATTTGCCTTTGCTGCTCACAAACTTTACACACTAAAATATGGTGCATGCAACATTGAACAAGCTCACTTACACTCGTCTTCCGTTTCTTCATCGTAGGCAGCTGCAAAAATAAGAAAAGCACATGCTATCCAACACTGAACACACTGCATGGTTACAAAAAGAAAAATAACCTGCCAAACCAAGCCCAAGAACACGTAATGTTGTGACTCCGTAGAGCAAAGTCACAAAAGTTTTAGAAGATAATGAGTGTCTACATGTCCATACCAGGCCGTCACTAGTGCAATAAGCCTATACATCCATTCCCTGATAGACAGAAAGCTATGCCATATGCCAGGAGAGATGCAGTGAATGCCCATGCCGAGGTCGTACGCAGAAAGTTCTACGGCCTACACGAAATGCCTCTTTACTCTCGAGCAAACAACTGACACAAGTGGAACTGTTGGAATACTACCGCTAAACCCCACGTGGGAACCCGCTACAAACTCGGGTGTAGTGGGAACCGATACCGTATGCAGAGATTGCGGACAAAAGACATGGGAACGCACTGCAGACTTGCATGTCACGGAAACAAATGCCGCAGATCGTGGACGCAGCAGATTCGCGCGTCATTATACAATAAACGCCCGAGAAATCGCTACAAACTGAGATATCGCAGAAGCCCACATTGCATGCACGGATCACGGTGAGATAAACACGGAAACCGGCTACGAACTGTGGTTCCCGTCGGATATCGCGATATCCGACAGGAACCACAGTGCATTATTACGTGTTGTATTTTGTGCCATTAAATCTTGTATACCCCTCATATAATGTCCCAACAAGGCGACTTGAGGTATGTTAAACAAATAAAAATATCCAACGGGAATTGGAGGTTTCAGAATTTTTGTTATGTGTATTCAGCCTAAAAACAGGATGGGCAATCTCTCGAGGGGGGGGGGGGGGGGGGGGGGGGGAGGGAAAAGGGGAAGGAGGGGGGGAGGGTTCACATGGGATTTTATGGCATAAAATGAGAATACAACATGCCACCTAAGTAACAGCTTAAAGGGGAACACTGGTCTTTGAGCTTTCTTCCTCATTTTTTGGCCAAGCCCAATGAAGCAGCACAGGTTTGTTCAGACTTTTGTGCACATTTCAAAAATCTATTTTTTTTTTTTTAATTAGTAGGTTAGTTCTCAGGATAATTATAATTAACCAGACTGTTTCCAGAAACAGTGAAAAAACATTTACAAAAAATAATGTTTTAAAGGGATACTGAACCGAAATTTGGATTTCGCAAAGTAAGGCTGCAGAAGTGTTGAACGGGACGCTATGAACTCCAAAACATCACTCGTACACCGATATCTCAAACGGATGGCCGTAGTTTTGGAAAAGAAGGGCGCGATCAAGCGAGTTCTTTGACGTAACTGTCCTCCGGGAGAATGTGAGAATGAGGAGAAGCGGCCTCGCTTCTCTCCTCCTCGCTTCGGTTCACCAGCTTGACGGGACGTAGCGAGGAGGAGAGAGAACGGGAATCGTGACGTGCCTTGTCGCGTCGGCCTCGTCGGCCGGGTTCAATCGCGCACTTCTTTTCCAAAAAATACGGCGATCCGTTAGATATATCGCCGTATGAATGATATTTCTTGGTTTTGCAGCTTCCCGCCTATCTGCCCGGCCTTGTTTTGTGAACTCGAATTTTCGGTTCAGTATCCCTTTAACATATGCAGTGATGTGATTGGCCTAAGCCGTTTTGGAGCACCTTTTGGAGCAACCAAAACAATGTTTTGGAGCAGCAAAAGTGGCCTTTGGAGCAACCAAAAACAGTGTTTTGGAGCAGCAAAAGTGGCTTTTGGAGCAGATATTCTTAGAAAAAAATAATAATTGTTTCAGGTGCTGGACAAACCAAGGACAGCTTGATTGCCGCAATAAACAAATTATAGTCAAGTTAGATGACCTGGGAGTCTTTCAACACATAATTGAAATACCAATGACATTACATATTTTGCAATGCTTCCGTTAAATGATACATATATATGTACCCGCTACAGGTAAATAAAAACCAAAGTGCACATATTAAAATTTATTTGAAAATGACCAGAAGTATAAATAGCACAGCATTAGGTTGACTAGTGATAAAATAAATGAAAGCAGTCTCCAACTGATGAAACACGGAACTACTGCAGTGCAATGCGAAATTGTCGCGCGAGCGGAAATGGTTGTTCGATCGAAACCATGCCACTCCGCTCCGTCACCAACTGGTTCCCAAAATTGTATGCAAAATGTAACTGTCCAGCATACAACAAAAAACAGTCCAGTGGCATGTGCTTGCCAGGCCGGCAGGCGAGGTACAAGCTAAACACACAGAAAAAAAAAAAAAAGCAAAGAACCTGAGCACGTTGATGCAAGACATCACGAACCAGGGTCAAAAAGTTCTTGGAGCGCTTTGTGCAACGACTGAACTCGAGACAAACAAGCGTGCTGTGCGGATTCAGCATGCAGACATTGGCTTCTTTTCTTTAGCTCACTTCCCTTCACCAACTTTCTTTCACGGCAGGTCCCTCCCGAAAGAAAGCCCACCGAGAAACACCTAGGTAATCAATACTTCGACACAAAAGTCTTTGAGCGAAAGAGGAATTTTTGTAGTAGCGTATTAACCACAAACAGGAATGTTGATGAACATGCGGCGGTACTTAGTTTCATTTTGGAAAGTGCCATATCTGCAGTGACGTGGGGACGACAACACCCGTCGTCGCGCGACCACGGTGACTGGCAGGCAGGGACCAAATATAGTTTTCCCACGCTTGTGGCTTTCAGCAGCGGGTGCTTCAGCTCACAAAGCAACTGCCCCTCACAAAAACGTGGTTTCGTTTCATAGCATGACGGCATGGCTCGTACCCCAGCACGTTTTATTCAGTGTTTTAAGCACGTTAGCGTCGGAGTACCGCACATGCTCGCGTCTATCGTTAAAAAGAATAATAACAAAAATTTTTTAAAAAGAAAGCGAGACGATGAGGACGCGGAACGAGACATGATGGGAAAACCATGCAAGACCAGATGAATGATTGATGCACCGCAGGGTACTTTGTGTCGGGCGGCCGCTTGCGCCACCTAGCTCACCGCGTGCTCAATTACGGTATTCAGTTTAGTTTCGGTTTAGAAAGGCGGCCAAAATTGGTCCTTTGGCACAGGCTTGGCGCAGATTATCCATATCTTGGCAAAATGTAGCAGGGTGTAGCAGGGTTAGCCCCTTGGCACAGTTTGGCGCAATTGGCGCAGCAATCGCATCACTGCATATGGTCAGATACTACAAACTATGAATAAAATGTTGGAAGCACTTTTTAGACCAAAGCATTAGTGACTTTACAACACACTGAAGTTTAGTGCTTAATGTGTGGCTACCAAGCAATAAAAAAATAGTTCAGTTCAAACCTTTTCTACACCTATACTGAAAAATCTGCTACCAACCTCGTATGCTTTGCACATTTAGCTGCATATTCCTGAAAATTTATATTTCTGTCTGCTCTAGAGACTGAGATATCCATCCTGGATATTTGTAAGGAGTCCAAAATTTGTGTTTCAAGAAAGTGTTGTTTCAGCATCAGCTTCAATTCCATATCAGCCCATATAAATATTATAAAGTGATATTATGGCTCAAATATTAATCTCGAAAATAAGAAACTTGGCAAATCATAAGGAAAATAGCTGTAAATTTCAAAATCTCCATTTTCCAAAAAAAGAAAAAAGTTTTTAGGGATTTTTTTGGCTCCAGAGACCCATGTCAAAAATTTGAAAAAAAGTACACGGATCGAGACAAAAAGAAAGGAGAAAGAGAAGGTTGTTTACCATCGTAGAGAGAGTAGGCGTTCCCTCCCGGTGAAGTTGTTCCATCCGTTTTGGAAGCTGCTGGCTTCCCAGTCTCTTGCATTTGGGACTCAGCCTCAGGCCTAACAAAAATGAACACGCAAAAAAAAATGCTTGGGTGTTTGAAAAGTTTTTATGGCGACATCGTGGCTGTTAAACTGGCGGGCCGGTGGCAATCGCGACACCTCTAGAGTCACTGTACATGTCAGCAATGGCTTCCAAAGTAACGCCAGGTTTTCTCTGTGCCACTTCTAGTCAAGATTAGTCGGTCTCTTTCCACGCAGACAGCCAGAGTCAGCTCAGCCTCAATGGCAAGTGACCGCATCAAAAAATGGCGAGCGTGCTCGGACAAAACTTTGGCATCGTCCTTTAATCCTGCCTCCTGACGATATCCTGACAGCAAATACTGTAGAACCTCTCCGATATCGAGCAAAGATGTGTAGAGAGTGGAGCAAAGGTCAAGTACTGTTCATATACCGGGCGTTTCTGCAAAGACTTTCAAACATCCCTAAAAATAGGGCATTTGAGAAGGAAAATAAACTTTTTCTGGAACAAACTTAATTTAGATATAGCAAAATATGTAATTATTAGCAGAATAATTACCTAAAATTGATTGTCAGTTTTAGGAGGACTCAAAGAACGTGGAAGGTGCGAGGGTCCTCTAAGGTTGCCACACGTACAGCAAGCACAGAGCCGGCGATGCTAAAATGCAATTATGACTTTTTCAATATTTAGAAAGTGAATGACTAAGATCTAGGCAATTACTCTGCTAACGAGTACATCTTTTTGCAATCCCAGACTTCTGCCGTGGCTGGCAGTTAGCTCCCAAACAAGCTTTTTTTTTTTCTTCTGAACCAGTAGTTTTTAGGAATGTTTGGAAAGTCTTCACAGAAACACCCAGAATACTTATAACAGGCACTAGAAGCATTGATATGAAGACGAGACAGATGAGACAAAGACTTCTGCAAAAGAGACCCAACAACATCAACGAGCAAAATTAGTCCCGAGAGAAGGCACGACATAACTCTTACAGCCGACGCCGTTGATCCACAGACCAGTTCGTCCCTGATCACTTACAATACTGTTCAGAGGCAATGCTGTAAGACAATGTCATAAACAGGGTCTTGCTGGGGTTTTTTTTTGTTTTTTTTGCAGTATGTACCAATGAGTCCCCAAAGGCAATCACTGAGCCTGTTTTATCCAATGTCAGAAAGAACCAAAACACTCCGAATGGGAGCTGTTACCAAAAAAAGGGCTGTATCGAGCCCTTTTTTCCACGCAGCTGCTTCCGTCTTAGGAAACCGCATCCCTAATCTCAGTTCCTTGTCTTATTGGTGCCGGGACGTTTTGCACGTCATGTGAATGTCTTCTGCAAGCTGGGGAATCCTAAGCCCGTCTACTGTTCTTTACAACATAGGCTCCAAGAATTGTTGTTTTCTTTTGTCCGAGTCGAAAAATAGACACAGAAAAACACTGAACCTGTGGAGAAAAAATAAATAAAGCCCCAAATTTGAAAAAAAAAAGAAAACGAACTCAAAAAACAAAGAACCCTAGCAATAAGCAAGTTTTCTCTCTATAGGGCGCCCCTACGATGGACTCAATGGTGGCGCTGGCCGGCGGAGCAGCACAGCAGAGGGACCGACATCCACCACTCGAATCGGGACATCCCGCATTTGGCGAGGCGCACGGCAGAGTAGAGCAAGCGAGCGAGCACTCACGTCTGCGTCGGGAGGGTGTCCCGCTCTTCCCGGGCGTCGAAGAAGTCCTCGTCGTCGCTGCTGGAGTACGACACCGGCGGAACTGCAACGGAGAAAGAAGCATTTCGAGGCGCCGGTGTGGTCCGCCAAGCGCCGCGGCATTCGTGGGTGCCGTGAACGAAGCTCGCCAAAAAAGAGTGCCGTCTCAAAAGTGTGCGTCGCTCATACTTCGTTTCGCTGCAACTCGTCAAAGAGTTAATGCTACTGCCCCTTCGAGCCAATAGGCAAGGTGCACTACGGTTTTCACCAAAAGTATGGCAGTGAGAGCGTAACTCGAGCGGTCGGAGAGGGGGGAAGGAGGGACCCTTACTCAGAACCCCCCCCCACAAAGATTGACATATCACTCCAAATTGATACAAAAATGGCTGTCCTCTCTTTCCTGCCCATAGGTTTGACGTCACTGCATCTGACCAATGAGTCGATAGTACACCGTAATTTTCCGAGAGATGCCCCACACCCTGAAAGATAACCCGTCCCCATTTTTGCCCCTATTCACTATTTTCTTTTAAAGACCGAAAGATAGTCCACTCCTAGTAATCATAGTGTTCGGGTCGACGATGATCTTGGTGTAAAAGTGGCTATGCTTCGTTACAGATTAAGTCCAGATGCAGAAGCAAGTGCAGTCGTGCAATGCAAGCCCTGTTCATGGAAACATGCTCGCGCATGTAGCATTGGCTGCGTCTGGGCTTAAGCTGCAATGAAGTATAGTCAGCTGCGGCAGGAGGAACAACGTTGACAGGGAGGTACGGTCGTCTTTGCTCGACTGCCCCTCGCCGCGATAACAAGTTTGGCAGGGAAACGTGAGCGAAAAATGGCTTTTCTTCGACTTTTCTTCATTACCGAAGGACAGCCCACTCTTTATTTTTACCCTATTGGCTCTCAATCTTTTTTTAGGCAGTCTCTCGGGACATTACAGTAATTGTGCGTCTACCTCCGAATCACCGATCAGCTCGCTGAGACCGTAGCCTTTGCCCACACGTGGCGAGACGGGTGCACGGTAGCTGCTCCGCCAACTACTCAGGTCCACCATTGTTTGGTAGCGCGCCCTGCGTATCCGTCGGACGCGAGGACTCCCCTCGGCGTGCGGCATAAGCTCGACCCAACTCGCACTTAGAGTGTGTGCTTCCCACCCGAAAAACGGCGACTGCCAAATTGGCAGTCGCCACCTGTCGGGTGGCACTGTAACACTTGCGATATGCGTATGCTCGCCAATCTTTTTGCAAGTCATTCTTTCGCCGTGGGATTAAAGAACTTTCGACAACGTTTTAAACGACCGTCTCGCATAAATAGTGTGCACATTCAATCTCACAAATACTGCAAGACCTTAACCCTAGTTGGATCCAGTTCCGGGGCTAGTTTCGCAGAGGGCGCAGGCACATGCTCTCATTTTCGGCGATCACAAAGGAGTGCGAGGCTATGCAATGCGCTTAGTCATGACCACGCGCGGGTTTGTGAACCGGCCTGTAAAAAACCGTTCGAGTCTGTCACCCTTTAACGGTCCCGGCGCACGAAAATGTGCGAAATAATCTCACTCGGCCGAACGTTGCCTCCAGGTGGTGCTGATGACTACGCTCAGCTAAAGCCCCTCAATCCTGGGAAAAGTGGCGCCATTCATTGTTGGGGCAATGCTCGAGACACGTGCCGCACGTTACTTCTGGGAAGAGCATAACGTCTGAAATCTAGCTCAGTGCTGCGCAGAGCCGCCATGATCTTCCCAAAGACTGCACGTTGCACGTGCCTTGTGCATCGATGCACGTTGTGCTACTTTTGAAACACGAAGGAGCTTTACGCTCGGCGTTGGCTATTTCGCACTACGTCCTTAGAGATTGTGAATCTTACGTGGAGCAATAGCCCCGCACTGCTGCAAGCGCCAAAACCACTTGCATTCAGAAGCGCTCACATAAGTACCTTTGGCATCGTTAGAGCGTTGCGAGAGCAATGCTAGCCTCAATGACGTAGAACAAAACAGTCGAAGCAGAATACAAGCTTTGCTCCATGCGTCCCTCTCTTACGTCTCTGGCAGAACTCGCCTTTGAATTCGGGGGAACCGGCGTCTGTCGTTCCGGGCGTCTTGTCTTGTCTCGACTTTGAAGACTGCTTGGCTCGGATGAGACCGCCACTGGCCGGGTGGATGGCAGAGACGGCAGGGGTCACCAGCGCATGGCTCTCCTCCAGGGGGTTTTCGTGAAAGGCGCTGCGTCCCGTCCGTTCGACTTGCCTGCCCTCCGACGCTCCCGCTAATTTGTCTTCTGCTACATACAGAACAAGCCGCACAACGTTTCGTGTCTCCTTGTTCCACAGACTTTCACCCTTCGACACTTATTGTCATTCATTGGTCAAGGGGAGATGAGAATAAAAAAACAGCAATAGTCCGCAAAAACTCATTTTGGGTTTTACCGTAAAATACCGAGCATCCGCCCATTCTACAATAGGTGTCCACTCCTGAATTTCTTAACATTTGGAAAATAAACAAAGAACATATCTTTACATATTGTTGACCTATAGAGCGCCTGTCCCCTAGTTTTACGGGATCATCTCCAAATTTTGAGCGGGTGCCTGCTCATGATTGTACTGTATATTCTTTTATTACGTATGAATCTTCATGTTTGAAGCATAAAAATAACAAGTAGGGGTTATGACTGTGAAATTAGTCATGTATGCATTGGAAGATGAGTGGCATAAATCTGAGCCCTTTTTCTGTGTGCAGTTCTTCAAATTGCAATGTTGCGCACCATCACATTTATGTATGCAACTAGGCCTAGCCATGTACTCTCCATCGCACTTCTGTAGCTTCAATTTCTGACGAAAAATGGTTAACAAAATACTATTTTTCTCGCCGCAAAAGAGTCGCTACACATCTATGGTAACATTTCAATGCATTTCTCTTTTTATGCGATTTCGGGGAATCTTCACAGTTTGTGCAAAGGAACTCTTATTGGTCTATTACCCCCAAGTTTGTTCTGTATATGCTTTAGAAAATGCAGAATACAACTATCCACGTGTGGCTAAAATATGTATCTCTTATATTTATAAACAATTTAGGAAACTTTTGTTAGCCCCCTTAAAAGGCATTTTTGCGATTTTTGATCAATTTTAAAATATAACGAGTTTTGCACACATCATTTTTGTTGTTAATTCACTCAGTGGTTTAAAAGGAATGAATTAGTTTATTTTAATAGGCTCTTAAGTGTGTTACCATGCCCCACATTTGTGTAAGAACAAGGTTAGTGTACTTGTGCACTGCACTGAGAACATAAAAAAACAGGCTATATCTAATTTAACACCAGATTTACAAGGATTAGATCAAGCACTATAAACTGTAGAAATTTGAATTAGTTATCATAAATAATTTTTTAAAAAATGTTTTCCCTGGGTGCATGTTTCCTTAATGCCAATTAAAATTAAAGAGTACATAATGTGACTGTAAGAACCGTGATATGACCATTATAAAATTGTCACTAGTGCTTGGTTAACTTTTCACAGTGCCTTGGTTTCACCATAATCTTTCCATAATTCAGCACATACTTTATTTGCATTACAGATGCACAGCTCTTCAATGACGGCACAGTTCTGCCATCACCAGCTGACACAGTGTCAATATTTTGCAACCAAACAACTTCCGAACTTTATTTCCGAAAAGTCGACAGTTAGAATCTTTCCAAGAACACTACGACAGCATTCAACAGCTTTGCAACCGTCCACCACTGACAGAGCAATCCGCATGTGCTGGACGATCGGTGGCGGGAGTTTTTGCGTCACTCATCTTACCTCCAAAAGGCCCATTCACACAGTAGTAGAGTTTCACTATGTTTAAATATGAAACACTGTGATACAACCATAAGTCACCAGTGCAGACTGAGCCGTGAGGCCACTAAATAGTGTACTCACCTTCCCTCCTCAGAGGCAACGACCTCTCGTCCCCTCGACGCTGGGAGTAGACGCCATTCACAGGCTGCGCGGTGTTCTACAGAAAAGGACAAGCAGAATAAAAAAAGTGAGCCCATTAGGTACCTTCATCTTCCCCCGTCTCGACGCTCTTCCAAACTCACTTTGGCAATTTGGAGGAGAACAATGGTATGCTTGACCGTTTCCAAGAGTGCCTGGGACAAAGGTTGAGTTTGCACTGGTTAGCCGCCGAAGAGTGCCGAAATGCGACGAGAAAATTGCTTAGTTTTTTGTTAGAGGACAAAACGGAAGCAGACCGAACCAAACATGTTTTTTGTTTTGTTTTTCAGATTGAGAAAGGCCAGCACAACATGCGACAGGTCACAAAAATTATGTCAGTGGTACATAGGATCAAGTATGTCAGGAATTGCATAGCTGGATAAGAAGTTGAGGGGTGCACAAGAGTCCATGAAAACGTCTATGGTTCCGTACGGTCCCCCCGAAACAATGGTATGTTCCCCCAACTGCACATTTCTACACTTTTATCACAAAATATCTTCGTGGATCCTGGCAATTCTTTGTGCAGTCGTTGCAGTTTGATTGAGACTTTCTTTAAATGGCTCACATTTAAACACAGTTTCTTCTGCCTGCTAGTGTGAAATGCCGGAGATTTGCGACGTCGACTTTAAAATTTTACTTTACGTATTGAACATTTTTCAGCACCCAGGCAGAAGATTTTTCAGCACTCGAACTTTAGCTGATGTGTGGACTTCCTTTACGAGAATCGTGGGTCACCCAAGACAGTGAGGCTTGAAAGAGAGAAACCTCCGACAGACACAAACTCACATTAGCATTATTGCCGATGCCAGAGAGCTGCTGCTTTTCCCGCACGTCCGTCACTTTTTCAATGTTGAATTCAAGGTCCTAAAATAAAAAAAACATAAAAGAAAGCAATTAATCTCGCAACTTCGGGACACATATCGCAACCCTTCCACTCGGACAAGCAACCATAAAACTTGCAGGAAAGTAAAAACCTGTCACCGAGAAGAATGCCGAGCACAGGGCTTTTCTTTCTACCATGCGTGCTTCTAAGGCGGTCAAGCATAAATACGTTAAAAATGCTCAGTGACAAAAACAAAGCAATCGCGCTTGTAGGTGAGCCTCGCGGAAAGATAAAAAGGCATTTGGAGCAGTAAAGCAAGAGGCAGCATTTCGTGACGGCTCAAACAAGAAAGTGGCAGCACTTTTCGTGCCTCTTCCTGACAGCTTGGATGTAAAAAAAATTCAAACAATGACTGAAGACACCCACGACGTATGGCTGGGTTCCGCCATACACCCTTTGTTGAGATCGCAGCTATAAAAGGAGCAGATGTCAATGCAATAAAAACTAACGCTACCTGAAAAAGAAACAGCTGGGATTAAGCTCCCACAGCGCAAATATTTTCAACTGCCTCGCAGTAACGTGGTCGTGATCAGGTAGGTTACAATGCCCTTGACAGTATGCGTGAAGCAAAAACAGAACACATGTTGCAATAAACAGATGTAGCAACGAATGACAACGCGCTAGACACTTTTTCTTTTTAATGTTCTCGCTCTTTGAAGTCAGATCAGACATACAACATCAACAATACAAAAGGACTGCTGTCCTTTTTGGGAATTTCAACATCCACAACACAATCCCTACGAAATAAAAATAAAAACATAAAACGCAAAATAAAAATGTCGTTGTAAAGCCCAATGTCTCCGAGAACGTATGGCAGACCTTTAAAAATTAAAAGCACAAGCCGGCGCACGATGTTGAAACGCAAGTCCCACCTGGGCCGGTTGCACGGCGGGTTTGCCAGCTAGCGCTAGTAGCGACGGTTCGGCGAGTCAACGTCAAAACTGCCGCTTCTCCTCATCACGCTCACGGTGCCGAATTTTGGGGGAAACGCCGGGATCGGTTTGAAAACAGCTTGTAGATCACGGCCGGGGAAAGCGACCCATCACACCGGCACGAGCGCCTCCCGCTGGCACACACGGTCGGCGTGCCGTTCCGAGCTCCGCGTCGCAAAACACGCCGCGCTCGACGCGAAACACATGCTCGGCGCTGACAGGCCCGATCTGCCGATCCCTTGGCCAGAACCGATCGCGATGTTCTTCGCGGAAAGCGGGTGTCGCGGCCGACCGTACGCCTCGTTGCTCGAGCGTCGGCACGACCCGTAGCGTCGGCACCGCCCACGGCGATCTCCGGGAACGCGAGAAAGCGGCAAAAAAGCGTCGTGAAACATTACTCATTGATGCAAGCGCCGGGCCAGCCGAAAGGGAATGTTGCTCCCCGAAAAAATCCCCCCTCCCCCGGGGGTTAAAATAAAAAAAACAAATTTACACGGAACACTTCAGGGTTGCTGGCCGCAAGACGCAGAGCCGGAAGTCGTAGCGGCGTAATGATGATGATTGTTTTGTCGACACGTTCGTTTGATCGCATCCGGAAAAGTGCGCGAGCGTGATGACGTCACGGGAAAACCACGGAACGCTGATGATGATTGCCAACATTGATGATAGCCGATGCGTTCGTTAAAACAGCTGGAACTACAGTAACGGCAGTCAATAAAAGAACATAAGCTCAATGAGATGATCAAGTGAGCACATTTTAAAAGGCGGAGTGATTTAAAAATATTAAATAAAGTTACAAAAAAAAATTCAGAATTATTAAAAAATTAAACAATAAGGGACTCGAACGAAGCATAGAAAGCTGCTAATAAAGCGGAATAGCCCGCCAGTAGGTGGGATAATTATGCTGCCACAATTTACGACTACCAGAAATATAGTGCGGAAGCAGCCATTTCGTTCAAGAGCCCACCATTAACATTTACCAAACTTGCGGATTCTGCAAATTACATGTTAACTGCCCGATTTGACTGGGCCAAGCACCCATGTCGAGATAAACCTAATTTTCAGTGAAAGCGGTGTGGGCGCTCCCCTGGTGTTCTAGGTTTAACTTTCTGTAGCAATGAAGAAAACACTAGGCGGGCAAGCGGGCGGGCGGTTTGGCGGGCGGGAGGGCGGGGCGGGGGGCGAGGAGCTGACAGTTTTGTGTTATTGCGCTAAGCGGACTTTTTTGATTTCGGCTTCAGTTTGGGTTTTGGCGTGACACACATGCATTTGCTACAGTTTTCTTCGTACGAGAATCGTGGTTGGGGGTGCTGAATCAGGATTGCGAAGCATGCAGGCCCCTTCCATATCCGCGTCTCTTTCCTTACGTTTCACTCATTTCTACACGCAAGCCAATGCGTTGACTGAAGCAGTCAGACCGACTAACAAGGTAAATTACACCGTTGTTGATCTCGTCAAATGCCATTTGTCTTGCGACCGACGCAGATATGCGGCGCTAATTTAAAAAATGCCATAGTTTTGAGGTTATTGATACGTAAACTCTTCTGGCTCCGAAGAATCAAAGCGCGGGCACAATATTCCGAAACAGGAGCACACATGTGCTATGGCACAAAGTCGGATTCCATTTGGATTGTATTCTGTTAGTGCTGGACCTGGGGCAGGTCGGCGGCACGCCACAGCTCAGAATAAAATGTATAGCGAAAGCTAACGCTGCAGAACCCACGCGTCCCGGGCTCAATCTTCACCCCTGCTAGCTTACATACACCGTTGAGCTCACTAACCAACTGGTATATGGAGACAATAGAGAATCCCGGTTCCCTCTGCCTCACTTCTGCGTGCACGTTGCACCACCACTTGCTCGGTTCAATTCTATAACTTTTGGTTGCCAAACTTCGTGAAAATCCCAAAGGGCAAACAAAGGGGCGAGCTCACAGAAGGTACCTCGATACGCCCCATTTACGATACACACGAGGAAGCCGTCATGTCCGTTTTGCAGGGAAACAGAAAACCTGCCGCGAATTTAAACCGACAAAACCCGAAGGAGCTAAAAAGAAATGCTATATGTTTGGCATACCTTGACCAATATGATAGCCCCACTGTGAAATTGAAGCTAAAAAGAACAATTTTATACTTTTAATTGGTTAAAGGGGCGGTGCAACGATTTTATGATTAAAAGAATTTGCATCCCGTCACTTTTACGTTGTTTATCGTGTTCCAGAGGATAGAGAAAACATTTCCTTCATTAAAAATGTCGCGATTCCGCTGCATAATCGCAAAGCAAAAGTCGAGCTTTTTCCCCCACCTGCAGCCCCAAGTGGCAGCCGAAGGAACTACGGCTAGAAGATTATGTGACCTCGCTCGGCTCTAAGCCGCAGCATAGCGCCCGCTAATGTACGCAGAGAGAGGGAGGGGAAGCGTCCTCCGAGATAGCACACGGGAAGCTACACGGCACTCCGAATGACGTCACTGGGAGTGCGACCAGGTGTGACCCTGAAGACTGGGAGTGAGTTGAGGGGTGCCCGAAATACCAATCTTTATCTTTTTTTTACGCAAAAACTAGAACACGCAGGCGAAATCGGTTTTCTGTTCTTTACTTCAGAAGTGTCAGGGGGCAACTTCCAGAAATCTTTGACCGAAGTCCGAAAATCGTTGCACCGCCCCTTTAAGTTACACCCAGTAAATGATTTTGGTTGAACTATACTCAGCCGCACAGTTAAATGGTGTGCTTTGGCCCTGTGGCTTTGGCTTCACTGCCACAGAAAGATGACCCCAAGTATAAGACTGAAAGCAAGTGTGACCTAACTTTGTATAAACCATAGACAAAGAGTAAAATATACTTGCCTAAAGTTAATAGTTACAAGAGATTATTTTTCAGACATTTTACAGAATTCGTTGAACTGTGTGCATTCCTACTACTTCCATGTGCTATACGTAACCCCACCAACCACAGACCTACAGAATGAGTACTTGTATCTGCAAATAAATAAATCTGGCCAACGACTGAACAGCCACGGTTTCACTATTCATGTATTTGGAGTTTTTATGCTCGGTCACACTTTGGAATGAGTTTTCATTCATTCTCACATTTTTGTCAAGATGGCACAGGTCAACTCAGGGGGAGGAGAGCAAAAGTTTGCACAGTAAAATTTACAGGGAAGGTTGTAGCAAATTTACAGCCCCCTATACCAAGTTTTACTTGGCAAGTATCAAAATGCCAGAAACTGCATATGCTTTGGTACTTGGACAGAAAAGACAATGAGCGTAATCTCGCAATGGCCTCCACTTTTCTGAAGGCACAACATTTTTCAATTAGACTGCAGTGAACACCAGTGCACTAAGCCTCTGTGTGCGCACAAGGTTAAGTTTATCCAATGGGTTCTTTCTCAACTTTCTACATCATTTCCAACAAAGGCAAGTATGTCGGAGGCCACGAAAGACGAGTACCCTACCTCAAAAATGAGAAAAAAAAAAGAAGAAAAACACACTATTTTTGGATTCTTGCTCGAGAAGTGCTAATATATTGCATGCCAAGGTCACGAAAAGCAGAAGGAATTGGAAAGCTTCTGCTTATCTAACCGAAGAAGCGGGTTAAACGGCGCCCCTCACCCTTATCTGCTCGATAAGCAGCTGCAGATAGGAGTCCGCCTCGGTCAGTTTGGTGTCAAAGTTCTGCTGGGTCGGTGCAACGATCCCGGTTTGGTCCCATAGCCGCTGAAAACAAAAATACTTCGTCAAAACCCACGAGACGCGAGAACAATTCTAAGAGGGACAAACGCGACGCTTGACTCCAAGGGCTCTCCATAAATCGGGCACACCTCCCGCATTTAACGCCGAGGGTCTCAGACTTTTTACAAGACCGCTGCAACAGGGTAGGAGCGGCACATCAAAGACAGCTGCATATCATCAAGACGATTGCTTCCCTTGGACCCTAGCAACTGTTTTTATTGCTCCAGGCACAAAGGTCGCAACCACGTTTGACGCGTTGCTGAAAAGCACTTCAATTTGTTAGGGTGGACTCGAACCAAGGTCAATTTCTGCCCCTAAGGTAACTGTACTTTTCCTACAGCCAACTCCACTCCCAGTTTTTGGTCAAACAGAACCGATCCAAAGCCAAGACGCATGCCCCCACTTGCTTCCAGCGTACCGACTGCTAATTGGCGATGCAACCACCGGCTCGAGCCAAGTTGGCAGCATCAGGTTCTCAAACTGGGAAGCTGTTCAACGAGGGCTTCGTGTTGAGGAAATCCTGCCACATGCCACAAAACCAAACTCTTGCGGCATGAGTTTACTGAAGCCCGAAGCTGTTGGGGGACAGTTCAAGAACATCTGCTCCTGCTGACAGAACAAAAACGCCAGGAAGGAGTTCCTAGTTCTCTGGTTTCAACACCCTACTGCCTTTCACAGTGCTAACTGCACATGAATGCCCAAATCTTACACAGTGCTACAAGATCACCGAGGACGTGAAAACTCGCGCGGCAGGTTTTTGAAAACTAAAAGACCGTTGTGATGTTCCCGTCCTGTCGCCACCTTTCTTTTTTATTTTTTAAGCAATGCTTAGATTTTATTAGTGAACAAGCAAGAAGACTAGAGAGGGGCCTCACCGCATTGGGCTGCCTCTGCAGTGTGTGGCGCAGAATGGTGTCTTCGAGTGCTCGAACCCAACGTTCACGTTCTTCGGCGTCTCGGGCTGCACGCCAGAAACATGTTCCACGGAGTTTAAACATGAGCAACAAAAAATTAAAAAAACGGGTCGCTGTCCGACGCTGCGAACTTCAGGTTCAAAGACAAAGAACACAAGGCGAGTGTAGTGGTGACTCGAACGTTCACGGCTTACCCTGAAAGTGAAAGATCTTGCGGTCCACCCGTATCGTGAAGGTGCTGTCATCTTCGTCATCGATTCCAATTACCGCACCCTTTATTGGAGAGAGGAACAGAGCGAGGGATAACACTTCTGATAGCACAACTCAACGCACAGGCAACAAACGTCGCCTCTTCCCAAGTTGTCGTGAAGTCCACGAGACACTCACTTGAAGCCTGACGCAGCCACGACGTGCTCCGCGGGCCATGTTCTCTTTGGACTGCGTCGAACAACGGGTAAAGCAAAACAAAAATTGAATGTCCGAACCGTGAAATAAGTAAGATAATGACTAGCGGGTGTTGGATGCGACCTTCCGATCTCTTCTCAGTCTTTTCCGCGGTTAGTCGCAACGTTAACCTATCTCGTTACCATTTTATGGTGCAAATCCCAAGCGCACAAGGTCGTTTCGTCGATTAATCACTAAATGAGCGACCCTTCACCCGGAAGCCACAATGAAAATTGACCGCCCACTTTAGATAGTGTAGCCCAAACCTCGCCCATCCTTGATTTGAGCAAAGCCTACGGGCTGGCGCTTTAAGATAGGGAAGCTGACTTTACGTACGGTGTAATAGGACAGGAGGCCCGCGTTGTCATCCAGCACGAACCAACGGTACTGCCAGCCTTTCATTACATTTGTCCATTTACTCAGCGGTCCTTCGACACTTGAAGCAGCCATGATACCCCTGCAACCATCGCAACCAAGGGCGCCTCATGGTTTGCGACGGGAGGCGTGATTCGGTCGGCTCGTGACCAAAACACATTTCCGGAAAAAGACTTATCAGACGACCTTTTCGCAACGTTTCGGTTTCGTTTCGGTGCTAGTCCGTTTTCAATAAATTCTGCTTGAATATGAACCTTTTAGGGCTGTAGATCAGCTCTTTTGGCATCGGGCTGATTTGCGGGATGCATAAATATTAGGTTTTAACAAGATAAACAATAATAGTCAGTCTTATAGACTAGTTTCATTGCAAAATAAAATTCTAGGATAAGGAAATGCGAACTTCTGCAATATATATCAGCCATCATGTAACAAAAAGAAATGAAAAATAAGTTTTCTGTTTACGCTGGCATAAACATTCGATTGTCTCTGAACAATCTTACGCAATTCATTTTTGAAGATGCTCTAAAGTTCATCAATAATTTATTTTTCGCTACGGAGATTCAGATTCGGAATGTGATTTAATAAAGGCATGATGTTCTTCTATTTTTCCGTGAACCCCAACCCAACCCCCCCCCCCCCCCCCCCCACACACACACATACACACACACTCACTCACACAAACACACATCAGAAAGCATGTAACACGTTCGTAAAAAAAGATAGAAATAAAAAAATATATATTTATTGTCATCTCTTCCACTTCACAATCAAATAATTCTTGCTAAAAACAAATAATAATAATTTTATGAAGCTTGAACATACCATATGTACTCTCCTCGGCCAGAACAATAACCACCAGCATGGAGTGATGATGTCCCGTACAAGCCACGTACCAAATCGCCTTATCTAACAAATAAAAAGAAGATATTCCCTATAAAGTGGAAACAATATAAGAAGCAAGCAATCAGAGGAAGAAAGCAAAGCAATTTCTACAATGATGTGGCCTGAAACCACCGAACAGTATTAAGCGAGAAAAGGTTCCAATGTCCTTAAAAACCTGGAAAGTGGAATTAGGAAATGGTCGTAGAACCTGAGTAAGACATTAAAATGAGTTCTATTAAATTTTGTCAAACTATACCAAACACCACATTACAAGAAAAAGGTGTGTGTGTGAAATAGGCTGGCCATCCTACGACAGGCATTACAATATGTGCACATAAAACATGGATATTCATAAAATATGTGTTTTGCACAGAGATGGGCATAAAAGAGCATAAAATTATAAGAGCACATCGCTAATTATAATAGAAGTTTCGCATATCATACAATCATGAATACCACTAGTATATAGTGTTCCAAACACTTCTCACATGCAAATTTTGAAATCATTCCTAAAAATTTGTCTTAGGCAAAGCGAGCAGAAATTTCTTGAAACGATTTACAGAAGTCCCATGTGGCCAACAAAAATTGGAAGCACGGCCATTTTGCATTTTAATGTCCATTTTTAAACGATAACTACCACGGAGAAAATTTATTTTAACTTCATTAGTAACGGAGTGGCATTTTGAAATGTCACCAGGCAAAACCAACCACTAACATTAATGTTTATAGATATTTGTGTCCCGCAACGCCCAGCCACCAAATTCTTTGGTTGTTTCGCAGTCATAAGAAATGCTTGGGACACCATATAAAGACAAAACATATTATTTATGGGGTGTGTCCATTAATTAACTCTTTGTGATCAGGACACAAGAACAACAGATAATTTAAGAAAATCTCCCCCAAATGGTTGAAAAAACTAGAGACAAAAGTGTCACCCCACAAAATGCTCTAGACCGTCCTTTTTCAGCGGGATGGGAGCGGTCAAACATCGGGGGAATTGTTACGACGCCCGGAAACAGAAAACCTACGACTTGGTCGTATGCTCCCATGTAGTTTGCCTGGTCTCCCGTGTACCACAGACATTACACAAATCAAAAGCTCACAAGGCTACAAAAAAACAAAGAAAGCGCATCTAACAAAAACCAAGTGAGTTGTGCCTGGCCTCACAATGCCAGCGATCAATACGCCTACAAAAACGTTCCACGAACAGAAATCTCACCAGCAGTTTATCACCAATAACCTGAAAACTGTTACGTCCACTCCGAGAAATCCAGTGTGGCTTCTTTCCCGCAGAGCACTTGGGATGAACCAATCGCCACAATCAACAAAGGCAGCTCGGCGAATCATGAGGCTGGAAATATGTTTAGACCTCAAGAAAGAAAAAAGGCCTGCACTGCGACACCGAGCACATCAAAGATCACACTGAGTGCCACCGCGCAGACTGTTTTGTTAGGTCTCAACATTCAGCCACGCCATTTGCCAAACACCCTCGAGCAGATTGCAGCGGTCGGTTCTCCCGTGTGCTTTGTGGGATGCTAGACGCGCCGGACTTTTTAGAGTGTACTGCTTGTGTCGAAAAGAATGCTCGTGTCTCAAAGAAATAACTAAGATCAGGACCATTACCAAGCAAGCTGGGACTTCCCCCAAAGTTGTGTTAGTGAGCAGTAGAGCAGTATTAGAGCTCTATTCAAATCGAAAGGGCTGTACGTCGCAGAGCAACCGAGCATGTGAGTGACGTAATCTCACGTCGGTAAGTCTCACAGGGTCATGGGCACATGACAAAGCAATTACTCTAACAAAGAAGTAAGGATCGTCCCATTTGTTCAATGGGAACTGCCAGCTAAAGAGCAATACTCGACACGTCGATTAACGGAAATAAAATCAACAAAAATATATACATAACAAAATATCTGTTTCTCTTCTGAACTCTGCTATCTAGATTCACAAAACTGTTCAATGCATACATTATTATGAGGCCCCACAACGTGAAGACGCAATCTGCAGCTCCAACCCCACATTTTTTTAATCCCCTTTGCCCAACTTGTGCTTTAGCCGCTAGATTGTGCCGCACATTTCGTCAAATAGCGGGTCGTCTGGTCCCAACTTTGTGCACTTCCCAATAGGTGGAGCCACATTATCTGGAGTTGTGGAGGTCATCGGTGAACATTACTGAATTAGAATTGACTCGAGAGAATGAATACCCATAAAAAGATATAAAGAACAGAAAAAAGATCTCCACAGAATATGCAAAGATAAATGGATGGACTGAGGAACTCCTCGATTGCTGGTTTAAAGGCACTGTCCATGGAAATTTTCACAAGGCACAAACTCATTCCCCAGATGGAGAATATCAGGATAAAAACGTCGAGCAATTCAGTTTAAAAATTATTGAGGTCCGTAGGAAGCATTCCAAGCTCCATTTAGGCTCTTTCTTTGCAAATACTCTCAAATGGTGTTATAAAATTTCACTTAATAATATTGTATAAGCAAACCAACAATTGAACAATATTGTCACATTGGCCTAAAACCTATGAAAAGTGCAAGTTTGTCTGCTTTTTGTGCAGGGGTTGTGGTGATGTCAGAATGCCGTACTCCAATTGGAAGAATAGCGGGTAGACCTCAAGGCAGCTAGCCATGTAGCAAGGTCTGAGGTCTACCCACCATCCTCCCAATCAGAGCCAATCAGAGCTTGGCGATTTTTTTGTCACCGGTACCCCAGCGCAAGAAGCAGACAAACTTGTGGTCGACGTTGGTGTGAGCAGACAGTAATAGGCAGAAACAAAACCGCACATGTCGTTGCAAGCAAGACTGCATAGTAACGACAGATCACCATGGACCAAAGTATGCAGGCCTGAAAACAGTGTTTATGCCATTTGGTTTATCGTAACATTGTCCACAGAAGTTCTACTGACAGTAGATATACTGCAGATTGTTACTGTATGACACGCTGTTAAGAGACCGAGGTACACAGTAAAAGAGCAATAGGGTCGATGTCAATTAGATATACCGTATCTCCAGCATCTTTGAAACGGTAATTCGTTGTAAAGAAAAATTGAAGCAGGCCCCTCACAAATGCCTTTGCATTCCTATGTTGTCCATTGGTAAAAAGGTTTGCAAGGCAGAAGCTCGAACTACCTCGGTACGCATTATCTATTTAGATGGACATAAAATTGTTGCACAACATTCTATCAATAAACGACCCACATAAAACAGTAAAAAAAAGAAGTTGCTCATGCAACCTTTTGTTTACAAGTTTGGGTGCAAAACCATTACCAATATCAGCAAATGATTTGTGAAACGTTCCCTTTGCATGTGGAAAACTGTGTTACTGCACTCATATCCCTTCATTTCTCAGATTCCATCGGGCCACCAAGAATACTTCATGTCCCTATGTCAAACATGCACCATGAACATTACAAGCCAGCTTTGACAAATTAAAATTAAATTAACCCCATTCTGGCAATGAAGCATTTAGCCCCCAAAACTTCATTCAGCAAAACAACTGCTGCCGAAACAGGCAAACAGTTTGCCCTTTGTCAATCTCAACCTTCCTCTCGGCACAAAGTCAACTAAGCATTGGTGTCGAAAATGTTGCACAGCTCTACAAGGCACACTTTAGCGTGGTATTCGCGAGGCAAGATGTACGCTCTAGCATTTACAAACGCGTTCCGTGGCAAGTCAAAATGCATAACGAAACTCGAGCAAATGATGCCACGAGGAAGTATTTGGTTGCCGCCACACACCAAACGCGAACAAACTTCTTCCAGCGTGCTCGTGTTGTGCTCGTCTATGGTAGTGGAGGATGTGGCTACTTGGTCGCTGCCCAGAAGGAACACCTTCTGCCACGAGCAGATAACGTATACACACTTCTATCTCCAATCCAAATATAAATCATTTGGACAACGGATCAGGCAGCCACACGGGTCCCAACTTGGAGAACTCTGAACGGCCGAATAAGCGACGCACGTTCGTAGTTGAGCAACCGGGCAAGTCTGAATGTATCGACCCCAATACAGGACGTGTGTATTCCGTCTGCTCCACCCGCAACACGTCCGGCCACGTAGTACGCGGATGGTTCGACACCCCTCGGCATGACCTTGGTCGCGCGATGGTGCCTACAACGTGCCTCCGTCTGGTTTGCTAAGCACCCTATCTTGGCAATTTGTTGAACGCGGGCCCAAAGTGGCAAAAAACAATGTGACAAAAGCTGGAGCACCGTGCCGCCGGATGCCGCAATCCTGGAGGTTGGTCGCACAAAGGCTGGCGGAAAGCACGAGCAAATGCAAGTATTGCTGTTGTCGCGGAGCTCCGATTCCTGGCTGCGGAAGCTTCCGTGGACTGTCAAGCTGCAGAAAGACCTGCAGCAAAAGAGGCATCTGCAACATCCACTGCCTCTGCTGCAACACTGCCAGGATCGCGGCCAGCGACAACGTGACACTTGTGTGACGTCGTCGAAAAGAAATCGAGGGGCCACTTTTTGGGATGCGATAAAATGCACCAGTCCAAGACGCGTTCCAGGCACCATAGCCGCGCCGACACACGTTCAGGGGCCAGAGACATTTGGGCACACGAAAACGAGTCGGGAAAAGCGCGATGTGAGAGCCCGGGCGTGACGGGCGCTCAGGACGGAAGTTCGGCACGGCCTCAGGAGGTCACAAGTCGCGCAGTGTCACTCGTCGTCTGTTGCGGTATCTCGCAGACGACGGAGTCGTCTGTCAGCCCTGTGCTTTGGTTGATGGAGGGCACGGCAGGCGTCGGCGCCAGGCGCGGGTCCTTGGCGGCGCCCGGCTGAATGATCGAGGTCACCTGCAACTGACCACCCCGCACGGCCGTCCAGACGAAGAACGGGAGCAGCAGTATCGTTGCGACGACGCCAAAGGCGATGGTCGCCAGGCCCCACAGGGTTGCACGCTTCGACACCGGTCCTGGAAACGTAGAAATGTTCAAAACGTTAAGATTGGTACAGGGTGAAACCTAAAGTCAAGGCCCAAATAAAAAAAAAAAAAGCCCCGACTTGTTCAGAAAGTTGAAGCAAGAATAAACTTTCAGGGATGGAACTGGGCAAAGCAGCTTTGGAGCTACCTTGGGAACATAAAAAACTGTAGTTTGGAGCAGGCTGGCAGCAACAAAAACTAGGTCCTGGAGCAAGTTGGGAGCAGCATACGAGTTTTGAAAATATTAAAATGGAGGCTAAATGTCACCTCGTTTTCAAAAATACTAAAGAAAATATGGCATGCAGATAACTCCATGTGAACTTAGCGGGGCTTTCAGCAAACTTTTTAAGTTGCAAATATTTTTCGTAAAATTATGTCCAAATTACACAAAACATATAAAGCAAAACTGCACATGACAGCGTGATGCATGACAAAACCGACTTGAAAAGAGGTATATATAAAGCGGTACAAACAGCTTTCATTGCTCAGCAATGACTGGTAAGGTGTACCGAAAAATAAAATGCAAGTACAACAATGTTTTCTTTTAATTTTTCAGTGACTAGACCTAAGATTACAAATGTCCTTATACATATAAATCTATTAGGACTTTGTCAATTCTTCACTGATACACTTCACTTTTTCCGAATTCTGAGCCAATTTCGCATTAGCCTCCACTAACAGCACTTGTCCACACTCAATCTTCTCTGTCTCCTTTTTTTTTTTTTTTTTGAGACCCGACTCAATCGATGACTGCGCATGCTCAAGCATAGTCGGCGAACAGATGATACGCTGTTCAAGTTGTCGCTCCTCTTCCTGAAGACGAGCTCTCTTCGCACTCGCTTCCCTCACATCACTGTTCTTTCCCTTCTACCCCTCGTCGTCTTGCTTTTCAACCTCCAGCCTTTCTGTGTAAACGTTACGAGACTTCTTCACAGCTTGCAGCAAGTCTGCTGTCAAAGGCACTTTCGTGACATCACTTCCAAATCGCTTGAGGTAGCCGTGACTTTGCGCATACAGTCTTCAAAGCGCAATCACGATCCAACAGCTCGTATCTTGCTGCTCACTTAAGTTCTCTGCGCGGAACCGCGGGGTGGGCCCACACGGAATTGCAATAGTCACACGTTTGCTCCACTATTTAGATCTTCAGATGAAGTGACTCCAGGACTTGAGAAAAGCACGGCGAGCATGCAGCAATGGCAGCTGACGTTGGCGGCAGCAACCTTTAGTTATGGTGACTAGAAGGGAAGGTGTATCGGTCCCACGGCTCGCTCCATTGAGCGGAGTGTTACGTTGTCGTATGATGGTGACAGGTGGCGCTAGCAACCCCAGCCCGATCAGTTCCTCGGGAAACGTCAGCGGCTGCGACCGCTCTGCCTGTGTTGAGTCATTCGGGTGGTCCTCGTGTTGGTTGTTTCGTGTGCTTCTATGAGCTACAAGCTAAAACGCCTTTCTTTCACCCATGCCTTTTGCAAGCATGCGAGCGGAATGTAGCGAGACAGGGAAGTGGACGGAATGGGGAAGAAGCAGACACACTGCTTCGCCCCGGGGTGCCCAAGCGGTTATGTTTTAACACGAACGAAAAAACACGTGTTTTTGATTGGTGTGTTTAAACAAGCAGATTGCTTCTAAGCGTGGCAGCGTGCCATTTCAAGGGCCAACGAAGAACTCAACGACAGGTCAGTCCTCTGTGAACATCACTTTGACGAGTTTAAATCCCTCGCGACCAACCTATCCTCACGGACGATGCGGTAGCGATTTTTCCCCAATCTGCCGGCGTACTTCTCAACACCGCTGCCAAAGGAGCGCCGAACGAAAACATTGTACGAGGGACTCCCATCAAAAGCACCTCGAGCCGACATCGAAGGGTCAGATTCTGCACAGCAGCTCAACGACGCTAACCTGCCGTAAGCCAGCACGAGCATTGTTCAGGGAGCGGACCTACAAGGCTGTGCACTACCTAACAGCTACTGGGGAAGCCACCTGGTTTCAGATGCTCCTGCGGTTGTTGCGTTCTCGGTGTGCGAGATGGATGGAGGGACGGTAGGCTTGGAGCGGTCGGTGGGGTTCGACACGAGCAACGGGATTGGCGCCCTAGTGATCGTTCAGGGTGCAACTCTTGAAACAGTTCGAGTAGAGAATGTACAAGAAGCTGAAGACTTGCTTAGAGAAGTACAAGTGATGAAAGCCTGCATGAGACTGGGAGAAGTGCAAGACCTTGATGAGCTGTTTCACGCGAAGTGTAGGTACCAGACATCTGGATGCAAAGTATTCAGTTTGAAGTGCACTGACACTGTTCAGTGCCAGAACAACAGATGTGTGCAGTATAAATATCTGCGCAAGCTGCTGCTGGATGAACTTTCGTGCAAGAGGTGGAGTATCAGGTACCCTGTCCAAGCAACAGCTTAGTAAGGTACGTTGTTGGGCTAGTTGGTTCATCTTAGTAAAACATATAAAATAGCGCAACAGAAACAAGGACAAGAAGTGCGCCTGTCCTGTTTACTTCTTGTCCTTGTTTCTGTTGCGCTATTTTATATGTTTTACCAAGCAACAGCTCACAAGATGCGGATCAAGACACTCAAGGTTACGAGAGCTAAAGAAGTTGTTGCTGCCATGAAAAAAAAAAAAACTGACACAAATGAAAGTGAAAAATGCACAGGTTAGGCTATCAACCCTGGATGAAGTACTCGAGCACTTGCCAAGCATGCAGCAACAACAGGTGAGAGCTTGCCTTGAGGCATCCAAGCGTAAAAGTACATATGGAATGAAATTCACAGAGGAATAGGTACTCGAGCCATCATCACGTGGATGAAGAGTCCTCGTCTGTACGAGCACCTTTGCAAACAAAAGATGATGGCCCTGCCAGTGCGCCCGGGCGCACTTGCCTCCGCACATACACTCGTATATACGAGGGTGGATTTGGCCTTAACGTAAACATGTTCCGTTGTCTTGCTGAGAAAACAAGAACAATTGACAACTCCATGCGCCACGGCGGGTTGTTCATTGATGAGATTAAGCTTTCTGAGCACCTGAGTGTAGGACAAGGTGGCAAGCTTGAAGGGTTTGTGGACTTGGCCGACTACACCACCGAGAAACAAAAGCCCCTGATATGCGACCGTGGGCTGGTTCTGCTGTTTCAGCCGTTTGGTGGAAAGTGGCATCAGATCTTGGCAATCTTTGGCTCACGATCATTGTAGATGCTATTCTGATGATCGAGAAAGCTGGGCTTTTTATTGAATTTGTGACGTGTAGCTGCTGCATGGAAGAGGCGTATGTGGAAAATATTCGGAATTAATTCAGCCTTAACAAAGGTCGCCCGCAAGACGGAGCATCCTGCAGAACCAAGCACCAGTTGCGGAAAATCCGAAATGAAGTGCACTTAATTTCGGATTTTCCGCAACTGGTGAAATGCTCGAGAAACAACATGCTGATCGCAGGGCTTCACACACCAGTAGGATGAGTACTAGTGGAGTATATTCAAGGAGCTTGGAAGTGTGATAACAAGAGCCTCACACCACTGACAGCCATGCCGTGCATCACAAAGCCGGTGCTACACCAGAACGGATTAGACAAAATGAGTGTCAGCGATGCCATCCGCCTATACAGTGACGAGGTAGTTCGGGGCCTTCACCTGTACAAGCAAAAAGTAGAGTGCAGGTTTGGCACCACAACAGCGACAGAATGCTTTGTCAAGAAGATGAGAAACCTTATTACTGTTATGACATCCCGCTGCAGCAAGGACGCCTTAAGACCTAGGTCAAGAAAGGAGGCTGTGCTGCGAGAATTTCTCGACTACCTCAACACATGGGAGGCATCGGCAGGAATGCAGGGCCAGGTCTTTCTTAGTCGCAGTTCTGCCGCAGGACTTCGCGTTACACTTTCTCTCTTGCATTATGTGACAGAAGAGTTGGGGTACAGGCGCCTTCACACATCACGACTTAGTCAAGATCCGACTGAAAACCTGTTCGGGATCCTCTGTCAAATGTCGGGATGTAATGACCATCCAACATCTCCACAGTTTCTCGTCTCTGTAAATTGCCTCACATTCGCCAACCTTGCAAAATCGCCAACAGGAGGGAATATCACTGGAAGCACCCTGAGGAGCCTTCAGACGAGTCGATAACCTCCTTGACCTTGGCAACCTTCAGGAAGCCAAGGCTACGCTGCATGCTTGTGGCATTGCTACTGACCAGCTGTCTCTCACACCTGAACGTGAAAGAATTGACTTGCGCTTGGTGTTCTACATCGCAAGTTATGCTGCATGCAAGTGCATACGCAAGACAAACTGCAGGGAATATACTGAACGGCTGCTCCAGGAATCTGCAGCAGCACCCAAGGAAGCATGCCTGACGAGTGCTGTAAACCGGGATGGACTCTTTTACCCATCCACAGCTCTGAACCTGTTGGTGATGTCCGTGGAAAATGCGTTCACTGCATGCTTTGTTCCTGAGAACTTGGAGCGGACAGCATCCTCAGCGTGTGCTCTTTCCTGCAAGCATGCTCATTAGGCTCCGTTGGCAGCACTACACTCAGCACCACATTGACAAACATGATCATTAAGTTTTTCATTTTAAAAAGGTTGCACTTCCTTGTCGCCACAAAAAATGCAAGTCGGCAGAAGAGCCGGGAAAGAAAAAGACACCTAAAGATCAGGCGTACGTGCTGTGGAACACGGTACCGAGCATGCGAGAACACAAAGCCTTAACACGAGTAAAATTCTGCTTTGTCGGGTACCCAATTATTTCACATATTTAATAGGCATACGCTCGCTTGTACCACTAGATTATTGGACAACAGTTGAAGTAGTGCAGTAAAGAAAACGTGAACATTAAACAATGACGAATCAAGTCATTATCGTCCTTTGCTTGTAACACATGACACTGAAAATCTCCCGCTCCAATCTCGCTCCACACTGACTCATCAAAAGATAAAGGCAAGTACTTGGACGACCGCTGCGCGCAAGGTTCCGTGATCGGCCCACGAGTAAAACAACAGGTACAAATACCAAACCAACAGACTACATCAGTCGAACAAAATTAAAATCTCGGTCTATGATTTCTTGTGACACAAGAAAAAGTGTTGCATCGGAGGTCACAAAGCAAACTGAACGGACAGCAACAACATGCAGACGACAGCGTGGACACAAAACGGGCTGATCGGGCTGCTGACGACACCGCCGCTTGCGGCATCACAACGCAGCGCGATGGCCTTGCCTTCTCTGACCGTCACACCTGCCCCTTCTAGCCACCATACTTCAGATACAAATCTTCGGATTCGGATACACTGGCATCCCATTTGGGCCGGAAGTACCGGTGTCAATGTTGCCCACAGAAACTGTGGGATGGCTAATTTCGACGAGGCTTGTTTATAAATTCAGCTTGGGTGCACCTTATTGCAATTTTATTCTTACTTATACTTTCGTATCAGTGTGGCGCATGAAAAATCTTTAGGCACACAATGTCACAATTGGCACAGCAGTTCCATCCCTGAACTTTCTGTTTCTCTTTATGCCAAAAGCTAGGAATAATGAAATACCAGATTAATGAAGGTCAGCTATTGATAACTGCAGCTGAACTTTCTTCGGCTGGTTTCAACAACTAAGCGGCTAGTTTGATCCCTCGGTACTGCAGCAGCTCTACAGCAAAGCGCAAAAAAGTGGGAGCGGACCCCGATGTTCGTCACTGCACCAAAGAACTTCCCACTGCCCAGTGGCAATAACATGGAGCTGAGAAACTATGTCAGACAAATATTTCAGCTCTCGCTGGCAATGTGCACCGTAGATCAAATGCAAATATATGATGACCGCAGTAGAAGCAGATAGTTTTCGTGCACATCAATTCAACAAATCAATTCAGCATGGGGATTTGTATGAATTAAACTGTGTGCAGGGACAGCGCTGATCGACCCAACATTGACCCTAGTATATAAAAAAGCTCACCAGAACGCCCCTTAGTGAATACCCCTTAGCGACAATCAACAGACATGTTAGCAGCTTGGGCAATGAGCGGTCAGAGAACAAGTAGCATGTGCAGAAAGCTTCACTATTGTTAAACTAAAAATGAAGATTACAAAACAAGAAGAAGCAGACAGACAGTAGGACAAAATCGGATAAGTTTACGCCACCTGGGCACTCAAGGTCCGAGGGCCTGCGGTCTCCCCCACAGTGGTTGTGGCCGTCACAGAAGAGGTCCCTCGAAACACATCGCCAGTTGTAGCAGAGGTGCTGGTGCAGGTTGGGACATGACTTTGCATGGGCGTCTCCTGGACAAATGAGAAATTTTTCTAGGCTAGCTGGCGCAAGCTGCTGCCCGATACTAAGGGGTTAGCCACTACCATTCATCTCTTCGTTTATTGTGGCAGAACAAGATCTTCAATGAGCACGAGAATCACTGAAGGCAACACTGTGTGCTACACATGGATTATGTGGTCAAGCAACAAGCATGCAAACATTGTGCAAATACCTTTGAGTGCTTTCCACATCCCACAGGAAGACATGCCCACTAGCAGACAACAAAGTAATTATGATGACTGAACAAATGAATTAATATAGGAGTACCTAAATGAATGAGTAGATCAATGTGACACTATAAATTGATGAACTGCTGAAAGGGTAGGTTTTATAGCGGGAAAAGTCTATGACTAGAAAAGGTATTCATTGACATGACCTATAGCATAAAGTGAAAAATGAGACAAAATATATTAACAGGAATGCATTATGTAAAGAATAATGAAGACAGAAGTCAATGGAAATTTTAATGAATTAACTCATCAAATGCATGAATTAATAAATCAATATGAAAACAGAAATAACAGTAGCACAAGGCAGGCACAGCAATAAAAGCAGTGAAAGGCAAGTCAAGGAAATCAAAATTATTGACAGGCAAATAATGCACATTCATGCCGGAATATTTATACGAAGAAAAGATATTTACACGAACACGACTTCAGATAGTCCTTTAACACCCACTTACGACAAAGCGGCAAACGAATGACATGCCACAAGTCCAAGGTTTTACATCTGGTGCGTAGTATTCCGAGTTTAGTGGTGGTACAGGCACGCATTCGGAGCGAGAGAAGTGTGTGCCCCACTCGCAGTGGTGGGTGAAGATCGCTTTGGAACAGTTAACCCAGGGATTTTGATTAAGCAAGTCGACATATAATGGGAGAATGAAAAGCCAAACAAAGAACACAAGAACCATTCTGAAACATGCCGCTATTTAATTTTACCACTTACCGTTAATGTAGGTGGTGAGCACGATCGTCAGACGAGGCACCAGTGCGTCACTAGTGACATTGAACGCAAACACCTCAAGCAGGAGTGATCCCGGTGAGGAAGCCGTCGGGACCACCACTTGGAGGTTGAGGTTCGTTTCCCGCAAATCCGAATGGTTCCCGCAGAACCGCCGACTCAGCGCTTCTTGGTTTGTGTTCAATGACCTCACCCTGAAGAAGTCTTCGGAACAGTTAGGTGAGCTTCTTGTAGAGAGCTCCACCACTGTCACCAAAACTCCGTAGTTTTTGGGAAACCGAACTCTGACCGTGCAGTTGATGATCTGAGAGTCGTTGAGTTGTATCAGAGCGGAAGAATCTTCTGTCATGGTGATGAAAGTACCGTTGGTACTGAGGTCACCATCGTTGTCACAAAAATCTTGGAAGATGTCTGCAAGTAGAAGAATGTGATTGTTGGCTTTCCATTTTGAAGACTATATGCATTATACTGTCCTATGTCTAGCCTGCACCGAGGCGGTGCAAGTAGAGGCTACTTAAGTTAACCGAACTGTCACTTACACAAAGAGCCTATGAAGGCTAGCTCTTAACCATGCAAACTCCTCTGTGGAATTTTGTATATCAACATTCATTGGAATGACACAGACATTGTACTGTTGCGAGTGACGACAACTTTTTGTGTTAAATTTTTTGGGATGACATTTTATTACAGTTTCTAGAAAGGAGTTTCACTACCAAAGCTACTAAAGCAAAATGTCTCAACCGTTTGCCGTCGAGCAGCGCAACTTAACCGAACACTACATCACCAACAACAAACGCAAAATCTCTTGAAAAAGAAAAAAAATAACTGCACGACTGTTTATTAATGTATTTTCGTTTTAATTCCTTCTTCCCAAGTCCTCAGTTCTACGTTATGGCGGTAAGTGCAGCCTGTGTGATAGTATATATATATATATATATTTTTTTAGAGATTGTTCAGATGACTCCGATAACTATACCAGATACCCCTCCGCCGCCTTAGCGCATACGTCGAATCGTTAAATATTATTTGATTCCACTCCTGCAAGAATCTCAAAAGAGATGACCACAACATCACGACCATCTGGTGGGCTAGTTGGTTGATCATATTGTTGAATTAACAGCGCTCTATCCTGTCTCCCTTATCTCTCCTTCCTGTCGTATTTGCGCTGTTAATTCAACAAGATGACCACAACCAAACGATCATCTCCATAGATACGAGCAAAATTAATAAAGAAAGGAGCTGTCACTACGCTCACCCATCTTTTTTTTTTTTTTTCTTTTTAATTGATCGCCTTCAAACCCCGCCGCTACCACCTGTTACAGACTTTCGTCACAAAACAGGAAGTGAATCAATGTGCCCTACCTAATGAGGCGAACCAGACGGGACCCATTGAAAACGCGGAGACACCCATTCAAACACGCGACCGCCATTTCCCTTTCAAAACCCCATTTAAACTTGCCGACGCTTTGAAAGATTTACGGGTTCTCCGAAAAGCTGTAATATATACTCACATTCTGGCATAGACGAGGCCGTCGCCCGAGCGTCCCAGCTGATCGCCAGCAGGAAGCAAGCGAGCACGCTCCCAAAACACTGGGTCATGTTTTGATTGTCTGTGGTGATAAGGCGCGCACTGTAGCCTCACAGAAGCACAACGAGCACACTCGCGTGTCGGGGTAGTTACCAGTCAGTCCAAAGGTTAGTCATCTACCCCCTATGCACCAACTCACCAACGAGCACCGCCGGTGTGACTAGGGGCTGTGTTCAGGATCGGCCAAGCTCGTGACTTCATACATTGCCCTCACCACGGCGAACGATTTCGCAAGGTTCCCTCGCCATTGTTCGACGGCGGCGCTCTTTCTGCAAACGGTTTCCCTCGCGGCCCGCTGATTGCATCGACCACGCAGCCGTGACATAAGCGAAGCCGCCACGGATAAGATATCCGGAACACACCTTGTTATCTTGTTATCGCCGCACTACAGAAATATGGCGGCACGTTAAAATACCAGCATGAAACATCTGGTCACTTCACAGCGCTAGATGGTGTGAGACATCGCCCAATTTTGTAACTCGTGAACAAGTTGAGTGGTTGAGTAATCTCCATATCTTATACGTATTGGCGGTTAAATTTGAATATAATCAAAGGAGAAAAACATGTAAAACATGTTCCTCAAATAAGAAACCAACTAAAAAACACGGAGTTATCAAACTTACCTAACAAAAACAAGAAAGGAAAGGAGAAAACGCAACCAGCTGACCAATTAATTCTCGTGATATATTCAAACGTAACGAAGACAAATTCAATTACTATAAATGGTAGAAAGTAATGAATTTAAATGAAATTACAAATGGCCTTTGACCAAATTTGCTTTGATCGTGTGTGTGCCGGAGACGTCGGAGAGGAGCTATTTAGGGGGTGTAGGAACATGGCCGCTGCCTGTAGTCTCTCGGGCCTTCGCGCTCGGGACGCTTCCCGTACCTCTATCGGCGGCCGGACCGTCGGTCCCCGGGCGGCGGAGCATGGCTGGCGGCGGGACGAGCGGGCAGGGCGTCGGGCTGGTGCTACTGCTGGTGCCGCTCGCCCTGGCCTACGACTGGGGCGGCCGGCTCACGCAGCCCACATGCCTCGAGATCCCGGCCAACCTCACACTGTGCCGAGACATCGGCTACAGCAAGATGCGCCTGCCCAACTTGCTGGAGCACGACAGCATGGCGGAGGTGCAGCAGCAGGCTCGCTCCTGGGTCCAGCTCGCCAACCGCCGCTGCCACCCTGACACCCAGCTTTTCCTCTGCTCGCTCTTCTCGCCAGTGTGTCTGGAGAGACCCATCTTCCCTTGTCGGAGCCTCTGCGAGGCCGTGCGCAGCGGCTGCGAAGGAACCATGCTCCGATACGGCTATCCGTGGCCCGACATGGTGCGCTGCGACAAGTTCCCCGTTGACAACGATATGTGCATCAGCGTGCAGTCCAACAACCAACCCGCACCCGGTGAGTTGATCTCCAACAAAAAAGATCGGCGACAGGTTAATAAGAGTTCAGGGGAAGCTCCTCCCACCTCTTTCCACTTAAGCAAAGCTAACGCTGGAGAGGGGCGACCTCCTCTCCAGCGTTCGCTTTGCTTAAGTGGAGAGAGGTGGGGGCTGCTTCCCCTGAACTCAACCTGTCACCGACGATGAATACCTCACCCCGAGCTCAAATCACGATTGCCTTTTCCACTTTAGTACTCTTAACTGGGAGTGAAAAGGAGGGTAGGACCAACCGTTGGCACATAGATCGAAGAAAGGGCGCGAGCATGTCTGCTCTTTCCCTTGTTATCTTAACTAATACTTTTATTTTCTAATGACCTAGACATTTCGGGACAGTCAAGGACAGACATTTTCTTTTGTACTTGTCGGGGCTTCCGCACATCTACGATTATTATTGTGTCAAGAAACACGGATGTTCTTCTATAATGCATTCAGCTGTTCTATGACCCTGGTGCAAGTGATAAACAATGAAACGCCTGCAGAATCCCCGGCCTGCAGAGCCTGCCAGCAGCCCAACACCACGGAGAGCCTGGTGGACAACTACTGCCGCGCAGACTTTGGTGAGTGCACCGCCGTCAATTTCTTTGTTTCTTTTTTGGAATGAAACAATTCCCAAAACTCTTGCAGTTCTACGAGCTCGTGTCAAGCGTCTCCAAGGCTCCGTGCTCCAGTGCAAGCGGGCCAAACTGCTCAAGGTCCGCGAAGACCTTTCGCGGAAACAGCTCCGGAGGCCGACGTTCCGCAGTCCCGACCTGGCGCGCTGCTGCGGTCCTCTCAAGGGCCAGCTTCTTCTGATGGGCACAAGGACCACTGATGGTCGTCTGCTACCGACACTGATCGTGCCATGGCGCCGAAGCCCCACGTTTCGCAGGGCCCTGAAGCTGATGCGAGCCGTCAACTGCGCCAATCCCTTGGTACACTAGTCCCACTCGCGCCCGACTCGTGCCTGGATGTCCGTGTCAGTAGAGGATGGTGATGTGACCTGCAGTCTGCCATTTTGGCTCCTAGCTACTGCTGAAACCTGGAATGTGGCACCTAGTTACTCCTCTCCCTCTCCAGAGCTCCAGATGTTGTGCTAGATGCTCTGGTGTTGCTGGCTGTTGGCTCAGCATTTCATCCCCAATATTATTAACGCATGCTGCTGGACGTGTGCGGACCGCGAGCTTCCACATTATTAATTTTACACGATCAAGCTTGTCTGCCTCGGAGGTCGGTGTGTCAAACTTGCACATCACCAATGCTGCTTTGACACCTAACATGTCATGGACGTACATAAACATCCTAAGAGAACAAAGAAGGTCAGCACTAATTGAGGTGCTGCACTTTAAGTGATGTCTTGCAGAAATTGTATGTTTTAGCCTCCCAACACCCCTTCGTGTTGGCGAACAAATGTGAAACAAGCTATTCAAGCCATACAAACTAACTTTGGAGATTTTTGAGAATACTCAAAAATATTTCTCATCAAACACTTGGACATTGAGAGAAATTTGCGTAACACTAGAGACTTTAATGCACAGACGTTTTGCACAGACTCTTTTCTTTCTCAGTGTGTACAATCGAAAGAAAGGGCTCTTTCCAAAAGCATTAAAGTCTCTATTATTACTCACATTTCTCTTAACGAGATTTTGAGAATGAAACAGTGACCGTTTGTGCTTGATGGACCGTGCCATCCATTACATCAAACCTTTTTAAGCCAAAAGTTACTGCTGACACATAGACGTTAACAAAAGCAAGAAATTAATGAGGCAAGTCACATGCTTGGAAGTGTAGCAACGCAGCCTTAAAAATCTTAAATGTCACCTTTTTTTAACAATGTTTTTTTAGGGATTTAGCACTAGGAGACAATAGCATTAGTGTTTTGGAGCCAAAGTGACTAGCTGCCATGAAACATCTACCATGCTAGACAAATGTTGAATAGACCGTTTGCTAAATTACCCAAGTGTCAAGAAGCATTCTGCAAGTGTAGACGCACCGTGCACGTGCTGGCGTCTGCAGCAGTAGCTCGTTTGAAGCAAAAACCTAAGACAAATGGCACCTCGCATGTATGTTTGTCAACGCCCGATTTTGGTTATTTACCTCCGACTTTTTATGCAGATGAGGCAAGCACGTGCAGCGCATGCACCTACAGTCTCGGCATTCTTTTTGAGCTTGGGTAATTTAGCAAAAGGTCTATTGAGGTTCTGTACTCCAACTTTCGCAACTTTTTTCTCCTTAGTAATGCTAAAGGGTTGCTTGTGTCACAGTCATGCCTCAAGTGCCACATCCGAAATGCCACACGCTCCGCTGGCTGGGGCTGATGCTCGCCACATGTAGTACCTCTCTTTTCATCGGCTTGGTCACTCTTGTCGGTTTCATTTTTCCTTTTGCTTGAGCATGTTTTTATAAAAACTTTTTATGGTGTGCCATTTTCTTTTTATGCCCCCTTATTAAATAGAGAACATACTGAACAACAACAACAAAGTGCCATTTCATGTTCTATGTCAGTGCTTCATACTCTTGACTGTCTGCTGCATTGTGTGTGTGGTAACATACTTGCCACCTCTTGTGGGCATGTGTCGTGTGCATTTCTGCCTTCCGCTTTTTTTCTGGCTTCCTGTTCGTTGTGTGCATTTGTGAAGCCTGGTCATTAGAGAGTGTTTCTTTAGGATTTTATTGCGTGTACGTGTTTGAGTGTCACAATATTAAAACGCCGTGCGGTGTTCATGCTACAAACTTTTGCCCTTATAGAAATGACAACCTTGTGTGGACTTGGTAAGATATGTTCGAGTATTTTCCTATAGTGTTAATGCTTAATGGGGATGCTGCTTTGTATAGTCCCTCAGCTGTGATAAGCATTAGTAAAATAAAACAGGTAATGATTTATTCCTGGCTTCTTCATTGTGTGTCTGGAATGCACGTGTTGCACTGTGCTTCAGGAAGCCAGCATTTGATATGAACAAGCATTCCCTTTTCTCCCCTTGAACAAAGTTATCTAAAAAACAAAAGACCAGCTGAATATCTTTCCTTAAAGAGCACTTCTGTGGGTCTTCGTGCCACAATTTGCAGCTTTGACGGATATCTATCTGTCTGGTTAGGAAAAGGCTGACGAAAAATAGAAACTCTAACCAAACTTGGTTAGAGTTCTATTCGTTATACCTAATTTGCCCATTCAACCATCATTCAACTGAATGTGGCCTAATTCTTGAAAACGGTAGATTTTACTTGCTCCACGATCAGTCAAAATTCGGACTTGTAGCTAATGGCAGATGGAAACACAACTAGGTATGCATCACTGGCATACATTCTCATTCTTGTCCCTGGGCTGTTTTTCGCCAGCATCCCGCCATTCCGCGAGGATAATTCACGGCAAAGGTGAAGAGGCGGATTTTTTACGAATCGAAAGTGCTGAACTTTGGTCCTTTGGTCGAACTGAAGAAACGACCCTAGCGCCCCTCAGCGCCACTGGTCGCCACGCGGCCGACGCGGCCACGCCACGCCGCCACGCTCCACCACACTGTGCTCCACAAAATCTATGCCACAGCCACCACAGCGCTCCACCAGAGCGGCTCTTTGCTTTCAAGATGGCCGCGCCCATTGTGCGCCTGTCGCAGTTTGGCGGTGGTCGCCGTGTCGCCCTACAAGTCGCCGAAATGTCCCGAAATCACAGCTTGCGCTAACGGCGACCGGTTTCTAAAGGTCGACCTCGTACGCGCGCAGCAATCTAACGTGCCTTATCGCTCTCGAGCGGTCCTAGATCTGACTCGACCGACGTTTCGAGCCACGACCGCATCAAGACAGCGGGGCAAGTCCGACCTGACCGCCATGGTCTCAACGTTGCGATTCGGCGGACGCGTTCCAACTGCACAGGCTGATCGTACTCGAGCGAATCTAACATCGCTGAGGGTGTCTTCCTGATGAAGCCGAGGATACCATGGCCACCAGACGCAACATCGAGCTGGGACTCCTCGCGAGCCTCCTGTGCACGCTGCTCATATCCTTCAGCATCATAATGCGTTCTCCGGTCGCATGCCCGTCGCAAGAGTCTGCCGACGGGAGCTACGACCAGGACGAGAACGGAGTCGGTGGTGATACGCACCGATTGGCAGTCATCGTGCCTTTCCGCGACCGCTTCGACGAACTTCTGCTGTTCGCGCCGCACATGCACAAGTTTCTCAAAGCCCAGCGAATACAGCACCGGTTCCTGATCGTGAACCAGGTGGATCGGCTGCGTTTCAACCGCGGTTCGCTCATCAACGTTGGGTTCCTGGTCGCCCAGTCGGACTGCGACTACCTAGTCATGCACGACGTGGACTTGCTCCCGCTGAACCGTGAGCTGAGCTACGCGTACCCGGCGAACGGCGGCCCGATGCATCTGGCGGCGCCGGACCTCCACCCGAGGTACCACTACCCGACGTTCGTCGGCGGCATCCTTCTCATGAGCAACGCTCGGTTCCGGCAGCTCAACGGACTCTCAAACAAGTACTGGGGCTGGGGGCTCGAAGACGACGAGTTCTACGCGCGGATGCGGGACGCGAGGCTCAACGTGTCCCGGCCCGGCGGTCTCAAGACCGGGATTCGCAACACGTTCCGGCACGTGCACGACAAGCAGCATCGTCCGAGGGACACGGCGCGCCTGCACAACCAGCGCGCCGAGACCCGCAAGAGGGACCGGGTCACCGGACTCGCCGACGTCAAGTACGACCTGGCGGCGCTGCATCGCCTGGTCATTGACGGCGCACCCGTCGAGGTGTTGGACGTGAGGCTACGCTGCAACCTGACCGTTACTCCCTGGTGCCAAAAGTGAAAAAAGAAAGAAAGGCTTGTGCAATCGCTCACTCCATTGATCAGTCACATTGGGATTTGGGCAGTGCCAAACAGACCCGTGTTGCAAGTAAGGTCGGGACAGCAGAAAATGGGGGAATTGTATTTCAGTGGCGAAGCACTTTTGTGTTGGCTTGGCAGTGTTGCCAAAGCGTAGCAAACATACAAAAAGCGCTACAAGCAAGGACAAGTAGGACGAAAGCTTATCCTTTGGTCGCTTTTGTCTGTGGCATTATTGTGTTTTTGCTCGGCGGTGGCCGAATACCGTGACCAGGGGTGAGAGGCAGGCAAACTTGTTGGGTACACCCGTTTCTAGAGCACTTCAGATTGACCCATACATTTCACTATTTCACGAGCTGTACAACATGAACCTCTGCAACACAGCACTATTAGAAGCATATTATTTCCACGTCGCATTACATGCTCGACAGTCCTGCATAGCTGTGAAGCCGATACTATTAAGGATTTCGGCTTGGGGCAACGCTATGTGGCGCGATTCAAGGTTGTGCTTGTTGTCCTAAGGCTCACACATTTTACGATACTTGCCAAGCATCCTGCTTGAGAAGGCTCCATGCTTTGGTTTCAATAAACGAGTCAGTTGTGCCATATAGAACATACTGAAACTCGCCTTTTTGCTACAGTATCCAGTCATTCAACAGTCGCAGAAAAAAAAAGTTTGCCGTTCACTCTAATTCTTCAAAATGTTTAGTTACAAGTTGCCCAAGACACCCAACAATTTTCGGAGTACTGCAAGGAAAACGAACATCCCCCTCCCCACCATAATTGATCGAGCAGAATAGCCAGTGGTTGAAAGCAAGGACTAAAAACAAAATGCGCTGCAGCAACATAAACAAACCTGCCGACTCATGTGGTTGCAAAAGAAAGAGATGCCGTGTCCAGTGAGCAAGCAGACTCCCTGTCCTCTTGGCGATGGTAATAAGTTGAACAATGGAGGTGACATTCGTTTCTGAACAAAAGGCAATCGTGCTCCATAAATAAATTATTGACTAACTCTTGCAAGGTCTCGCCCGAGTGAGGGCCGCAGAATGATTGTGCAAATGACGACGCTTGTACAACACTAGATTCCTGGTCCAAGCACACGCTTTATTCCGGTGCCTACACACCTAGTACATCTGTATAAATCATCTCCGAACGCCACAATGCAGTCTGTAACAATGTGTACATCATGGTGTCTGTATTCCAAAGCGCGGCTATTGTGGGAATTTGCAGCGCAACTTGTCAAAAGCCATTGGGGGGACTAGGCAGGGCACATCTTCCAACTAGCAACGGCAAGTGCGCATCGTTTTCGTCTTGCGACCCCACACGCATCATTCAGCATCTGTACCAGGGGATGCACATGGCATCTTTGAAAACTTTGTACTCTCCACTCTGCTTTTTTTTTTTTTTTCTTACGTGGCAAAAAATAGTTACCAAGCTTTAGCAGCGTATTCTTGTGTAAGAAAAATACATGGTTAGAAAAAAGCCAAAAATAGTGCGTCGGGGCCAATATCTTTTTACCCGTCTTCGCGGGCACTTCTCTAGAGGTATGCATGCTCACATGTACTGGCGGTTGCTCTCGGAGAGACGCGTTGCGCTTTGGAGGGGAGGTTTTGACGCGTGCACGGCTAGCCTGTGGCCGACGTAGCTAGTTTCCTGCCATACCACGTAAAACAACACTGCAAAAGGCCAACTAGTCATGTCGGGGCGTGTTTAGGCACATCGCGTGATAGTGTAGCGTTTTCTAATGCAAGACAATGCTTCGCCAGCAAGCGAACACTCATAGAATGCGTGCAGTTTAGTAAATAGCTCTCCTTCGCATTTATTTTATTTTTTTAGGCTCCATTTAGAAGAAGACCGAGGAACATGCTCCTGCTGCGCGGGGACGGCGCAAGAATCCGGAACAGCAAGCTCGTGTATTGTTTTTGCTGGAGCCAACAATCGAGCCACACATATAATGTCGACGCTCCGTTCTCCGATTGTCTCGTGGCTTCTGCAATTTTGCTGCCTTGTGCGGAACGAGCACAACTGACGATAGTTACTATTAAAAAAAGCGACTTTCTGAACTTTGGATGCAAGTTTCAAGAAGCCTGGACAATATTGGTTTGCTTTGTGTTGGACCATTTTAACGTTCCTGGAGGACGGAAAAGCAATTCCTACGATTTCAGACCGCTAGCAAAAATTCTTTTAAGCAAAAAGGTAGCTCAAGTGTCAGTGCTCTGAGGCGCGTAGCTGGTTTGGTGGCTGTGGTTTTCGGCTCATGCTTTTGTAAAACTTGTAAAATGGAGTACAAATGTTGCGATTTGTTGATGGCACTTTTTTTTCGAGCCTTTAGTGGTGCGGCAAACTGCCGTATGAAGCGCCAGTTTTCTGACAACGTAAGTGTGCAAGTCAGCAAAATCTTTGAAACATGGAAAGCAGCAGCCAACACTTCCGACAACATTTGGATCATTTCTCTGGAAAACGGTCGGCTCCCCTCGCTGCTTCCATGCAAGGTCATGCCCACAGTTTTGTCGGCCCGCTTGCACTACTACCGACAACGCGCCGTACCATTACGACCGGGCTACAAGTACCTGCATGTCCCTAGTGTGAACCAGAAAGTGTTTTCACGTGTGTACACCCAACAAAGAAAACAGACAAACGTGCACCGTGCTACAGACTCTGAAGAAGGCAAGCGGACGACGCGATTCGTTGCAACAGGCGCCACAGTGACAGAAGCTCGACGTCAACAACAACAACGATAACAACAGTGCTGTGCTATGAGGTGCAGAGATCGGCAAAAAGAATTAACAACCCCACGATGACGGGTAACTTTGCCCTTGCCGCTCGTGCTATCTATCAGCGGATGCAGATACTACACTGGCACTAAAAACATGCCTCACATATTGGTTTTATAATAGCAGCTCTGGTTAGTGATTTTGTTCTCCATTGCCCAACGAGCAAACATGCAATTCACGGTGTGCAGTACAGAGAACCTTAAATGTCTCGTCTGCAAGTCAGTATAGGAAGCAAATGTTCCCTCCAATTCGCTCAACTTTAACAAAGCTCTAGACAAATATAAGCTTCTGAAAGGGTGACCTACGGGTCGTAAGACATTCCAAAGTCGACACCTTCCAGTTGATCCATCCATTTTCTGGTCCTCATTCAGATGTAGATGAATTATTTTCGATGGCACTGCTACGTATCCTTCTAATGTGCAAGTTGGACATGTACTTTAGGGTTCAACTTGCAGCGGAGAATTGGGACCTCCCCCTTTCCCAATAACCGCAGGCCAAATTAAAGGGCTCTCTGTGGAATTCGCCCGAGTGTCGCAAGTTAGCCCTAAAGGCGAATAAAGGAAAAGAATTTGGGCCTTGTAGAAGGTTTCGCTGTGCAGTTCCTCAAGGTACCGTACATGACTTTCTTTCGAGAACACCACCATCTGAAACTCTGCACCTCGACTAGTTCTGGGGAGAGCTCAGCAACCGTACATCGGCAAAGCATTCAGTCTTCTGAGGCTGTTTGTATTTCTTGTGTAGTAAACCTCGAAGCAATGACCAACCAAAGGCACGCTGGTTCCTTTCACTCTGCTCAACTTGAGCCCTACGTGGCTACACCATATTGCGCTCAGTCAGCCCACAACTTCCAACGTGTCTGTGGTAGCGATGTTTGTGCAAGGTTAGAAAGAAAAAGAAAAAATTGGTAGCTTGATTCAAGATCGCATGACACGAATGAGAGTTTTGGTATTAAGTCTGTACCGAGGTTTCGAGCACATTTCAACAAGCAGAAAGATTGGTTTCAACTTTCAGGTTCAATAATGCAGACTTTTGGATTATTGCGAGATATGCCTCTGTCAGTGGTACTACTAACTAGGAAGTATTGTTGTTTAATGTTTAAAATTAAATTTAGCTCTTCCATACCGCCTAGATGTCGGGGAAATATTGTTACAATCTTTACATTTCAGTAACAATAACTGACCTGCCACAGACACATTACACTCTGAGGAACCGTCGGATCCCTAGTCGATTCACTAATTCTCAACGCACTCACTTTATGCATGCCTCACTCATGAGGACATATGGTAACCGCTGTCGACTAAGATTTCACCCAATATCACCTTGCAGGAAAGCAAGTTTTTAGTCATTTTGCCACACCCTGGTAATTGAAAGGAAAATAGAGTGGTGCCAGTTGAAATTTCATTATAAATTTGTCTTTTAAGCTCAAGGAAGTTTTCAGTGAAACATCAGCTGTTGCTCTTTTTCTATCTATGAGCACTGCATTTTGTCAATATTGACAGGTAAAAGTCGCAACGGTAAACCAGCTCGCTCGCTAATCGCTTGTATTGCTGGGAACAGCATAAACTTTATCTTAAGCTCTTTACTATCTGCCATTCATTCTTCAAGTTTCAGGGGGGTATCCTGGCCAATAAGGAGATCTTGAAATCGGAAGTCTCTCTGTCAAGAGCATCAATTCCTCATGCTTGGGCTCCGGACATAGCAGGCCTCGCGACATGAACGAGGTGAGCTCCAAACACTGTTTGCTGCAGGCATTTGCCGGGATGTCTAGACTGCTGGGAGGTGGGGTCAAAAAAGCTTTCACAAACATCTCTACATTATGATATCTAAACAACAGGTGGAAGCATACACATTTGGTAGCACTTCATGAAGGTGCAATGAAGCATGACTCCACATTCTTGTAAACACTCCAAACTGCCCATTCGTGCCATCCAACAGTGCAGGCCCGATTGCAGTGTACCCGTCTTTACCAGCACTGTGCCTCCGGGTTGCACAGTGCTGCCGTGTACCGTTATCTCATCCAGCAGAGTAATCGGTACTTTCCTTGACAGAGTTCAAACACACTCATCATCCGAGACACTTGATTCGTCTTTGTGTTCACACAGAAGAAGCAAAAAAACAACAAACAGACATAACTTCATCTTTCCCTGGCTAGTTGTACAGTTGAAATTAGTCCCACTTCCTGTCATCTAGTCTAGCTTACTCAAACTTTCTCGAGGACATCCTATCCTACTCTATCCAATCCTACATTCATCACACTTCTACACTTCTTCGTGCCACCATCGTGTATCTCATTGCACTTATACTTTGCTTCATACTATCATCTATTATCAATATGTCACATGCACACATAAACACACATGCAAATGTTCCATCTAGTAGGAAACAAGGCATTTCCACACAAGGTAGCTCCTCTCAACATTACAAAAATGTCTGAAGCAAGACAGAAATAGTGCTGTAAGCATGACAAAAAAAAAAATGCAGAGATCGTCCTAAAGCATGCAAGTGGGTACGGCGAACAGGGATGACGCAAACGCCGTGCGACGGCTTTGAAAATAAAAAAAGCTCTTGTCAAGCTCGATGCTCTGCAAAGGTGCCAAACCCTACGGTACACCTGTGTGCAAGACGAAAGCTCATGCAGCCAAAGACAAAAAACATAGCACCCTCGCATGGTAGTTTTGACAATAAGGTAAACACAAACTCCGGGAATGCAAACTATAGCTCCAAAGTGTACCACCGTCACAATGTGGAAAACGCACTCCCAAAGATAGGAGCGCGAGTTTGTAGCTTTTACTGTGCTTCACGGAGTGTGGAGCACGAATTCGCCTTTCGGTACACAAAAGCAAACTTCAGTTGCTTTCAGGTGACTGATTATGCCAGGTACTTTGCAGGTTTGCAAGTTTCAAGACTGTCATTTCGTTCATCGTAGGCCGAATATTGTATGGGCACTCGGGTGCGTGAAAATAGGTTTGTCTTTTTACTAGCATAACCTTACGTTTTGGCTTAATGACCGTCAGTGGGACAAAACAATGACTCGACGTCGTAAATGTTTCTGGGGCCAAGTCGCAGCAACATCCCCACCTGACCCAACGAAAAGTACCGCTCGGAGATAGGCCCAAGGAAAGTCGCAGGCTCCCAGCATTGCACACTGTTCATACGGAGAAAGCAAGCGGAAATAAAAATGACAAGAGATCATCTCGGAACATACGAAACGTGACAAGACTCGATCATCTCCAGAGAGAGAAAAAGCGCAACAAGAAAGCAAAAACGGAAACAGGCCGTCTCAAAAGATACATCCTTTCGTCGCCGGCAGGATGAGATCGAGAAGGAGGTCTTTCGCTCTTCCCGCCTCCAGCGCGAGCTTCCCTGCCGTTCTCACCCTGACAGAGCTATAGCAGGCTACTCCGAGCATGGAAGCTGCATGACGGAAGGGGAGGCTAGCAGAGAGGCAAGAACGCTTGGAGGAGGTCATGCGGAAGGTCGTAGTAGACGAGCGACGGGCTGAACGCACTCCGCAGCGCCGCCAAGTCCGGAAGGGCGGCGGCGCGTGGTGGGCCGGGCCGCGCAAACACGGTCAGCGAGGAGCGCGGGACTTGTGCCAGGAGTCGCTGGAGGTCGCCGAGAGAGCGGCGCGCCAGCGGCAGCCAGACCGGGAAGGTGACTGGCTGGCCGAGGTTGTACTCTCGGACCAGGGCCCCCATGCTCTCCACCATCTCCCGCGTGTAGCTGCGCAGGGATGTGGAAGGGAGGTCTCAGTACACAACGCAAAAGATGAAATCAAAGGTAGCTATGCCACCAGAATCTGTTCTGTGAAGCTATAGGGTGTTATCGAGCCCTGGGCCAGCTCTGATATTGGCCGTTAAAATTGGCACCTGCATGAGCCCTTTGGTAGACACCAATGTGGAGAGGAAATCGTCTGCTTCTTGCGCGGAAGTTGCAGTGACAACAGGCCGACACCGAATTCTGATTGGCTTTCATTGAAAGGTTAGTGGGCAGACCTTCATGCTAGATATGCTTTGAGGTCTACCCACTATTTTTTTCAATAGGCCAGTAAGAGCTCAGCGTTCTGACGTCATCGCAACCCCTGTGCGAAAAGCAGACAAACTTGCACTCCGCATACAACACGAACCTTCCTTTTTCAGTGGGATTCACACTTTTCGCAGGAATGATTTGCCTGGCGTCCCTTGAAACATCCTGTATAGGGTGCTAGTATCAGTTTCGGACCATGCTCTAAAATGTACCCGAGAGGTCGGTGCCCATATGTAGCAACATCAAATTTTCGTGGAAGGCGTATTTTAGTGGTGCATACTATTACTTCCGTGATATTTCAAGGTGTTGCTCCCTTCTCTTCTTCTGGAAATTAAGACCAACACCCTAGACATGGTCAATGACAGTCGACGACGCAGACAACCGAGTTGGCGAGAATCATGCTAGTGGCGCAATCTCCCGAAAAGCACAGTGAGCAGACGACGGTGTCGTCTGCTATCGACTGAAGGCGTCGTCTGCTAAATCCTCGTTTTCGGGGTTAGTTTTTTCCCCACAGTGGCTCTCCCGAGCCCATACCCATCCGCTACGTTTTCCATGTGATCCGATCAGCTGACTCCTAATGTCGGTTGTGCGCATCTGGCAAGAAGTATGGGCAAACGCGAGTCTCGCTGCCGTCGCAGCATCTCAACGACCGGCTGCCAAAGCTTTTGTGAACAGTCAAGCTAGTGACCTGCAGCAAAACAGATATCTGCAACGTCCGCCGCTGCTGCTGGGACACCGCCAGGCTCGCGGCCAGCGACAGCTTGACACTCTTATGATGCCGCGAGGTAGAAACGGAGGGACCACTTTTCAGGGCGCGGCCGACACATCCAATCAGAGGTGCGTTCCAGGCACTGTAGCTTCGCTGCCGTGCTCACCCCATCTTGATGCAGGAGGCGTCGTCTGTCGTCCATCCCAACGAGATGATGGCACGGGGGAACCGCGTGCGGCAGAGCGTCAGGAACGTCCAGGCATCAACTGGCGGCATGACCGAGCAGTCTGGACCCGGCAGGACGTCCGCGTTCAGGATCACCGGCCCTCGGAACTGGAAGGAAGATCCAAAACGAGAACTTCCCAGTCGCAACTTTTTGCCGTTTACAGTCGCTAGGAGCGACAAGTACGAGACGCGAATAATCTCCCATGTTCTCCTGTGGTCAACGACAAGTTCACAAACACGCTTTTCTCTTCAAACAAAAAACTCTTTTTGTGTATATCTTCGCAAAATTTGAGATTTTACCAGACTTTTTTGGAAGGAATGTTATAATTCATCATGTGCATCATTCATAATGCAAAAAATATGGAACACAGAATGAAAATATGGCCGTCAAAAATAACATTGCAAAACAATCACGTAATTTGTCGATCACATTAGTGAGAGAGGTCTTTGTGTCTCATTTCTCTGCACACTGCTTAGTGATCTATAGTGACTGCACACTGCTATAGTGACCAGCTGTACACAGCTGGTCACTATAATCTGAGGTAGCATTCCAGCAGATGACGAAGCCACAAAAACGTGTCCAGCCAAAAATATAGACTCAAGCTGGAATAAATGTGTGATATTTCATATTCTACTTGAAGGTACAAGACATATCATTGGGCTTGAGCATCATTTGTTTCATTATTTGCCAGTTCTCGTAGGTCGCAATTTACCATCTAGGATCTAGATGGCACGCTTCCACAAAAGTGGACGTGCAGCACCCCATTCGTACAGCCTGCCGGTTTCGAAAATTCCATTGGTCTTGCGATCCCGGAAACAAAGAGGACCACTAGTCATCCTGCATTATCACAGAGGTGTGTGTCCTTCTTATCGGCCAAACTCTCGCGAGATAAATATGTAGCTGTAGTAAATAGTCTAAAGGCCGGTCGACACATTGGCATTTCAGTGTGACAGTGTGAGTGTGACGAAGTTTGTTGTTTGACTTCTTACGAAAAAACACGCTGCTGCCGTCTACCGAGCAGGCCTGGAACTACGTCAACTAAAGTGAAGTTTTGGCGGTATTTGTGCAATCAAATGTGTGCACCATCTATGAGAAATGATCGCTCTTTACACTGCCAAAAGCACTTCAAGCCCATGGTAAAAGAATGATGCATAAAAAAAAGTGGGAAATAGACAAAGATTGGAACGTGTTCCTGCACCAACCGATAAATGAAGCCAGTGCGGTCTTGCATTGTAAGCAGTTGTAACTTGTAAGTGTTTGTAACACACTTGGTCATACTCAAATGCGAATGTGTGAACAAGCCTTAAGGGTGATGGCGTTCGTTCCGACCCCGCAGAGTTGTGCACACCTTGTCAACAAAGCGCGCCAGGATCCGGCAGGCCGGCTCCACGACTTCCGTCGACTTGAAGTCGAGCTTGACTCCCTTGGTGCCGCAGAGCAGGAGTTCGTGCAGCCACTCGTCCAGCGTGAGGTCGCTCGAGAGCACGGGAGGGTGCGCCATGACGGGTACGGGGTAGCGCCCGTTGGCACCCATGCTGACGTCGCCTTCGAGCACCATCCCGGGACCGCGCAGCGCGCTGCTGAGGCGTGCCTTGCTGTTGACCGCATGCTCCCAGATCACTTTGAGCCCGTCGCCGTTGGCTTGCGGGAAGTAGTCCACGATCGTGGGCGGCATCATGGCGAGACTGGCGGTCTCGCAGCACGCTCGCTGGAAGAAAAGGAAGGCTGACAACGTCCCGTGAGGCCGTTAGCATCGAAACTAGTGCGGTGCGTGGACTAGCCTCCTTCTGTTGCTTTTCGTTCGGTTTGGATACTAGCTTTTTCAGTTTAAGCAGTTCAGGATAGAAGATCGGTAGGCAGAAATTTGACTTGTGCCGAATGTCAGCTACAAATGGGATGCGACCGCATATGGCACGGTACATATAAAATGACCACATTGATGGAAAAATTAATGTATGCCTACCGCAGATTTTTTTTAGCTTTTGAACGAGATTGTCGACAAATGCCTCATAGTGACCAATCTATGACAGTCAATCAATCTAAGAGACAGTGATTGTCCTACGGCTTTTTTTCCGTTGAGAATGGGGAAAAGACATACGGTAGCATTTTTTAGCTCAGTGACTTATCTTGGATCTAAGCCGAATATGGTGGTGAAACATCAGCTGCTAATCCGAAGCTTTTGAGAGTTCCTACCAACTTCTGCTATGATGGTATTTTGTTTGCACTTCGGATATATTTTATTACTTCTCTTTAACATAAGACAAAACAGTGTGTGCACCAATATGTTGACCTGTTCCAGACGTATCTTAACCTGTAGATAAAAATTCAATCCTCTGCTTTTCGTACACATTTCGGTAAAAGAGTGGTTGTGGTCACAGAAGTCGAGAATTCGTGAAACTTCTCCCGCAGCAGCACATACGTGCCGGTGATACACTATGTATATTAAATGATGATGCTAGGTGGACAGGTACCTCCGCTATTGGTGATTTTGGCGTTAAAGATCCATTGAAATTAATTTTATGCACCCGCCGACTATGAAAAGTAGAGGGATTGCAACATTCTCACCTGTTGTTGTAGAGACCACACTTTGGATGGGTAGAGACCCTCAGCGTTGGCGTCTGTGTTTATCCTGGAAACATTTTTTTCAACGCATGACATGTCACCAAAAAAATGCTCGATCGTTGACTGGACATGCTGAACCAATTCTCAGTTAATCTTTTCCAGGAAAAGTCCTGCTTGGTCTGCTCGCACCGAATACTGAAGACCCATATTTACTTCGTTGGAAATGGCGAAACTGGGCCTGGCTGCTCGAAAAAGCAGGCTGTCTTGGTCAAGACTTCCTGGAAGAAATCGCTGCAACTGCTAGGGCTGGAGCATGCGAGCTCATAAAACGCCACGTCAATGCGCTCTACCGCTGAAGTGATACAGCTCTGCCGGTGCTTTGTCTCAGCAGATGAAGTTCTGAACAAGTTGATGTAATCATGCACTGATCACTCAGGGAAACCGACGAATGCATCTTACGAAGGTAATTTAGCCCGCCACTGGTGCATGTCTTTATGCAGAAAAGGTGCATTGCACGTTGTATAAAGTATATGGTATTTCCTGAAGGGTACATCACAGGTTCCCTGTAGGTGAATTGTTTGGGTACAAGTTGTGTCTGTTTTATTTACCCTTACAGCTGCTCCTGGGCATGGAACTATCTTTTCGTGTAGTATGTCTGCAAGGCTCCATACCAAAACCTGAAAAAAAAAAAAAATAAAGATTTATATTCGCATGTTGAGATGGGTCGAGCATTGGAGAGAACATCACGCAGTGGTTTTATCTCAGTCGGAAGGCGAGCTCGATTTTTAATTAAATACTGTCATTCATAAACAAGTGCACCCGTAAAAAAAAAATATTTTATGGCAAAAGTATAATGCATACAGTACCGGGATGCGTTGTCGTAGGCGCTCTGGTGTTTCCGACAATAATATGTGTGGTACTCAAAACTACGTGCACCGGGTCAAGCAACACCAAAGCCATTGGTAATTCTTCTAGCGCGCGAGCCTACACAATCCTACTCACCCCGTTTTCACGATATTCGACGAAAAAATCGACATACACAGCCACACTCCCAGTTTTCTGTTTTGTTTGTGTCGGAAACTAATGGGCAGCACGCTACGACCACAACATTGCATCAAACACGCGATTTTCCTCAATTAAAATTTCTATAACTATACTTTATAATGACGGCCTCTAACTAGTGCAAGAAAAGGTGCATCAAATGCCGAATAGAGAGAAGAAAGTAGCGCTTACAAGGCATTCGCAGGAGAGGTTACAAGCGGGCATGTACCGTTTTCATTCAGAGGGCACTGGCCTCCGGCACGGAAGGTCAATGACATCGACACAGCTGAGCCCATACAACTCCGAGCAAGCGGCGCATGGTTTGGCACACAACTATCGGCGCGGCTAACAGTTTCTTTTAGACTGTGCGCTCTTAAACACGACACGCACGTCGTTTCTTTTCTCTTGTACCCCTTAATCTGCACTGTCCCGCGACGTTGCACTACGGTAATGTGCGCGCAGTGTCCAACTTTCAAAGGTCGGGCGTCTGGCCGACGAAAACGGAACCGATGGATGCGAGTTACACTATTGTACCTCAGTGCACCAAACTCACTCAAAGCAAAACAAATGAAGTTGAGTTATGTCAGAGCGATCCCCAGCACCAGGTGTGGCGCTGCGGTAGATAACGATAAATTGCAGAACTAACGATTTTTGACGGGGTTTTTGTAACCTCTGTAACATTCAATATCAAATTCAAGATTCTTGTATCAATTTTTATACGTTTAAATCCCACTTTTGAATTAGAACGAGCGTTCTTTTGGAGCAATACCGAATTTGTTGAGAGCGGTATATTAACCAAAGATGTTATTTTGTTTTTTTTGTAAATAAACTTACAAAATAATTCATGATCGATGTTGGTTCCTTTTAATTAATCTGATCGATATATTGTAATATAAAGGTCTACATGTATGTATGTATGTACACCACTAGGTAATGTAAAAGCCGTCCAGTTTAAAGTTTTAAAATCAAACTCTACTACATCCACGCGTGTAGAAATGACGTCAAATTTCTTAGCATCTCCATCCACGCATGTGCTGCATAAAGGCGAGAACGCCAGAACGTCGTGAGTTTCGATTCAGTTCTTCTCCGGTTCTCGTTGGTTCTCTACTCTGGTTTAGGACCACGAAGCGATTTTGCGCTGTGAATCTCAGCTAAAGACAATGTGAAGCCTGGTGGAAGATTTTGAATTCATGGAGTGACCCCGAATGAAGTTGGACGGCGTCCTCGCCAAATTCCCTCGGTCACCGTACACCGCAGCGACGAATGTTTCCAGCTTTTAAAGTCTGCAGGGCGGGATTCTTTAGCAGTTCGGTCGGGTGCATTAGTTAGGTGAGGCAACGCTTCATCACTCAGGAGAAAACCCAGGTGTTGTGGCAAGATGGTCTTCACGACGGAGTTGGTCGAAGCTGTAAGTGTTTTTGCGTGGTTTGCACAACCCACACCATTCCTCTTGCCTCGCTCCCGCTGCGCCTGGTCGCCAACGCAGCACAAACGCCTCTCTTTTTTTTAGTTGCACGGTGTGGGCATCATTGACGTGATTCACTGAGCCTACTTCAACGCGACTTCGCTTCTTCAAGTGTCAGCACGCGTGTTCACATTCGCATTTGAAAAAGGGACGTCTCTTTGAGAAACGTTTGCCCGCTAACGCACCTGCCGTTCGATCGTTTCTCTGCGTTTATCAATTTATTGGTGAACAATATCTATAAGCATGTTTAAATTGACTCGGAAATGCGTGGTTTGCATGTGACTTGACGTTAGAAGGGGCGGGGCGCCGCGCCATGCTGGTGGCTGACCGCATACAAGTATGTATGCGCTTGCCAAGGCGTAACGTGCCGTTAGCGGCCTGGATATGCGCAAACATGCACCACCTTTTTGACAAAGGTACTTTCGCGGACACTATCAACTCTAACACGGCAGCCGTGTTCATTCCGTACGCCCAGAGCCCCATAGCAGGGCACTCTGAAATACCTCGCCTACCCCACATGGAAGAGGAAAGAGGCACCAACAAAACAAGCCTGTGAAGCATACATCGGCAAGCGTTGTGGTGGCGTCTGCTTTGCTCCTAGCAGACGACAAGGTGAAAGTGTGGTTGCAACCTGGAAGAGGAATTTCGCCATATGGGTTAGGCAGGTTACACTGTTTTTGGAGTGCGCCTGTTACGTGGCACTGGGGGCACAGAACGGCAGTGGCTGCCGTGTTAGAGCTTATAGTGTCCCTGATAGTGCTGCATAGGTCCCAATTGACATGTGAACTTCAAACGTGCCTATGCATATCTAAGAGACTTTCAAAACGGCAAGAGATAGTAAAAGATTTTGAGCCCTTACCAGAGCTTGAAGTCACAAGTGCATCAGTGTGCTGTCATTGTACCTATCACATAAATGAGGTTCAGCTGAGCTGCTATCATCTATCAGTAGTTCAGCTGATAGTAGCTCTCTATTTGTCTTTTGTCTCCTAAATATGATTGAACCATGAGGACGTCTAGAGTTCAGTTTGTTCCTATTAAATATCATCCTTTCTTACATTTTCAGGCATTAATGCAGCTGTACCACAACACTGATGTTGCCTATGCCGACGCCAATCGCTACCTAACTTCAATGCAGTGTTCCATTGAAGCTTGGGATATTGCCTGGAAACTTCTGGATTCTGACAAGGTATTTAATACATCAATTAACTGGGTTGAAACTTTACTTATGCTTGAGTTGGCTTGTTGGTCACATGATGCAACAGGTGTCTACATTGGATTCTTTATTGCAGCCTGTGGAGGTCCAGTACTTTGGTGCGAACACATTGCACACCAAGATCTCTCGTCACTGGCATGAGCTGCCCAGTAATCACTATGAGGAACTTCGTAAAAAACTTCTCCAGGCAATTGTGCGATACTCTCGGGGGCCAAAACTGATCCTTACCAAGATTCTAGTAGCTGTACGTATGAAGCTGCTTTCTTGCTTGTAATACCATATGCAAAAAGTTCTTTTGGTGCCAACATATTTGAGCTAAAGGACGTGTGCTGGCACACCCATGTCAGATATATGACACCACAATCAAATTGTACACAGAGCCTAGTGCCACCGTTTGCCTGCATGAATAACTGCCGATATGACGTTTTGCCCGACAGTGTGTGATAAGAGTAGTCCAGAATGAATGATCATGATTTTTTTTCATACAGTAGGCTTGCGGTAATTTAAGCTCAGATATTTCATACTACTTATTCAAACAAATTTCAAAAATTTGGTTGTCCCTCTATGTTTTTCAAGGTATTTATAAGCCGCTTTATTCGAACGGCGTTTTCTTGTACGGTTGACGACTGATTTTTTTTGGACGCTGATATTTAGACTTGTTCGATGTTTCAAACCTAAAATGAGAACCGTTACCTGCCCGGTGGAAATAATGCGTATTATTCACAACCAACGTTTCAGAAAGCTTGAAGTCCGAAAGTTAGATTTTTCAGGCAAACTTGTTGCGGCGATCAGCGGGAAACACTACCGAGAAGCCGCCAATTTAAATTCTATGTTGGCTGCACATGGATTGGCTTGGTTTGGCAGCTCTACTTGAGTAGTGCTAAGTCCTACTGCTAGGTGACACTATGCTTTGACTTTTATTTTCTCTAGCTGCGTGTAATTGTCATCTTTATTGCTATAATTTTGCTTTGTTCATTCGTCATTCTCCGTTGTGGACTTTCCCTTCTCATCTCTTTTTGGTGAATTGTGTTTTCAGACTACGCTGGCTTAGACGTCATGGCCCCATTTGTTCTTACGCTGCCGCAAAGTGTCGCTGAGAAGTATGCAATGCACTCCACTGCAGGGTTGGGCAGAAATACCCTAAAAAGTATTTGGAAATACAAATACTGGGATATATGTTAAATGTGCCTAAATTGCTGATACTGAAATACATTTACAAAAAGGTATCGCAGCACATATCAAATACATTTGCAACATAAGAAAAGTATTTGAAAATACAAATACTGGAATACATTTTGCAAAACTACAGCTAGATAGATCATCTACATTAATTTTGCTGTACTTGTTAACTAACAAACAAGTACTCGCAATAGGATTTCAACGTTTACTTTTTTGCACCTGAAACGAATAAACTCCTTCAAAAAAGTTACGAGAGAACATCCATCCTTAACAGTGTTGCGATACCAGGGATACACCCGAAAATGTATTTCGATGCAGAACTACAAAGTACAGTTGAAAAATTGTATCTCTATACAGAAATACCAATGCAAAATGTATTTCTAAAATACTACGACGATACATTTGTATCGTGGTCCTGCCCAACCCTGCTCGACCATAATCGTAATCGTAATCTTTATTGGCTCAGAAGAGCCGTGGCACCATAATGCTAGAAAAGAAGGTGGCAATTCTCAACCTTGTAGAAAGTGGCAGAGCGCAAGTGGAGGCGTAACCTGAAGCAAGGCACTATTCATTTTTTAAGCCCGCTTAAACGTAATAAAGACAAGATTTTTTAATCTGCTAATTTTTCGGATTGCTCTATTGTTCGGAAGTTTTTCTGGCCCATGCAAAGTTAGAAAAATAGGTCGGCGACTGTAATTCATACTTTTTGCTTTAGCGGCCCCGTTGAGTGCGCTTCTTTTCAAGCACCAGTGCACTGCGGACGAACAACATGCACGGTGTTTGTTTCTGCGGGTGTTGCTTCTCTGTAGTGCACCGGCACTCCGTAAGAAGCGTGCTCAACACGGCTGCTGGATGAAGAAACATAATTTTGTTTTGAGGTGTCATGTGCTGTCTAAACAGTCCACAGTAGAGAACATTGTTGAGGGATAAATAAACTTACCTCATGCATTTCACCAATGTTTCATGTCTGGCATACTTTTTTTATGATTAGGGGGCCTGTGTAGAGAACATCACCAAATATTTGCTTTGTATCTGTAGCCATTATAATTTTCCCTTCCATTTTACTTCCGTAGCTTTTTGGAATTTGAATTTACGAGTCTGCTCTAGGTTCACTCCTTATTCATAATTTTGTTTTTTGTTCCCCCCGTAGATGGCATCGTTCGTAATTCACGTCATTCCAGAGTTCTGGTCAACTGCAATACCTGACCTAATGTCATCCATCCATCCATCAGTCATGGTCAACGTTGCGGTAAGTGATCCAGTGTGCCCACCTTGAACGGCAGCTTGGCCGTTCCTAAGCCCCGCTTCAGACTGGGCAACTTTCCCAGCAATTTCGGTGTTGATGGCGAGTTGTTCCCTAGCTTCCTCTAGTGCGACACGAATTGCTCAGATCGCTTCTTGCTCGAAACGGACGAGCAACTCGGACAGCTCGGAGACGTTTGAAGCGGCAGCAGCCAATCAGGGATGTGATATTTTCGCGTGACACCCCGTGTCGGTGACGATGACCACGAAAAACTTGGCTCTGGTTTGAAATTAATATTTCTTGGGAATAAACTGTTTCAGAAAGATTAGATTAGTTAGTATTCTCAATGCCATTTAAAGGTATAAAAACATGTTTCTAATGCATACACAGTGTGTCTAAATAGTACAAGAGAAATAAAATCTAATGACAATGGCAAGTCGCAGGAATTGGTTGCTGCGTGTGTATGCGGGCGGCCAGTGTTGGTGGTGTTGCGACCTTAAGTTGCTGGGAGAAATTGCCCCGTCTGAAGCTGGCCCGACTTTTCCCTTTCGTTCCATCCAACAGCCCGACCACATCTTGGATCTCTTATTGGAACTGCTGACAGTCATCCCCGAGGAGGTAGGACCTGCACGTCCCGTTTTACGATGCTTCTATAGGTTGTCCAGTTTAACAGTCTTACGCTTTTACTAACAACCTGCCCACTTGGCACGTCTCCAACCGTGGCAGGAAAGGCGCCATGGCCACGTCGGCACACTTTCCCCCTCCGTTACTGCAATATCCAGAGAGATAGCCCACTTAAAATCGAAAGCAAATCGGGTGAAAACAAAGAGTCGGCTAATTTTCATTGTGCAATCAAAAAAAAGTTTAAAAAATATGCTAGTCTTGAGATTCTGTGACCTGCGATACTTGGAGGGAGAACTAACCAAATACGACCGTCCTTCACAGTCGTCAATATTCACTTATCTCCCTTCGTGGCTAATTAACATCATTTCTGCCGAGGTCACCATTTGGCAAGGTCCCTGCAATTACTGAAAGTAAGCTATCTTTTGGTGTTTTTGAAAAAATAGCAAATATTCTCAAAAATAGGAGGCGGGGCATCCTCTGGTATATTGTAGCATGTGCACGCTCCTAGAACAAAATGACTATCAAAATATCTAAGCTACGAAAAAAAAGCTCTTGTTTAGGGTGCACGTTTTTGATCCCTCCGGGTCGTTCTTGTACCGTTTGTCTTTGCGTGCGACTCGTACTCCGCAAGACGACAATCTACTGGCCCCGCTTTGTCGCAGCTGCAGGCTCGCGAGCGGACAAGCCGCGGCCCGAGCCGTCTTCGGCTAGAGTCGGCTAGTGAGTCGGTGCTGCAGTTTCTCAGCCGGTTGGTCACCCTGAGTCCCTCCGTGCTCCACTGCTACTCCTCGTGGTCCCAGCTCGGCTTCGACAACGAGCGGCATCTTCAACTTCTGCCGAGGCTGGTGCAGTGCATCGAAAATCCCGAGCTGTGCCGCAGCGCGGCCGAAACTCTGACCAACGTGGCCACGCATCCGGATGCGCACCGGTGTGTACCACCTTGCACTGTGAACATTTGGGAATCACGAGAACTGCGCCATACTCCGTGAATGTAAACATGTTAATGCCGACGGAGCGTGGCAGTCGTTTTAGGACGTCGACAGTCTAGTAACCACGGTTTGAAAGTCTGGAAACTTTCTGTTATTCTTTGTTGTCGAAGTCCGTGGGAAAAGTAGTGGGTGCCGTCTACGTATCGTACCAGAAACGTACTATATTCTGTTTACGGGGCGGTGGGAGCTATGCACTCACTGGACCAATCGACTGTCAATTCTGTCGTCTGACCCCGCTCTTTGCACGCGGGTATGGGCGGGAGCCTGATCAAGTGGCGAAAGATAGACGCATGGCTGGTCCAAAAGCACGTAGCTTCCACTGCACTGTCAGCCTAGGGGTTAACGGTGTGTAGGTATAGCTTACCCGACCCGTTTCTACAAACTCTCCCGGTTAAGTGGCTTTCAAATCCTGTTGCAATCCATTTCCTCTTAATATGGCTGGTTCGCGAGCTCGTGCTGCCTATGTTGTGTGTCTCAAAACCTCTTAAAATATTTTACGACATGAGAATGCACTGGCGCCGTCTATCGGGTAACTGCGGAACACTTCCAGTTTTCATACATTTGCTATTTCCTTCGCACACCATTCTTTCTTTATTGGCTCGAAAACTTTTGACACTGATATAAATGACAGTTTGTCATAGATAGTACATACATTCAATCTCGCAACTTGCGAAAAACCTTTGCTCTAGTGAAACTGAGTTCCAAGGTCACCTCATGGATGGCACAGAGTGCCACTATATTCTTGCGTCGTAGGTGATCACGAGAGCTTAGTTTTTTAAGCAGACGTAAGTGTGTGAACGGACCTTCAGTTTATTTACATTGCCAAAGTCTGTTCCACCTGCCTCAGTTTGTACCGCTTTTGTCTCCTAGGTTCCCCGGTTTCGTAATGGAGGTCGTGTCTCGCATAGTCGGCCTGGAGAAGACTCTCGCCGAGAGTCTGGCACGCGGCGACAGGGTTAGCGCGCCCCTCTTTCCAATGCAAACATTTGAGCAGTGTTTTTTTTTTTCGTGACAGCTTCTGCCTTTTTTTCCCAGGAAAACTCTGCCAGCATCTACAGCCTCCTCATCGAAGTCGGGGAATGTCATTCTCACCTGCTCGTGGAGTCATTACTCTCCAAGCCCGAACACAAGGACAATGTGCTCAAGCTGTTCAGGCTCGTGCTGGTACGTCTATGCAGATCTTTACAGGAAACATATTTGAATGGAGGATGGAGGATGGGTGCTAGTTGAGCTAGCTGCTCTTAGTTTCCTAAATAAATTTGCCAGAGTTTTAGCAGTCCAATATACCAATAATCTGTCAACACCTTGAGAATGATGGTGTGGCCTTTCGGCTATCCAGCCTCCAGTGCGAACTTCATACCTTCAACGATATTGGGGCGTTGTGCGAATTCAAAGCATGCTTTAGGAGCAGTTTTATGGGTCAGGCTGTGAGGTGGTTTGGTGTGGGTGCATATTTGACTGAGAGAAGGGGGGGGGGGAGATGAGACGTCACAGGCAAAGCATTGTTGTTTCACCAAAAACTGAACATTTCAACCTAAAGAAAGGCTGATTTATAAAAAACCTTTATCGAAAGGTTTTCCCATAAAGGTTTTCTATAAAGGTCTGGAGGCATTCAAAGGTCTCCCAAAGGCAGCAGGATCGCGTTGGAAAGCCAGACAGCCTGTCGGTGGCTGTAATGCGCCTGACGTGCCCGACCGAGCTCATGCACGAACGTCGATTTCAGCAATGCAGCGCTTCGCCCGGCCACTTTCCCGTGGACGAGTCGTGGAGTCGACAGGCACTGGGGTTCTGGTATGCGGTGCAAGATGACGTCGGCGCCTGGGAGGGCCCCCAGGGGGAGTCGCTGTTGCTTGCACTGCACTCCCTCTGGCAGGCACTGCTCGAAGCGTTCCTGCGCAAGGCACGGCTTCCTCTCGACGACACCACCTGGACCGACGGTCAGTTGACGGATGTCGTTTTGCCAGGGGCTTACAGTGTTTGTTTTTGCTTTTAGGCAGATGCCAAAGACAAATCTGTAGACAACGTAGAGTAGTGCTTTTAGAGAATTTCAGAGAAAGCTTCTTTTCGGGGGCATCTGTGACTAGCTGAGCATGTTAGTTTCGCACTGCAAAAGCTTGCACTGCAGAATTTAGATGTCATTTCTGACTTTGGTCTCTGCCCTTGCCAGTCTCGAATTGCGTGAATGTCATGTCGGTGTGTAATCACTAATGACCATTCGAAGATAACGGTAAAACTAGTTTTGCGTCTTTGATGGTACGGTACAAAACATGCCACGACACGTCTGCTCGTGCAGTAGCTCATGCCCGTGCCTTTGGCAAAATCGCACTCCAAAAAACTTGATGCAATTGCATGGTATCCTCGCCGTCATGTGAATGGCCATGACGCCACTTAGGATGTGGCAGTTAATTTTTTAATGCGAAAGCATTAACTGTCTCATAGAGCGAGCCTCGCCAAACGGCACCTTAAATCCTTTCTCAAGTGAAGCCAGCTCGCAGCTCTGAAACCACGCGAAAAGCTAGCCAACGGCATGTAAATTCCCCAATCCCAAGGGAGCGGAGTAAAGCTGATGGATTTTCAGCCTCAATCCCGTTCGCTGGCGCGTCGACGAGGCTCTTATTGGCCGCTGCGCGTCAGTTTCCACGACCGCTCACCCCATGGCGCTGTGTGTCCGTCAGCGCGTTATTAACACAGAGCATCTGAGGTCAGCGCGCCCAGGAGAGCGCACGCGCTGACCAGCGACGAAAAGTACGTAGCGGACGAAATAAGGGAGCGGAGGAGCGGCTTGCATGCTTTTGCATTCACAATTCATAAGAAGTGCTTAGGTGTGCCTCGAGCCTTTTTTTTTTTTTTCTGTAGGAGCCAGCCACAACTCGGGGGGGCAAAGAAAGTATATTTATTTTTACCCTGCTCTTGTTTTACTAAACTTGGCTTTTTTTTCTCTTGTTCTTGTCACAGAGGAGAAGGACTCCCTACGTTGTTATCGCCAGGACATCAGCGACGCTCTGGTGCGTACACTACTGCCTACTCCATTTATTATTATCCTTAAAGATAGACTTTTTCTCATGTTTTGGTCAATTGTTTGAAGCCAGATTAGAGATGGGCATGCCACATACTATACTTGTTCGATCCAGGCACTCAAAGTTCTTGCTTAACCTTTACCCATGGCCTTTTTTCTCAATATTATGTTTCGATTGCTGCATAAAGAAATGGCTGCCTATTTGATATTTCCACACTGCCCTTTTTTCGAATACTGTTAAGAGGACATAACCCTTAATTTTAAATTTTTATGAAAAATTATTTTTTTTAAATTTTGAGGTTTTCAGTTTTAGAAATTGTACTTGTTTTCACCTCAACAACCGTAGTAAAAAAAGTCGGGCTTCTCGCATAGCGTTACTAATTTCCCCCTTTATGTAGATAATTAAGATACATGTAGGTGCATTTTAGATTAGATTTATGTTACCTTATCAAGACGTACACGCTTCGAACGCCAAAAGCAGCGCTTCTTTCTCCCACAACCAAATCCTGCAAGAACTACTTCGCACGGCGTATGAACAATGCGCAAAACTTCCTTTTTTCTTGAGGTGAAAACGCGTATAGTTACACTTAATTTGATAACCATATGCCAAATAGTTATGTTGATATAAAATATTTTCAACATATTCTGAGGCAGTAACAAAGTAAGGGTTCAATGTTTGAATGCATTTTTTTCAGTTACACTTTTTGCTGAAAATTTAATACGAAGGAATCTTTTGTTCGAAGGTAAAAGTATTCTTATAGCACAATCAAAATGCTTCTGAACTATAATTTACTGGGGAATCGAGCAATCTACTTTATTTTGTTTTAAGATGAAGTCCTCATTGGTTTCAAAAACTGACATAGGACAGATATGTATCTCATATTTTGAGGTAATAACCCTTCCGGAAATATTTACATTCGAGTTATAAAAGCTAGATAGCCCAAAGTCCCACATTCCGAAGTCGAAATAGTGCTTAATAGCTTCATTTGCATGTTATAGATTTGTTAACGAAGAATGACACATTTTGTTATGCAGGGGTGTAAAACTATCTCAGAGAGCTGAAAGTTTGCACAATACATCTGGTGTTAAATCTCCCCTGCAAATTTCATTATGATCACTTGAGTAGTTCAGAAGTTGAATCTCTAGCCAGTGTTCCCTCTTAAAGGGCCCATGAAACGATTTTTGGGTTTGGATAAATCATTTTAGATTGGGATTTTACTAATAGCACATCGTTCAGTGGACCAAAAGAAAAAAGGTAGAAAGTCAAAAGCCTGACTTTCAGTGCGAAAATTTGAAAACAGAGCGGACTATTTCGTACCTCCTCCCCTTCGCAACTTCTCTGCCTTTTCACTGTGATACATCCGCGGTCCCAAAAGCGCGTCATCGGGTCCAAACTGACGTCACACGCAACCGAACCTCACTTATTCCCTTCACCCCTAAGCTGACATTGTGGTGGAAGCTACGCGCTTGCCGGACCAATCAGCCGCCTCCCTTTCATCACCTGACTTCATTCTCTGCAGCCACATTTGCCACGCTCACGTGGCAAGTGTGGCTGGCCCAAAGAGCACGTAGCTTCAACAGCACTGTCAGCTTCGGAATGATTGGGGTGGGGAAAGCAACTTTTGTCTGAATTTTGAGCGACGGGCTAATCTTCTAGGGGGAGAATGGATGTGTCCGGGATTACACAAACGCGAGTGCGAGCAAGAGGGGACACCCCCTTTTCGTCTTCTTTAACTGTTTGGTGGAATGCGCGATTTATGAGTTGAGGAGGAAAGCTAAACAGGAAAAAGTTAGAAAAGTGTTTCATGACCCCTTTAAAGGGCCCCTGAGAAGAAGAAAAAAATGTTTTTTTAGACAATCTGGTTGGGACATGCGTGTTAAAAAATAATTTTTGCAAAAAAAAAAAAATTTATCTGAAAAAAAATAATTTTTTTAGCAATATTGACGGTGGGAGATTTATCTTAAATTTTGCACGCAAAGCCCATGAAGTCGCAGTGTGAGAAAGTCATACACTCACTCCACCTCAACGTGATGGCCAAGCCAATCCACCTCTCCTCCAAGCGCCCGAAATGCCGAGAGAAAAAACAAGTGGAAAGGAGGTGACTACCAATTAAATCGCATCTCGCGCCATCAATATTGCTCTAAAAAATTTTTTTCCGCGTAACATTCATTTTTTGACACGCGTGTCCCAACCAAACTGTTCAAAAAAAACTTCTTTTTTTTTTTCTTTTTAGGGTGCTTTTAATTTAAAGAGTGCTCTTACATTGAGAAGGCCTTGTTTTTCAGCTTAATTAGCAATTGCATATTTTTCGAGTACAATTCGTAAGGCTGCTTGTCGACAATACTTGTCTTTACAGTGATAGCTCTTATATTGATTTTCCTGCTGCACTTGCAGTTTCAGCATTGCACTAGGTAAAAAACTTCTTTGCCCCTCAACCGAAAAATGGCGGGCGTGCCCACGTGCCCACCAACTCTCATTGCTGGATTAAAAGGGTAGAGCCTAAATTATCATAAGTTATCACGGACAGTGCCGCGGGGCCGGCACTTGCCTCAGAATGTTTACAAAGGAGGAAACCACGTCACTTCTTTTTACCCCTGGGTTTCAGCACGAGCTCATTGGGAGGCCATGCGATGGAGCGTCTGTCCGGTACATTTTTTAGGGCTGCCCGTCGACGATACGTCAGTTTTCGTGACACCTAATGGTTCCGAGTCGCGCTCGCTTGTGGTCGCAGATGTACTGCTACAACATGCTGCGGGAGAGCCTCCTAGCCACGCTGGCAGCCCACATGGAACTCGCCTCGCGGGCCCTTGCCCGAGAGCCTGCCAAGGAGTGGCCCTTCGCCGAGGCGTGCGTGTTTGCGCTCCAGGCCGTGGCCGAGTGCGTCGGAGTCGAGCAGGAGCGCTATGTGGCGCCTCTGCTCGCAGAAGCGCTGCCGGCACTGCAGCTGCACCCACGGGTGGTCCCCACCGCGCTCTCCTGCCTGGGCGCCTTTGGCTCCTGGCTGCAGGTTGGTGGTTTGGTTGACGGCGGCCTTTTTCCTTTTTATCGAGGACAAGGTGCCTCACTTTTAGTCTCTGCCTCCACTGTCGCATTGGTCTTAAAACCAACACCTTGGTGGCTCCGAGGCGAGACGTCTGATCCCCAGGTGGCGGGTTTGAATCCCGGTCGAAGTGCCCACAGTTTGTTGGAGGCTTCTTATAGCAAAGACAGCACTGTGTTACCGAGATTTCGGTTGCTGATCAAAGGGTCCCCAGGTGACCAAAATTATTCCTCAGTGCCTACTTTGCTTTGGCGTGCTGGACGTCTTTCGTCAATTTGTTGCTTAAAATCCCCAAATTTACTGTCCTCGTTTTATCTTAAATGCTGTGAAAGTTTAGCAGGAAGGTTGCAAAGTGTGTTTAAACTAACCTTTTAAATCGGTACCACAAAAGTCTCAAGTAGGGAATGGGTTTGGTTAGGTTTAAAAGATAAAATGGCATACAGAAATAAGAATTTTTCACTTTACATGGTAGTTGTTGTGCAAAAAACCAAGGGAAATTGAGTCCTGCTTTTACTTAAATTAATGAATATGGAAGGCACAAATCTGCTAGAGGCAATAATTAATGTTATTTTATGATGAAGTGCAAGAAGATTGAACTTGCCGACGGCAAACATAATCGGGTTTTAAATTATTAGCACATTCATCCCGTCAGACTTCCGTTTCAATTTTCAAGACGTGTCTGCAATGATTGTCAGGTGGGATAATTGTCTCACCTTATCTCCGGGTTTGCTGACCAGAAACCAAGCTTCCAGCTAAGAACTATTGCATTTCAGCTTGATCTTGTGGAATTTACCAGGACACTCCTACAAAAGCCGACCGTCCACAGTTTTACAGTCCCCGCGAGTGGACAGTTGTCTAGAATGATCTGACTCTTTGTTGCAGGCGCATCCATCCTGCCTGCAGGCCACACTCCCCATGTTGCTGAGAGGGCTGGAAGACGCGCACACGGCCCCAGCGGCTACCCTGGCCCTCAAGGACATCTCGAGGGACTGCAGCGGTGCCTTGGGACCCCATGGGCCGCACATACTCGCCGCCTCTCAGCACGCTCTCGCCGGGAGCATCCTCGGCAACCGAGAGAAGGTACGTCGGTTCGTGCGCTTCCCAACAAAGTAGCGGATTGGGCAACCAGTAAGACTAGTATCATTGGCAATGGTAGGGAAAGAGTGAATAGAGAAATTTTAGAGGCGCATGCAATCATCAAAGCCGGCGCGAACTGCGTAAGCCAAACGTCACTGGGCCTGAGTAGCAAAGAGATGTTTTTTTTGGACACGTGGTGAATTTGTCATGTGACGTGGGCGGAGTTGCTGTTTTCTTTGTTTTGTTTCCTTGTGATTAAATTTCAGTTGAGAGTCAGCGCTTGTCCTGTCTGCACTTCCTCTAGTCCCCGTTTTCTGCGCGCTGTTTGCCTTTTCGTAAGGAGATATATTGAGATAAAGAAAGGACGAAGACGGAGAATACAGGAGACGCCCTTGAAAAACAAGGAACTGTGTTGTCCGCTTGTTAAAAGTCCTCTCTCAGCCCCGTTTTTATTTTTAATGCAGATTGTGTTGCATGGCTGGCTCCAAGCAGTATTCAGTTTTGCACCCCCATTACGGAAAACCATAGCACAAGTGCCACATCAGCGTTCGGCCGGAACTCGATCTCGCTGATTGAACAGTGCCCCAGCTGAACATTGATGCGACAATGGTGTCCAACCTGTGCCTTACACGGCCCTCTGGCAGGTGTCGTAGAAAATCCATTACCACAAAGCCCACACACAGCTATGCTGGACTATGTTACATTGGCTGTGTTCCAAATCTTGCTCGACTAGGCCCGAGTTACTGTTTTGAGTCTCATTGCGTGATAGCACATAAAGAGCGACACTGTACGCGAGTAGGTTTTCGATTGCCAAGCTGCAAACCCCTGACTTTGGAACGAGACAGAGTAAATTTTGAAACACGGCTCCACGAATATTACCTCCAGTCACCGACACTTCCCCGCTCCATACCCAGCTACCTTCTCCTCGGTGGCCTCTTCGAACCTACGTCCATTCGTTGGGTTTGAGCGATCCGATCGGTCGACTCCCAACGTCGGCAGCACACTTCGGGTGCTTTGGCTCGTCCCCAGGAAAAACTTCCGTGGCGTCACAAAAAGATTCCAGATCAGGTGACACGTGGTGTCGCTCCTTGTTTCACCGTAGGAATCCTGGAAACCAGCTTTCAGACAGGTTTTGCCAGTTCTTTCGAAAATGGGGGACTGCACTCTCGCTTTCCCAGGTCCGGGTGATGGGCCTGGTCGGCCACATCCTGAGCTCGGTCGGCCAGGACAACGCCAGGCCGTGGCTCAGCGCCCTGGTCGGGCCCCAGCTGGAAGCCCTGCGGCTGGCCGTGGCCGAAGAGCTGGGCCCCACGACAAAGCCGGTCGTCCTGCAGCAGCTCCGCATGCTGGCCGCCCTCATCTGCGGCCTGGCCACTGAAGAGGCGCCCGAGGGCGAGGAAGGCGCCGCCGCGTCCTGGGTGTCCCTAGTGGAGCTGGTGTTCGGGGAAGCCGGGTCCATCGTAACGGAGCTTGCGGAGAAGTACTGCTGCGACGACCAGGTGGTCGAGGTAAGGGGACCGGTCGTCGTGCGTTGTGATCGCTGTGTCCGGAACAAGTCTTTGGCCGGTGCATTCAGCGCCCCATTCAGCCCGTACGTCGAAAGAGGTGTCCCGAAGTGGCCACAAACGATGTCGCTAAGGCCGTCGTGTCGTGCTGTCGGTATACCGGCAAGCGGTGTTAGAAGTCCTGACAAAAAAGGAGGGTGAACGCTGTGGCCGTGGTCGTGAGGTCCAAAGCGGTGCACACTTCGCACGATTGAGGAGGAACTTGACTGCACGGCGAGCGGCTTGCGAAAGGCAAATTTTACGTTACAGGAAAAATGTTAAGTATGCAACCTGCCCCCCCACCCCCCCCCCCCCCCCCTCAAAAGAATTTACGAGGTTTTTTTTTCACAGCAAAGATAGACTATGCATTGCCAAACGCTCATTCTCCGCCCAAATGTACCGCGCCGAAATGTATCGCAAGAAATCCTAACCAGATGCCAGAGTTTCAGCACTAATCGTTATCTTGTTCAAAACTTGCATTTGAAAAATGGGGCCCCTACTTCACCCATTTTCAATAACTGGCGCCACGGAGATCTGTATTCGGGAGTTCGGTCGACCGCCATTTTCCCAGTGAAAATTTCGGAAAATCGTTTATAACTTTTTAATAAGATAACGGTTAGTGCCAATGCTTTGGCATCAGGTTCAGACCCACTACATTTGGGTGGACAATCGGCGTTCGGCAACAGTGTTGCAATAAAAAAAAAACCTCGTTATTTTTTTTTTGGGGGGTGGGGGGACACGTATATATTGAGTGAGCTACAGTAGCACAGTTTATTGTACAGCCAGTATACCACCAAAGAATGTTCACAATACAGAGGAAGAGGAGGTCTGCGAACAAAAGCGGGCAAAGGCGGGATGGCTTCACCGGGCCAACCTACGTGGTTTGTGTTTCAAACTCTGTGGTGGGGGTCGTCCCCACACGGTGCGAATGTGTGATGCGTCCTAAATACCGTGGCTTATTCTCGGCGCTTCCTTTGCAGGATGTGGAAATGAATGTTTGCATTTTTTTAGTGAATGCTTCATTGGAGAGTCCACTTTAAATTTGAATGGCCCCTTGGCATCTGAATGTCAACACACTTTAGAATGTAAAAGGACTGTTAGGCCCCTTTCGAACGAACAATTGGGCATGGCTGTTGTGCATTTCGATTAGAATTTATATAGGGCCTAAAGTTTGACATGACAATTGGTCGATTGGGGATTAGAAATTGGGTATTAGAAGACACCATTCCTTCTGGAATTTTTAAAAACTAGTATCAGGGTCTTGGGTTAATCATGAAATCTTGCGGTGAGCGCTTTTGCCATTCGGTGTACCTCGGACTACAGACTCTCCTTGCGCCGGAGGTTTGTGGAGGTGACGGTGTTTTGTTTTGCCACTGCAGGCACTGTGCGAGTGCGTGCGTCGCGGTGCAGCCAACCTGGAAGGGTCCGGAGCCGTCAAGCTGTTGGCAGTGTTGGTGACGCTACAGAGCCGGTGCGCTCACGCCTGCATCTTGGACGCGAGCCGCTCCCTGCTGATGGTGCTGGCGCATCCGGGGCAACCCCAGAGCAGCGAGGAGGCAGCCCGGACCGCCCTGGCTCTGCTCTGCCAGAGCACCCTCGACCTGGTCGTTGCCTCTCCACAAGGTTACTCACAGACGTCTTGTTTGATGTGAACTGGCGTGCCGCACAAGGAAATTGAACGGACTTCTTCCTACTTCCACGTTTGCCTAAACGTTCTCGTCACGTTCCCCGATAGCTCGTGCGATCACGTGTTATGTCGGTTGCATGATTTGGCGGTCACGCGTTTTGATCTGCGTCCGGCCAAGTTGGGTAAATGCTGACGACGGTGGTTTTGTGATGGTGGCATTCAACAGAACGTATGTTTGGTGTGGCCGCGCAGCAAGCAGGCATTTTGTGCGACAAGCTTCACAGGGCTAGCTGTATACTTTTTGAACGGTTCTAGTATCGGTGACATCAAACAATGCAATGGAAAAGTGGTAACAAATGTCCCGTGTGTTCTCTGTCCTGTCACCACAGCTTTCCAAGAGCATACCGTCATTCTGGAAGCCTTCTTCCAAATGATGTATTCAGTAAGTTGGCACTTCCTTTTCGTTTTTCTTTCAGACCATTGCTTTTGTCCGTGTTGCATTCTGAAAAATTCTCTAAAAAAACTGACTCGAAACGACAATGTTTTTTTTTCTTAGATTGCTCGGAAATCGACCATGCTTCTAGTCACAGACAAGATGGACCTGTTTCCGGTGTTTGCCTGCGGTGAGTGTCACTTTTCAAGTCCGAGAGCTTTGTTCTGAACAGCTTTTGATATTATGATGAGGGAAATTACAAGACAAGGATTCTTTCCATAAGCTTCATATTTTAACTTTCAGTGAATCAATCTTCTATAGAAAATACCAAACTCTATTGTGTTGCTACTAACAGAAGGCTGGATTTTAAGCATACTCTAATGCAGCATGTATAACTAGCATTAATAAGTAGGATATCTGAAAAGCTGTAGCACTATGACTGGTGAACACATATGAAATGCTGGGAAGAAAATAGGTGAATGAAATGGCGAGTGACCAACCAAATTTGCTATGTTAATATTTCTTGTTTCATCTATCCATTTAAATAACATTAGTCAAACGTTTATCTTTATTTTTCGATAAATAGGACTGGAAGAAATAGCATGTAAATTAGTAATATATTGCCGATTGTGGATCTTGTTTCCCGACAATACTTATAGGCTTGCTATGGGTCCAAGTAGTTGCATGCTTAACGTAAGCAGAGACGAACTATTTCAACGACACTCGTTCTGCCAAGAAATTTCGGAAGACACGTTTTAACATTTTATTTTTTCAGCTGTGGCAACTATAGCCCTTCCAGAGAGGAGCACGGTCAAGGCAGCTGCCAGTTTCCTGGTAAGTCGCAAAGCTCTGAAGGTGAAGCACCAGTGTGCTCAACTGCAAGCTGCGTTTTGCTTAACTTCACTAAAGTCACTGCTATTGTTATGTATTAAAGATGCTGTCAATCTATCAAGATCCATAAATGGTTAGAAGACGTCAAAACGTCTGTAGATTCCAGATTGACCACTTCCAAAGTTGTAAAATTCCCAGAGGTTTGGGTTCAATAGCTTTGGACGCCACGACATTCACATAAGCTTGAGTTTGGATGTTCCGAACTTTTCGAGGGCCGAGTTGTACAAGCTCGAAACGTGGTAGACAAGAGCTTCTGGGTTATATAAAATGAGACTCAAGCATGAAAACATTCTCTCGCATAAAGAGTCTTCACTATTTTTTTTTTTGTGCAATACGTACAGTTGTGTGTGGAGTAGGCATAGCACTCCCTCAACATCTTCCTCAAGCTTTAGGCTCATTTCCCGAGTCACAATGTCGACGGGCATATCCAATGTCGTCTTTTTCCCTACTCTGCCTGTCACGACGTGCTCAGATGTCGTGACAACCCTTAAAATTCAAACTGGTTTGTACATCAAAAGTGCAGCTATTGTACCTTATTGCACAAGGTTAGAATGCCACTGGAATCCCACAAACAAAAATTGCAAAAAGACATTTCAATCTCTGAATTCCAGGAAAAGGCACCAGGTCCGCTGAATCCAGCACACTACATTCAAAAGTTTATTTGAATTTACTATTTTCGTTTTTATCACAGAGACGGAACAGGCACCAGAACCACAAAGTGCTTTGTCCTCCGAACAAGACTGGCAATGATTGTGAATAATGCAGTCAGTGTGTGTTTCTCTGCAGGCAGAGTTTATACTGCACAGCCGACCGATTCCTGCCCTGATGACCGTGATCAATCGCTCCGGTGAACTTCTCGTCGAACAAGTCCTTAGGGCAAGTCGCCAAAATGCCTCACATTCCATGCTTTTACCGTTACAAACAACAAACACTAAAGTATCTTAAGTTATTTTTTTTGTGTCTGTTTAGCAATAGTTTCTTTCAACATTTCTAAGCAAGCTTTCCCTTCTTACTCTTTTTTGCTACCCTCAGTTTGAGAAAGGAGGAAACAGATATTTCGCCTTGCAGAAGACTAAAAGCAGACGACCTTATGTAACACCCTAATCAGGCCTTTAAGGGTGAAAATAAATTACTGTTTGTTTTACGTTGAGCCAGAGCATATAACAGAGGCTAGAGACAAGTGTTCACAACTGTGGCGGGTACTTTCTAGACCCCTGTAGTTGTATCGCCTTCAAAAACTATTAATTTGCTCGTACGCAAGGTTTTTATCTTTTATCCAAGTCGCGACGAAACGGTGTGCACCATACTAGAGCCATTTGATATTTTGCTGGTCCATAGGCTACCAGATATTTTTGCCCACTTGATAGCGAGTGAATGAATAATTAGTTTATTGCTTGACTGACTCATGCTTTCAAATGAGTTCAGTCTGCATTTTTTGTGTTATGCTTGGTTACATGCAAAAAAAAAAAAAAAAAAAAGCCCCTTTGCTTTTTTTTGACAGGTAATAGCGGGAGGCGAATCGCCACGATCAGTGCTCGATCCCATGGCGGACATCTTGCTCGCGCTGACGAAGAAGTACTTCAACGAGACCTGCCATTGGGCGACGGTGCTCATCCGGATACCCGGATTTCTGAGCTCGCGGCTGACATTCGAGAAGAAAGAGCACTACCTCCGTCTCCTGCTCAAGTGAGTCCCTTGTGCACAACTGCCTCCGAGGACCGCAGAAGGACGTTGGGATTGAATGTTACACGCTTTACACGAGCACAGTGGCACAAATATAGTTGTACGTAGCAGCAGTGAGCCAGAAACTTCTTTGTCATGGTGTAGTTTTAAGGACAGGAGTGGACTACTTCTCTCAGTCTCTTTTTCACTGAGCTTGCCGACGTAGTTTGGGGAAGGGGGTGTTCACGGATAGAACACGAGCACTGCTCAAGCTCAAGGACTCGGCTTGGGCTGGGTTACAGTCAATACTTCGGTAGGTGTTCGGGTTAAGGCCCGCGTCCAATCGCTGCAGGGGTGGGTATGGCCGAACTCTAGTGACATTCGGAGCAAAACATGGACTCCGTGGATTGCCTACACAAGCAAGGTGCTACGATGAAAACCAGTGTCACGTGATCCGGCTTCCCCATTAAGTTTAGTGGGGAAAACACTTTAAAGAGTGGAAGGCAAAAAAAAAATTGCATGTAATAAACACAAGTTTTAATACATTTTTTTTTATATATATATATATATATATATATATATATATATATATATATATATATATATATATATATATATATATATATATATATATATATATATATATATATATATATATATATAATCGGTACCTGTGTGGGGTTTTTGCAGTACACATTCTGTGCTCCCTGGCCTTTGTCAGCCTGATTAAGGGGGGACACTACCCAAAAAAGTAAATTTTTGAACCACTTGTCCGATTTAAATTATATTTACAGGGCTTGTTTCTGTTTATGTTGAGAACATTTCTGCCAATTTTTGTTAACCTGGGTGAAGCACAAAAAACATTGCAAACATTCAAAGACGAAAGTGGGCGTGTCTGCGTAGGGAAACTATCGTTTTGAAATTACTTATAAATTTGTCGTTTTCATGTGTTACATTGCATTAGGACAGTTCAGAGCAGATAACTATGGAGCTATATTTCTATATTATGCCATCTTTCATGACAAAAAAGCCACATAAACACAAATACAGTTTTTTAGATTTCCATCCTTTGTCCAAACTTTTAGTTCTTGAGCATGAAAAATTACAAAAATAAAAAATACAAGCTCATAGTTATCTTCCCCTTAAAATTTCACCCCAGAAAAATTCATAAAAATGAATCCAAGTTGCGTAATAACAAAACAATAGTTTTCCTAAAGTGAAATTTATGCCAAAAAGTAGAATGGAGAAAAATGTGTTCAAAGTGCTCCAACCTCTGCCTATTCTTTAGCATCGGGCGACCGAAAGTAATTTATAAAAAATTAACTATGCAGTGTATACTAATGAAACTTTCTGGGAATACTCTCTAGATGTTGGTGGATGTAAATATGACATTTTTCAAAATCAACTTTTTTTTGCAGAAATTGTTTTTTCTGGGTAGTGTCCCCCCTTAAGCTTCTGTAATCTTTGTAATGTGACTGCTAGCGTGTGGAAGGACAAACTATGCCTATTTCGTCGGTTGGAACAAAGAAACATCTGACAGGTCTATCCGTAAATGTAGAGCACGACTTTGTCTGCTTCCTGCACAGGGGTTGCGATGATGTCGGAACACTAAGCTCTTATTGACTGATTGAAGAAAAAAAAGTTGGGAGACCTGAAGGCATCTAGCATTGAGTTCTACCCACTATCCTTCCAATCAAAGCCAATCGGAACTCTGCGTCGTTTCGACGTCACCGCAACTCCTGTGCAAGGAACAGACGACTTGCTTTCAGCGTAGTAGGACAGGCTGGAGATCTGGGGCCCTAAACTCGTCAAACACAAAGTTGGAGCCGAAAGTTCTCGGAGCGCGCCGATTGGCCGTCGGCGAAAGAAGTGTGAAGTCATCGTCGTGATAGACCAATCAATACGCTCTGTCAACTTTGGCCCCAACTTCCTGTATCACGAGTTTAGAGACCCAGATCGGGGACTGCGTGGCGAGCAGAAGTACAAACTTACACATTTTGTTTCGTCCACAAGGGAACGCACCAACAAGCGGCGCATCAAGGAGATTGTCTCCGAGCTGAGTCTGGCATCTCGGGGGCTGCTGGGCACGGAATACGCCGCCCAGACCTTCAACGGCATCTAGCAAGATGAAGAAGAGACTTCGAAGCGTGGCCGACGCCGAGTGTTGTGGCGGCAGCGGACGAGTTATTGCGCGAGGACGCTCCCGTCGACCGTTGTGCGAGACATTTGTGTCGACCAAATGTGTAAATGTGTCGGTGTTTCTCGAACAATGTAAATGAAATGACTGTTTGTGCAGCGATTTCGTCTATTTGTCTGGGCAAGTGGTTAATCCGGCTCGATGTGAACGTGGTCCTGGAGATCTAGGGGCCGCGAAACGATTTTAATGTTGCGCGAGTCCGCAGCTTTTTATCTTTTATTTATCTTAGCGCAAGTAAGGGAGGATGCGCCTCCTTCATCCCCCCCCTTCCCCCCTCACAACACCGCGATTCCGCTGCGTAATCTCGAGGCGACAAAACAAACTATTTCCCCAGCTGTGACCGCATATGGTGACCATGGGAATTGCGGCGCGACGTTGTAAAGGGGTATATTGCATTGGGTTGGCTTCAAACTGTGCAATGTTTCAAGCTTACTCATTGTCGTCTAAAAAAGGCTCGAGGTTCACCTAAGCACTTATGAGTTGTGAAAGCGAAAGCATGCACATCATTCTTCCACTCCCTTATTTTGTCTGCAGCGTATTTGCGTCGACTGCAGAGCGAGCAGTCTCCTCGCTGCTCCGACCTCGGATGCTTCGTGTTACCGGCGCGCAGACGGACACGCAGAGCCAAGGGGGGGCGGTCGTTGAAACTGATGCTCGGCGGCCAATGAGAGCTTTGTTTCTTGAAACTACGACGCGTGCCAGCCAATAGGATTGAAGCCGAAATCCATCAGCTTCCCTCCGCTCCTTTGGGATCGGGGAAACTAGGTGCCGTTGGGTAGGCGTTTCGCATGGTTTCATAGCTGGAAGCTGACTTTACGTGGAGAAAGGATTTAAGGTGCCGTTTGACGTGGCTTCAAAGCCGATGATGTTGGCTTGCTTCATAAGACAATGCTTTCGCATTAAAATAAATGTGTCAAAAGGCGTGCATGGTTATCAAGGTTTCATTTCAGAGTTTCTGCAGTGCCATTTACATGTCTGCAAAACCATCCCCTCTCCACTGCTTCCGCAATTTAACAAAAGCGGTGAATGTGCATTTGCACTCGAATTTTTCGCTTGTCGGAAATTGACTTGCCTGCCACGAACGTCGGCAATGCTGGCTGTGGTGTTCTGACACAATCAAACTAACTTGATAAGTGTTTTGACCCGAGGCCGAATTCTCGTTGCATCGCGGCGCTTTCTGCGGGTGCTAAAAACTTCTTTGCAGCGACGTTGCGAAGAAAAACTGGTATGCATTTTATGCCTGGACGTTGCAAACATCATCTGAAAGAAAACCCTGTCAAAGCTAATGCTCCAGCGGGAGTGGAAAGCTTAGTTTGCATCTCTCGTGGTCGCACATGCTTGTTCCTTGCCCCCTGCACACTCTCAACTGCTCCAAAAATGAAGACATATTCATGCAGTACCGATTTACTGCTACGTCATGAGAAGTTCTGTCAAGTGAAGACATGGGGTTACCAGGACATCTGTGCTTTGTATGAAGCTTTGCAACCAGGTCAAGAAGTAGCTTTGCACGTGGTACAGGAAGCAGGGGTGTGCTAGTGACTCGAGATTGTGCTGCAACGTAATGTAGTGAAATGCTCCTGTGCAAGTGCTAGATTTTCTGTGTTGCCTGTCGAAGGCTGCTGTAGGATGCAGATTGGACGACCGTTCCGCGTCGGCCTTCGGCTGGGAGCTCTTGTTCAGTCAGCAAGGACACGGGTTGCAGCCAACCACTGACACAGCACTCCTGCGATGCTTTTCCCTTGCAGCAAAAACAAAAACTGCTAGGAGCTAGACATTAAACATGCTGTCGAAACTAGTGCAAGCAAGCCAGAATGGTCTACTGTTCTTCATTCTAGAAGTGACTGAGACTAACCCCAACAGTCACTGGGCAGAAATCTGCCCTAAAAATAATCGCTTTGGTACATTTCGGTGAAGTAACTTGATCCCAGGACTGCCTCTAAATACTCCTAAAAGTAACTGGAACTGCGATTCTTCCAGGTGAATCAACCATTTATACTGACACTAGTACAGCTACTGGCCACCAGGGAAGCCACATCTTGCTCCAACCCCCAATGAAACCAGAAGCCCAGATCTGCTGTAAGACAACAAATGGCACCATGCGAGTTCCGGCAGAAACCTTTGCAGTCAACCGAACACCTCTTTCAAGAAAGTCCCAAAAGCTTGTTCTTTGTTTGACTTTCCAGTGCAACGCCTCACTAACAGCACCTTTGAAAGAAGTCCATAAGCTCAATTTTTTGTTGCACGCTCGTCCTGAAGGAGGTCGGTCAACGCTTCCGCTTGCGTGGCATCTTGACGGAGCGCAAGTAGGGATTGTCCACCAGTTCCGCAGGTTCGGACCGCCTGTCCGAACCTTGACCTCCGCCTTCCTTGCTGCCGTCTTCGTCCTGATGTTCGAACACCTGGTCCTTTGGCAGCAGGGCGCACAGGTAAGGTTGGGACACTGGCTTGCACGCTATCACTGTATGGGAGAAAAGGAAATGTCTCAGATCTGTTGGAAACTACACGCTGAAGGCACGGGATAATAGGAAATCGAAGAATGTATCGGAACAAGGCGTATTCCTTTCAAATCAATTACAAGCTCTGAAATCGTGGTGTGAAGACGACCTCCGCGATATTATGTGCAGGTAACCCGTCCATACACAATTTACGAAAAAAAAAGCAATTCAACAAGAGAGTTAAGTTCTCCGGATTTGTCTAGGGGTCTTCCAGCATATGACATTTACAACTTTTAATGCATGTAATTCATTCTAACAAAACTAAACCAAGATTTGTCTTCTGTATGGTTGCCCGCTGTTGCATAAGAAATTCTCAAGACGCCAGGGTCGCTAACCAATGGTGCACATCAACATGCTTTAAAGATGTATCAACATTGTTGCCGCACCACCGATTCTCAGTGATCAACTGTTAGTGTAGCAGAAGAGAATGCACAACGCTTTTGCCAACTACAAATAAAAGAAGGCTTGGGATGCAAAATGTAAACGCCTCGCAAGAGCCAAACAGCCTACCGAAGCCAAGGCCCCGGATGCGTTGTGTAAACAAACCGACTTTTTCAAAGCAAAGGCCGGAATTGCAAAACTTGAGTGCATGCTTTGTCCCTCGATGGCGGCAGTGGCACTGCATCTGCTAAAGTATGCCGCAGCTGATATGCAAAACTAATGCATTTCGTACACTATCAAAGTTTGTAACAAAGGAACCATTTTTTTTAGCTGCTTGGGTAAATTGCAGCATGATGCATCGAGAGATACGGTTGTGCAGTCTGTTGTCGGGGGATCCGCGCAACTGAAAGACAAGGGATGTTGTGAAACGCTTACAAGGGAAGAGGTTGGCATCGTCTGCAAAGAGACTTTGCGTGTTGCCTGTTTTAGCGACGAATCGGGTCAACGCCCTCTCGACGTCTCTCTTTTGACTGGCCAGTTTTTCTCGGATGGCCTCGTACTCTGTCACAGGCTGCTTGTGCGTCTGAAAAAAAAATAATTAAAAAATCCCCCACTGCCATCAGTCAGTCAAGAAGGCAAAAAATATACTTAGTTGCATGGATCTGTATGCAGCGAGAAGTTATAACCTGCCTTGAAATATGTCCACCCATTGTAAAATGCCAGAGCACGGTCAGGAAGTATGAAGCAGACAGAATGGAATACATTAAGCAGGCGAAACATAAATGGCATGAAAAAATTTAAGGACAAAGTGGAAAGAAGCACACTAGACAAGCATGTGTCTCGTATACTCTTTCCACTCCAGTCACGAACCCACTTGCCCTCTTTACCACATTGGTTCAGAACATGAAGCGATTGGGAAGAGAATGTTTTAGTACTTTTTTGGTGGCCACCGCTTCAAGAGGTCAAGAACTGTTTTGCTCTTGAAAGAAATGTATTTCTCGAGTAGTATTTCACAATTTTCATTAAAAACAGCGAACAGATAAGCACTTCAAGATGACGACACATTACATACCGGCGTCCTGATGTAGGCATGCGGATCGGGGAATGGAATCAGGTGTTCCGGAATGTACGGCGGCAGGGATTTTTTCTCTCCTGCTTGCAGGATTTTCGGTGTGGACGAACGTGGTGTCATGGAGGCTTGAAAGGGAAACAATATGTTAGATATGCAAACTGGAGATCGGGAAAAATTGGGAAGTCCTCACGAGTGGGAAGAGTTATCCTGTTGCTCCGCTTGACGAAAGCCCATAGGGATTCCACGTTGATGCCTGAAAGTTTACATTTAATTTGGAAACGGCCCACAATGAGTGCCTCGGCGCTGTACTTCAAACAAGGCATTCTCGTTAAGAGCATGTGTAGGGTGACAAATAACCAGGCTCGATCTAGAAATGGACGGTAAAAATTGGCGCCTGCAAGTAGGAATTTAAACTTGTCAAAGGTCTGTTTCACAGGTCGGTTTTTTTCTTGTAAAATTACAAAGCCTAGCTCCCTTTCTGTAAAAAAATAGGGTTGTTGATAGATGGCACTACCTTCTTGACAAGACCGCTTGTGACCACCGTGATCTACTAATAGCAGCCTCAACCATCCACACTGGGGCACCAAGATGCGCTCGATCGCCTTAAAAAAAATGCACAGGTGTGCACCGGACTTCCTAGATCTACGAAGCGCACCCTCCTGGTGCGGCTTTTCGTTGCCCCAACGCGCACCAAGAAAATTGACGGCGAGCCGGGGTGTATTCCCATCCGGCATTACGGCCAGGAGCGGGAATCAAGGGGCTGGCGGGAATAGCAGACGCGCAGTCGATTGAGATGGTGACCTTGCGAAAACGAACGCACCTCGCAGTGGCGCTCAATGAATTCCCCAGCTCTTCCGACAGCGAGGGTGACAAGCTTTTTACCATTGCCGCGGTTACCGGTGATTCCTGCAGTGGCAAGGAGTGCCCGAAAGTTATGCACTTCGTGGAAAGTGTTGTGAGGAGTTTCAATGACACCGAGGTACGGCTATTATCTGGTGGTGCTCTTTCTTGAACCAAGAATGATGGGCAAAATATATCTGTAGAATTGTCGCGTGCTTCATGAGCCCATCGACAATGACGCACACGATGTTCATTTGTGTGGGACTGGTAAATCCGCGAGAAAAAAGCCAGAAGAAATAGACAGCAGACCGGCACCACGCAGGTATGTACGCAAAAAAAAAAAAAAAAAAAAAGGAACAAAATGCAAGGTGACATAAGGTGGCACTTGCCGCGGTGGACCGGCGAGGCGCAGTTTGTCCTCGATGTTGTGCCGACTTCGCGCTGCACAACCGAGGAGTGCCGTGCACTATTCTGGTTTCGAGCAATTCCAGTGAATGCTGATCGAAGATGCCATAAAGTGAACATTATCTGTTTGTAGTGTACCTTTCATTTAAAAATAAATGCAGACAATCAAATCAAAACAAGTTAAAAGAAACCAAAGAATTGTGGATGCATAACGACGGCGTTCTTGCTGCCGATGGATTTCATTTGCGTGTCGTCTGCTTTCTTTCGCTGGTCGGCTAGATTTTCCGACGCTGCTTTCGACGCCATCTATCAATACATGCCTTGCATGTGATATATGGCACCGTATCAGCCGCCATTGCTCCATACCGTATCACTTTGCCCCCGTCTTCTGCAACAGACATTTGGCGCCATCGAATCTGTTCTTCTCCGCAAGCGTTGCCGAGAAAAACAAATTCAATCCTACGAAATGCATGCTGCAGAACGTATGGGCACAGGAGATCGGTACGGAGCAATGGCGGCTCATGTGGCATCAATGCAAGCCATGTATACGTAAGCCAAATGCACCCCGCCATTCAAGTCGGTTGTCTGCGCCACCGTCCGCCAATGATCCCGGCAAGTTTTTTGGCCCTACTTCTTACAGAAAGGGAGCTATGCTTTGTAAATCTACAAGAAAAAAAAAACCGACTTGTGAAATGCACCTTTAACGAAAAGTTTTGATTGCTACGCTCAGGCGTCGATTTTTACCACCCATTTTAAATCGAGCCTGGTTATTTCAGTCGCCTTATATTTCTATGGACGAGTTCTATGGTACACGGAGATCAAATGCATCATAAATTAGACCAATAAAAAAAAAATTATTACCATCTTCATCCCCGTTACAATCCCCAGCGCTTGTGCTAAAATAACTTTGCACTTTTTTTTCTCTCTTTTTAAGCCGACCTGTGAAATACACTTTTAACAAAAAAATATATATATAATTTTTTTTTTTTTTTTTTTTATAAGATTGGTTTAGGGAGGAAATGTACGAAAACTTTGGCGCGGGATGTTCATTTAATTGCGTATAAAATTGACATCATAGACGAATTGATGTAATGTACGGGTTTGAGATTTTCAGTGTATCATACAATATGAAAGTTTAGAATACTAGGTAGTGTTGTCTCAAAGCTTACCAGCTTCGATGAGCGCGACGAATACGTCGCCGGATAGAACCTGCGTCCTTCCCGAAAGCTCGCAGAAGGCGCGACTGCTTCTGGCAATTTCGGCCAGACCTTAGAAGAAAAAAAAACATATTAAACAACGACCCTTATTTTCCGCAGAAACAAGGGTCAAGATGACAGAAACTTACAGCTTTGCAGCATTTCCACCAAGCTCTCCACGGCGGGCCGTTCGGCGGACGCGAAACCGGACTCCAAGCAAATTGAACACACTGCGGCGAATAGCGCTTTTCTGCGGGCATTCACCGGACCACTTTCTAGCGCAGTTGAACCCATGTCCGCGAACGTTACCGTAAGATAACACCACCTAGCTGTCAAGATGAAACGGCCGCAAAAAGAACAACGGAGCACGTTGTCGCCATTTTTAATGCTTGTACAGTGTTACCATGCCATCGACTTCATGATCGCTGCAACCGCTAGTTTTAGCAAAAACTTTTTTTTTTTCGTCTTAATCAAATGCGTACGACAAAACTTGTGAAACATTTTTAACATACAACAGTAATTTATTTTTTAACTTCATTTGAGCGTACAAAGTTTACCTGCAGTCTGTGTTTAGGTTTGGACTAACGCTAAAACAAAAACGAAATCGAATCCATAGAAGTAGTGCGCTCAGCCGGCGCAGCCAGACGAGCCAGACACAGCCGCCGTCCACTGACCGGTGAAGTGTTGTGCAAGCAATCCGGTTTATCATTCAGTCGACGTCGCCCGGCATCCCGGCCTTGGCAGTTTTCCCTGTTTCGGTTGTTTATTGTCCAGCAGATAAGGTCCCGATAGCGCGGGGGTGAGTAACACGCAGAGTCGCTATCTCAAAAAACAGCTGACTAACTGTTTTGACGTCCATTCCAACGACTTGTCCGGCTCGAATTTCGTCGCGATTGCCGGCTATCTTGTTGAACAGGTCGAGCGAGTCCAGCAGACGTCCGCAACTACGCTTCGTGCTGCCCGATATATTCTCATTACTTCCTCCTGATTTGACCCGATTTTCGCCATGGCCAAGATCCAGTGTGAGTATATAACCTTACTCCCATCTGTGTCATTGGGTCGTTACTACGATACGTATTTATTGTGTTAGCTTAGTGACGATCTGGGAAACTTCCGGCTTTCTGCAGGGGGTTCGATATGCTTCGATTATCTTTGCTAATCTACTTCTTTCGGTTCCAGGTGGGCCGGTAGTGGACATTCTTGGGGACGAAATGACCAGGTGCGACCAACTTGTTGATATCAAGTTTACTGTTCAGTGGATGTGGTGTTTAGAAAGCATATATGCTCATTATTCACTGCTACTGAGTAAAGAGGATTTCGTGACATATGCTGCTCGATGCCTGTTGAGTAGTAGTCTTATATGTGCAATATGCTTTCAGGTGATCACAGGTGCAAGCATTTCCTTTTTATGTCCAGCTTTTTCTAGCAGAGATCTACTTTTATGTGGGACTTTAAGATAAGGATGTACTGGCGACCAACATGAAACACGAATGGAAAACAGCTTCCTGCATTTAATTTCCATATCAATAGTTCCGTATTTAAAGTCAACACATGAAAGTATGCTATTTGACCGCCATTTGTGCATGCATACGGTATAAGTCCCGGTGCATCAAGATGTGCCTTTTTGCAGAGTAATCTGGGATCTCATCAAAGAGAAGCTCATCCTGCCCTTCCTGGATGTCGAGCTTCACACCTACGACCTTGGCATGGAGAACAGGGACAAGACAAACGATCAAGGTGCATCAACATGGCACTTGAAATATGTCGTATTGCATCACTCATTTAATTCCCCACACGACGTGTACAAGATGCCATACAGTAAGGAAGTCGCATAACGCGAGGAAATGATCGGAAACCGATGATTCCCAGGCACTTATCTGCTCAAATTCATTCTACAAGCTGTCTAATGATTTGAACGAGCCATCTACTAGATGATCGAGAGAAACTTTCATTTGTCTCCTCATTCTTTTTTCAGCTTCTTTTTCTCGCCAGTCTTACTGCTCGGCTTATGCATTTTTTTTTAACCTATTTATTTCTCAAGCACACCTTTAAAAATTAGTATGGGCTTTTCTTTGGATTCGTTAGATATGCATGTATTACTCGAAATTTCCTCGTGGGTCTGCCATACCGTTTGCCCGTGTGGACAAAAGAGTGTCCCTTTAGAGTGGTCTTCCCGTAACGTGCAACCTTTCAAGGTCTATACCATCTCACTTTAACCGCAAGTGTAGCAGAGACTACAACAGTGGGATCAGGCTTGTGCAGTGCAAATACCATTCAGGGCAACATGCTTGTAGTTGTAACTTCGGCTTCGCCGGTGCATAAAGCGAAACAAACCGTACACTCTGTTTTACCATACGACGGACTACGGCAGATGCAACAAACCATCCCAACCAATCAAGTACTGCGAGTGTATCACATGACTAGCCTGCCGCTGCACCCCCCCTGAATGTCGTGCGACATTCTCGCAGCATTGCATTTGCTTCGATGGCTCATAGCATCTTCTGCAGTCTACCACAAGGTAAAACGGAGTATAGCAGACGGCTCATCCCTCACAAAAAGTGAACACCGCCACGGTCGGTTAACGTCTGTGCAAAGACCCAATGTGGCTCTCTGCTGTTCATGGCTTCCCTCCAAATGTCGGCATAACAGAAGTTTGGTTGTTGTCCGTCGTCGTGCAGTGACCGTGGACTGTGCCCACGCCATCCAGAAGTACAACGTAGGCATCAAGTGTGCCACCATCACGCCGGACGAGAAACGCGTCGAGGAGTTTGGGCTCAAGCAGATGTGGCGCTCCCCCAATGGAACCATCCGTAACATCCTTGGAGGTATGCAAAAGAACACGAGGGAAAGCAGTCTGCTGTCATTTCAGTTAAGACCGCAAAAGAATAGAACATTCACGGGGAAAGAGAGCTAATTTTTAGGATGATGTAACCCTCTGTGTTCGGACTGTATTGGATGCTGGGTACGTAAGACGATCCCACAAGTGTAGCGAAATGTGGGAGATCTCAAATTTGCAGGTACGTTTCGCAGGGAAGAACGAAAAATATTTATTGTAAATATTGGATTCAGGTTGGGGGTGTGCGAATAGGGATTATAATCAAATAGCGCTGCATTATTCATAGCCTTCACACTGCAAGCAACAGTGATGACAATTCATTATCTTGAGAATGTTGAAGCTAGGAAGGGCACTGTGCTTGTTGATTCAAACCACTTTTCACACCCTCCTAATTCTCATGCAAGCACCCACCCCTTATCTTTCGTGCATTTGGAACTAATTAAACATTCTTGATGGAGCTATCTTGAACATTATACAGGCAAGAAAAAAGGGAATGTAGCGTATATGCTTGAACAACATATGCTGTAAATAAGTCTGCATGTATTGAGGTCCACACCCCATGACACTATAGCAAGTGTGCAGGCGAGCTGGTTCAAGACTGAGGAGAAACACAAGAGCTCCAAACACAGCTAAAATTCTCCTCTGCCAACGTGTTTAAATTGCTCCATGAGCAGGCAAAGCTTGGGACTACAGCTAACACAACAAAGGAACGTCGAGAAACCAGGAAGTACTATAAAAAGAACTACGAGAACCAAGGACATTTCGCAAAGGGACAAACCCCCGTTCAAAAAGAAACCACGTAGGACAAAGAAACAAAGGGGTACTACGGCCAGAGGGGAACCCCCTAAAACAAAACCAGAATGGAAAGAAAAACGAATATAAACATTATTAGATGGTCCCTTAGAAGAACAGATCTGTTGCTGAGGGAACATATAAAGAACAACTGGCTCACAGTTCAACTATTGCAGTTTACTTTGAATGGAATATATCGTCATGGGGGATGGCCAAAAAGAACTACATCCCTTTTTCCTTCTATACATAATGGCAGCATGTTTTCATGCTTCAGTTGATATAATGCGTGAGGTCTGTCGAGTTTGTTTCCAGTTCGAGGACGAGGGGATGGCACTTCCTGTTTTTATGCCGGTTTTAAGTTTGAGCGAGTTTGACCGTAAATGCCGATCTCTGCTTGGCGATCGGGTGACAACGCTGTCTGGCCTGAAGGGACCGTGTTCCGGGAAGCCATTATCTGCAAGAACGTCCCTCGCCTGGTGACTGGCTGGATCAAGCCGATCGTGATCGGTCGTCATGCATTTGGCGACCAGTACAAGGCCACCGACTTCGTGGTGCCGGGACCGGGGACCCTGGAGATCAAATTCACGCCGAGTGGTGCCGAGCAGCCGCCCATGAACTTCAAGGTGTATGAATTCCAAGGCACCGGAGGCGGGGTTGCATTGGCCATGTACAACACTGACGAGGTATGTGCGGTTTGAGCCACTCTGGAGACGTGTAGGGGTGCTAATTTTGTGTTTTCATTTTGGGGGTACTTTAAAAGTGTGTTAGTATGGGTTACAATTTGAAAGACGGTAACATGTCGTCTTGCGCATTATTGTTTTTCCAATTACAAGCCGGCTGCATGCATTGGTCTTGAACACGTGGGTTGTGATTTTCTGCAAAGAATGTTAGCAAGCGGTGGACTTGTGCTTTCAAAGTTTTAGAGCGTGCAATTATTCCTTTGTTCCTTGCGCAACTATAAAGCAGCAATTTAGGCTTCCAAGCTGCATAGTTTTTGATAAAATGGTGAGAACGCTAGTCTACTATCAGTATATTTTTTTCCTTAAAAAATAAATGTCAGAGGCGATCTTAAAGGGCTTTTTTTTTTTACTGTGTCAATAAAGACATGTTCACAAAAAGGTAATGATTTTTATGCCCAACTTCGTGGAAATTTTTAGATCATACATTCACCGTGAGCTCATCTTTGTAGAAAATTACAATGCATTCACTGAAGTAGCTGATCTATGCTACCTCATATGAACTTTAGGTATAATACAACAAATCACCCTTTAGTAATAAACTCTTTAGTACCGATTTGCTGACATCAGGGTGTTTCCGTACGAAAATGAAATGTTTTATGGGTTTAGGAATCCCCTTTGCACGCTACTAAAGTTATGGCAGCTACATCCACAGAGAAAAATTCTCAAAGACAATCTTAGGATGCGCTATACTGGATCTCTTCATCCGTAACTAAAAAAATCTAAACTTTGCTTAAAAAAAAGAAAGTGGTGCCTTTTCCCACAGCACCTATACAAAACGGCTGTTTCACTTTGCAGGCAGACAACAACCTGATATAGCTGCATGCTTCACACCTGTGGATTAAAAACTAGCACAAGCCAGGCTCCATGCCATTTCCACATGCCTTTAAATATAGTGTGCTATGTTTCAAGTTTCTTTTTGCGCCCACCTGCGGCATCTTTTTCATTCGAAAACATATCTGTCGCTTTGTCATCCGTTTACGAAGCGCCTGGCTCTACAAGTGAAGCTGTTTTGTTAGGTATACCATATGAGGGAACATCACTTTTTTAGAAAAATTTAAACAGAAATAATAAACATTTGCAGATGAACATCTGCTAACGTGGAAATTGCACTTGCGCTCACTGAAGTCCTTGATACCTCTTTTTACGAGTAACGACAACCAACAAACGATGAAGCACATTTTGCCGGAACAAAATGGCATCCTTTAGTTAATTCTGTTACTGCACGCTGCCATTTTCCTCCCAAAACCCGCACCATTGTGCAATGGGCACTTCAAGGAATGTTGGCACTTGGCACTTGCAATAAGCATGGCGTGCACCTTTCATCTACGAAATTTAGTAGACACAACAAAGTGAGAAAGAGCTGTCACAAAGTGTACTACTAGATCTCATTGCAGCTTGGCAACTCTAATCGAAGTAGTATATGGTTAGGTGGCACAAGCTATTGTCTAATACAAAGGGTGTATCCAATGCCATCCATCCAATCGTGTGGTTGTAAAATTAAATTCTGCTAACACCAGACATTGTGTCACGAGCACTTGGGACTGTGCAGTGTGCAGAATAGCGAAAGTCATTAGTTCTACTCTTCCTTCTGGTTAAGGCCTGTTCACACATACATGCAGCGCTAACTGAGCAAAGCATTGACTTCACATGTGGCCCCAGCTTTTCTTCCAGTGCCTAGTCAGTACTGACAGTTGTGCTGAAGCGCCGAGATGCAGGTGTGAAATCGGCTTTTAGAGTTGGTCTCTCCTGTATACCTTAATCCCAGCCGGACATTATGTTCACAACGGCATGATGACTAAGCAGTCTTCTCTTCATGCTTTTGCTTGCAGTCCATCAAGGACTTTGCACACAGCTCGCTCCAATTTGCACTACAACGTGAACTGCCGCTCTACCTCAGGTGTGTTGCAGCGTACCATTTCCTTACGCTTGTAGCTTTTGTGTCTGCTATTTTCTCCACATTTGTCGCTCGCTCTTGTCGAAGTTTTTAGCAGCAGACAACCTTTGCAATTGATTTATTTTATGTAGTATTGTGCAACTATGCTTTGGGTAATGTTTTAAATTACAAGAACTCAAAGGTCAGTGCTTTGAATGCATCATAAACAATGTGGCTCGGTAGCAGTGAACTGTCTCATTTCAATTTTTCTTTTTCTTTATCCCGATGATAAAGGAGAGTCATTTTTCAGAGAGTTTGCGTGTTCTGTTAAGGTTGCATGTTCTGCAAAGGCTGCATGTTCTGCAAAAGTTGCGTGTTCTGCGAACGGCTACTCACAAAGCACCAAATCGTTGAATATACTGCAATGCAGAAAATAATCATGACGGGTTAGTCCACCACGAGTACTACATGCGGGGAGCACTTATAGCAAGTTTCTGTAATCTCTCTCAGCACCAAGAACACTATCCTGAAGAAGTATGATGGCCGATTCAAGGACATCTTCCAGGACATCTATGACAAGTGCGTACCTCTGCAAGGTTTTTTTTTACTTCAGAATGAGCAATTTCAACTTTCTCTTTGTGGAATGAGGCATATGGTATACATGCTTTAGAAGTAGTATGTACACTTGTGGAAGTATCTATACGCCTGCAGATATGCTCCAGCATAAGCATCGAGGAAGCTTATGCAGAAGCTATCCGACCATCCAGTAGCCCATCCTTGAGCGGTTGTTGTAGCGAGCTGCAGTTCCTGCATAACCAAGGCTGTACTTGCATGTATTATGGTGTTAAAGGGATGCTGAACCGAGATCTGGATTCCACAAAACACGTGGCAAAAGCGTGCAGCGGGATGCTACAAACACCAAAACATCACTCGTACAGCGATATCTCAAACGAATGACCGTATTTTTCAAAAAAACAAAAAGGAGGCGCATTTGACAGAAATGTTCATGTCATGTTTCTCCGAGAAAAGAGGAAACAGTTTCGCGTCTTCTCTTGAGGGAGCGAAGCGAAGAGAGGAGGAAACGAGATATCTCTACGTCACGCGCCCAGTCGGCCTGGTTCAATCTCGACCTCTTTTTCCAAAAATACGGCCGTCCATTCGAGATATCGCCTTGCGTGTAGTTTTGTAATGATTGTAGTGTCCTGCCTACATCTCCTGCATTTTTTTTTTTTTAATCCAAATTTCGGTTCACCATCCCTTTAAGGACACCCTCAAAGGGGCAGTTAGCTTTTGTTTACACAAGGCCAGCTTTTGCATTGATGAAAGATGGTGTTTTCTTTTTTTCCTTTAGTTTTTTCCCACCACAAATGGAAGTGTAAGATTCTCTCACGTCGAGTCCCGCTGGCAGAGACTCCTTTTCGAAACCAACAAAAACAGGGTAATCTCTTGGAAATTAAAAATTTCGTCAATTGTGATGGGGTCAAAAATAAGTAAATAAAAGAAAAGCAAAAAAGAGCTGTGCAGCCAATAGCAAGGCCGGCTTGTCACACTGAAGTAACCCCACGAGAGAAAGATCTACCGAGCCAGCTTCTGCTTCATCGTTCCTTAGAGGTAATGAGCATCCGTCCTAGCAACAAAAACGTCAAAATAACGCACCCATCTCTCTCTCTCTTTGCTGGACCTCGAGGCAGATACTAGCACGCAAAGTCCTAACCCGCGATTTTTGAGGTGGCCGATTAGGAAGGCTCCTGGATCGCATCCGTGCTGGTCTCCCCGCAGCCAGTACAAGTCCAAATACGAGGCCAAGGGCATCTGGTACGAGCACCGCCTCATCGACGACATGGTGGCCCAGGCCATGAAGTCCGAGGGCGGCTTCGTCTGGGCGTGCAAGAACTACGACGGCGACGTGCAGTCCGACGCCGTGGCACAGGGCGAGTCCTTTCGGCTTCCCTCGATATAGTCGTATTCGCTCCGAGCGAGGGCCGCCTTAGGGCGCATCGCAAGACTAAGTAATTCCTTCAATTAATCAGTTATAAAAAGAATGTATAAAAAAAAATTGGGACTTGGGGCATTTAATCTTTACAACAAAGCTGAGATGCATAGAATGCTAAGGAGAATATTTTTTATTCTCGTTACGTTTTCATTAACATATTATTTCTGTGGCAGCCGTGGCGGCAGACGGAAGCAGCGCTCTTCTTGTCTGTCTTGTTTCTATTATACGAGTCTAAAATTTAGGGGGAAGTATTTCCCTGTTAGGCTTAGCGAAAACTGAATTGACACACCAATTCAATTTCCCCGCTTCGCTGGACAAAAATACATAATACGTCGTTGCAAGACATTCGTTTTAAGATAATTTTACACGAAACCCTATGCACTGCGTGCAAAAATTAATTTAAAGGCAAGCAAGGCAAAGCCAGCACCTTATATTTCAGCAACAAGACTCAGGATTTCACCTGAACTCCTGCTTCGAACAGCAGACTGTTTTCATTTCCATTCAGCGCGATACTAGATGGCCAACTAACTCGCAAATTAAATTAAGTTTCTCTCGTGCTTCCTGGCATTAACTTCATTGCAACAAGGTTAATTTGTCTCGTGCACTTCAGGCTTTGGATCGCTGGGGATGATGACCAGCGTCCTCGTCTGCCCCGACGGAAAGACGCTGGAGGCCGAGGCGGCGCACGGCACGGTGACTCGCCACTATCGCATGCACCAGAAGGGACAGGAGACCTCGACCAATCCCATCGGTGAGCTCGCCACCTTCTCTTTTCGTGCTCTGGTTTGGTTTTACCAGTGGTCTCGCTTATTTGGCGCGTCTACCAGTCTTCAGAGATGCTTTGGTCAAAACCAGGACTGGAACTCAAAGTTTATAAATCAGCCTCCGGACTGTTCGACGAGTCGAGAGGGAATGGGGAATGTGGAGACCCCAGTCGTAGCAAGAGGCCAGATCAAGTATTGTTCCTGATATTGTGAAAGAGCATACATGCGCAACTGGCCGTGAATAATTAATTTTTGTTGCATTTGTCCGTTTCGCTGACGCCAACATTATAAAGAAGAAAAACAATTGCAATCGCAGCACATGATGTGTGCTGCGACTGACAGCAGTACCTGCTGCGTTGTGGAAAGGCACGTCGCAGGAGATTCTCCTTCGGCCAGTGTGCTGTGCAGTGTTTGCAATGGGTTCCTTGCTTTCAGTGGAATTGATGTGGGAAACGTGCGCGAGCAGATGTGTGCTTTGGTGGAATGATTGTGCAAGATGTTGCATGTGTTAAAACAAGACACCGACGTGCTTCCTTTTTTTTTGTGGGGGGGGGGGGGGGGGGGGGGGGGGGGGGCGGGGCGGGCGGGGCGGACTAAAACGCTTTTTTAGAGTGGTGTCACCCCCGACCTGTGCCTGTGGTGGAAGAAGCGAAAGTATATACAGGAGCTGTTCTCCAGAGGCGCGGAGAGTAGACAAGGACGGAACCTAGGCTTTGCCTATTCCTTTCTCTCTGCTTTGCAAGACCACATTCGAGATGGCCGCCATGCGATTGGGTGCCAAAATAAATTGCGCACCACGGGCAGATCACATTATACTTGAGAAATCGTGCCAAAAGCAAGCCCAAGAAATGCGCAGACAGGAGGCTAATGCGGCCCGCTTTTCCTCGGCAGCCTCCATCTTTGCATGGACGAGGGGCCTGGCGCACAGGGCCAAGCTCGACAGCAACACAAGCTTGGCCAAGTTCTGCGCAGCCCTGGAAGCAGTCTGCATCGAGACCATCGAGGCTGGCTACATGACCAAGGATTTGGCCATCTGCAGCAAGGGCATGTCTGGGTGAGTGCCACCCCCCAAAAAATGGGCAAGAGGCAAATCTTGAGGCCGTTCCACGCGTGCATCTCAGCACTAGCATGACACAGTCAGCTCTGCTTCACCGCTACAGTCAATGCCAACTTACAAAGAATTGTAAGCGTCTTCCTTTTTTTTTTCTGTTCTAACAGATTACTGGCAGTATTTGTTTTTTTTCTTCGTTAAAATGTAGTTTTGCTACTTAGGCAGTCATAGAATTCCTGTGCTGTATAAAAAAAAAAAGTGACAAAATTTTTATTCTGCAGCTTTATTTTCCGTTAATCTAAAACACAGGCCACACTGAACTGTTTGCAAGACCACTTCCTCCTTAGGGGACCTCACTCATTGTCCCATTCCCTTCTTTTGTTTGTACTGAAACATTTTCCCGGTATTCAGGTCATGTACACGTAGCCTGGAGACTGAAGAAACCCGTTTTTGGGTCCTGTTTTCTTTAGCGTAAGCCCCGAAATACACAGAATTTGTGGGGAAAAATAAACCCCCCAAAAACGCTTCCCGACATGCGAGAAGAATAGATGAAGCTCGAAAACGCAGGACCCTACTTATAACTAACGTATGACGAAACTTCCCGAGAGCATAACCAAAACAATGCCCACTTTTCCTTCTTGCAGCGTTCAACGCAGCGACTACTTGAACACGTTCGAGTTCCTCGACAAACTGGCCGACAACCTCAAGAAGAAAGTGGGGAAGTGACTGGGTAAGCTTTGAGGCGCCCTCAGAGGGCGACTCAAGGCTTGCTTAGTCACAAGAGCACCGGCAAAAGTCAGTGCTCTCGAGCCTCTTGTGTCAATTGAGGTGTGCATTTTCGCCGATTGATGCGTGCATCGCCGTCTTTCTTTTTGGCATGATAGTACACATATACAAATAAAGATTATTTTCTCTATCCGCTCGTCTGATGCTGGGGCCGACTGTGGCTCTGCTCTCTAGCAGACGCAGTTTGAGTCTTAAGCCGATTTTTGTGTTCCAATTTCTGTGTAGGATACAGCTGCTGAACTCGGACTAGTCATTTAAAACACGTAATGATATGGGTCACTAGAAACAAACTGTTCCAACAGATAAAATACATAGCAGAAAACAATACTCCAAAATATGCAGATGAATGAACCGTACTTGATTGAACGAAACAAAGCTTACGAGGCCGCCATAAGACAAAATCTTTGGCGGCGCCGGGATTACAACTCCAGGTCTTTCCATATCCAGTCGGCGTGCCAGCCACTACACCATGCCCCCTGTTCTTTCTGGTGTTTCCCATCTGTCTTATTAATGCACCGAAATGTATCGAATCGCAGCTGTTCTAAAAATGTACGCCACCCCCTCCCCGAAATTTTGCTCTTCTCTGATCGGCAAATGTGGTTTGCTAGGCTGCACTCGCGCAATGGTCGTCTGGAGCATTTCGGAAGCACCGCTTTGTTTGGTAGCCGATTTAACGAGCGTTGGGGTTATGCAACCCAGCGCACATGGTTTCATGACAGGTAATTCAAAGGTAATGCGAGGTTTTGGGTCAATATTTTTGGAGATGGCCCCCTTTTTATTGTCGCAAAACACGCACAGCCCTCCTTCAAAGAGCGAAGGTAAGTAGCCAGAATCGTCTCGGCAACTAAAACGCATAAACAAAAATACAGTGTTGAATTTTTTTTTTTTTTGTGACAGGCAAAATTGTTGGGGCAGGTGAGGTTTACAATGTGGGAGTACTTGAAAAGCGGCAGTCCATATAGATTGCCAAGCCTCCATAAGGAGAAGCAAAAAATATCTGCATACACAGATGTGGCAACCAAGAGCTTCAATGTTGTATTCAAATCCCAACTTTGCTGTGAATTGCTTCACTGTATGGTGGAAATGACTCTCTTACACTGTCAAACAGTGCACATGAGTGTGATGTGCTATTAGAAACTCTGCTGAGGAGTTTTCTTTTTTTTTTTTTTTTTTTACAGCGGAGCTGTTAAGGGTTAGTTTCCCCAGGATCGTGTCCCCCACATAGAAATGAAGAAACCGAACTCTAGACACCCACAGCCATCTGTGAGCGACGGCGGCAAGCCACGTATCTGGTTGCCGCCGTCGCTCATAGATGGCGGCAGCCTCTCCACTCTGGTCTCTGGCCTGCCGACTCACGACCGGCCATTACTTTCCATTGTACAGCTCCGCTGGTCTTCCTTTTTACCAGAGTGGAAAGGCTGAAAGTTTTTTTGTTTGCCTTTTTTAATGACGTTACAATCAGGATTTCTTTGGCAATTTTATGTTTGAGCAAATTCATTTGTGTAAACATAAACGGAAAAAAAAAAAAAAATTTTTTTTCACAAAGTTTGTTGTTTTGCATTAACCCTTGTAAAAGGAATAAGTAGTGCAAAATAAACTCGCGATTCACCGTCAGACCAAAGGCGTTGTCCGGCAACCCTTAAAATTATATATAGCACAGCCCGGGTAAAATTAATAAAAGCAAATGTCTAGTGTCCACACGACAAGTCAGCACACTGAATAAACAATGCCATATCTGATACCTAGAGACAGACAAATCGCATCTCTGCGATAAGCACTCAAAAAGATGCGGCAAAGCATGATTGCATTCCTCCACATACCAAGACTCTAACCTAAAGGGACAGGTTGTCCCCGGTAAATACCCGCACCACCTGAAAACATCAAACTAGTCGCTCAATGAAAGCAACAATTCTTCATTAAAACTTGGGTAGATCACTCGGTGCAAGCGCTCGGTTAATACTTCGGTCATCGCGCAGTTGGGCCCAACCGGTCAGGCATGCTATGTTCCCTAAAGGGCTGCCCCAAACATGCCCGACAAACAATCGGCGGGTGGAGGGTGAAACCGTTCCACCGTTTTCTAGACTACTAAAGCAACTTACTTGATAAGAAATGAGAGATTCCTCTGCCCCAGTGGATCCTTTTAGCTTTGTCCCTTTCGGCTAGCACATCGTCCTCAAAATTTTCGCGGAGCAGGTTCAGTTAAACGCAAGCGCCGCCGTTATATTGACTATCTGTGCGGATTGACAAGTCTCGACAATCCACGGCTGTGTGTCTACGGCTGGGCTTGGTACGGGGCTTGGTGAGATGGGATGGCTATGGCTTGATACCGCACGATACGATTCAGAAGTTTCGCCTTCAGGTACCGCTTCAAAGGTTGTGGGGTTGCTCTTGCACAGAAGCATCGGTGCTGGGATCCAAAAGCGCTTCGTCATCGTCCGGATCTGCCTCCGGCATTCTGAGACAGTATCTGCAAGATCGTAGAACCAAACATTGTATCCGAATCCTGTTCCCACTATTTTGACAAGATGACTTGCCACCAATTGGGTTTCCGAGATGCATGCAAAAATGACCAGCATCCTTTTCAAGACACCCCATTCCCAACATCTTCCTCGTATATACCGTGATTACCCCATTTTATGACCACCAGTCAGTAGTGGAGATTCGGGGGGAGGGGTCAAGGTTTTCGTGCCTTACCATCATAATCGTGGGAAAAGCATTTAGAATAAGACCTCAATATTGAAATCTATCCCTCTTTTTATTGTCTGAAACTTACTGAGCCTGTCGTCAGACTCCCAAATGAACATTGAACGGCTGCTTGTAAGCTTGTTCATATAATCTAACAGATTCTCAAACTTGGAGGACATACTAAGAGAAGAGGGCAGAATGAAATGGTACTATCTGGCTTTCAGAAACAAAATGTCTGCTCTGTTTTTTTCATTTTCGCGTGAACATTCTACAATTGTCTTTTTTTCTTTTAATGCCACGCGACTCCTCGGCCGTTACTTTTGGTAGCGATCCAGTGTTTTTTTAGGGCGAAATCAGAATTTTGCTTTGAGTGAGGTGGTAGACACCAAATCAGGATAGCATGACATGTGCGAGTTTGGAGACATACATCTAAAAAAAGTAACATGCACCTTCTCAATACTATGCTTAAAGCTCATTAAAAACGAGCTTCCTGAAAACTAGCTCGTCCTCCAAAACTCCACATTTCAGATTTAACTCGACGAGAAAGAACGGTTGCCCAAATAATGACCAACAATGTCAAACGTACGATTAACTCCCACTGAGCAATGGATACCAGACCTCGACATCTCCTGCCCCCCCATATGGAAAGCATGCTTGCGTGGTTATTTTTCTTCTATGTCAAATCTCGGCTACAAAAAAGATCATAAACGTCCCAAGCCAGCTTTTCACATTGGCACCATTAGCGGCCAAAGAAAAGAAATGCGGCCAAGACACTCTTCCTTACATGAGGGCGGCCAACGGGAACAGCTGTAGCAAAGCACCGATGAGAAAAGGCAGTCCCGGCTGATACTCGAGGGCAGCGTTGAACACCAGCGAGGAAAAGACGTCGCCAAATGCCGGTACCAGCGATTCGCAGGTGGTCCAAAAAGAGAAAACCTTGGCTGTTGTCAACAAAGTGTGTGGAAAAAGAGAAACAACAGTATAAAAATTCTTTTAGCTTCTACTCGGTGAAGTTGGCCTAAACGAAACTGGCTAAAACTGAACAGTTTAAAAAAAAACACTGCTTCAAGGGAGTTTTTTTTTTTTTTTTTTAATTTCTGATTTAATTGAAATACAATTTTCTTAGCACATCTGACTTTACAATGTGATTATGAATATGTACTTAGTTTTGATATAGCTTGGCTGGGTTTTCTAATATTAGAAGAGTAATTTATGAAGTGTGGAAAGGATTAACAAAAATTCAAAAAGTACCGAACATTGAAAATGAATGTATGTGTTCAAAGTAGAAGTCTATGTGGAGAGTGAGTCGTCTGCTTGTTGCACAGGGGTTGCGGTGATGTCGGAACGATGCCGGGCTCTTATTGGCTTTGACTGGAACGATAGTGGGGAGACCTCGATGCTAGATGCCTTGAGGTCTACCCACTATTTTTTTCAATCGGCCAATAAGAGCTTGGCATTCTGACATCATCGCAACCCCTGTGCAAGAAGTGGACGAACTTGCGCTCTCCCTAGAAAGTGGTAAAGTATGATTCAGAGCACTAGGATGATTTACAAGCTTCTTTTTATGGCATTGAATACCTTAGTTTTAAAAATAATTTTAAACAAAACATCGGAGGCATTTACAAAAAGTACTGATGCCATATTTAAGGTATTTGCCCCCACTGCTGGTTAACTCATTTACATTGCTAGAAGAAACAGAAATAACAAGGATTGGCTGTGTACAAGCAAAACTATAAATTGCATAATATAGCAAAAAGTACGAAACATCCACTGTGAGAAAACAAAAGAAAACGTGCACAGACATATTTTACTGCTTTATAAAGCAGTATTTCAAAAGGGATGAAACCTACCTCATGAAAATACTCCAGGACAATATAAAAAGTTGCCTCTAAATCTACAAAAACACAATTTCAAAAATCTGTTTATCATTTTTTTTATTTCGAAGATCAGCGCACTAAGAAGAATTTTGAGTTCATCCTTCCATGGCAATAACTGATTCTATGCACTCTAGATGTCCTGGAAAACTCAAAATTACGATCATCTGCAACCTATTTTCATATTAAAACATAATCCAAGATGGCGACATGCCCCTTTTTTGCTGAAAAGGAGTATGTCGCTTTCAAAGAAGAAAAGGGCATGTTGCAATCCTTGATCACGTCCGCAACAGGAAAATAGGTCATACATAATCATAATCTGTAGCTTTTTAGGATGCTCAGAGTGTGTACATTGAAATACCACCATAAAAATTTAATCTCGTAGCCCCTTTTGCATTCTTTTAAGGCCAGCTAAATATCCAAGATTTTTTTTAAAATTCTAGGAAATAAGACATCTGCACTCACTTGCTTCGTAAGGACCAATGAGCTTCGAAGCATACGACGAAATCCCTACAGCAGCTGCCCCACCAGGTGAACCTATGACGTAACCTAGAACGACCAAGTTGTCAGGTCAGTATGCCTCCGCCAAAAATGGAAGCTTCCGAGCAACTTAAATGTCCTGTTGACGTCGGCAAGGTCAAAACACAATTTAGCCTCGTACATGATTTCAGCAAAAAATCAACATGGGAAGGCACGATTTCAAAAATGCTGCCTCGAATGATCTCCCCCCCTCCCGTCTCAACTGGGTTCCCCTTCGTTTGCAACAGCTGTTGCTTTGGAACGTTAAGAACCTATCCTCCTTTAAAAAAAATAGAATCTGAAGAAACAAACTGGAATACTTATGTACTATCGGCATGAAATAAATGTGAATACTGGAACGCAAACGCTGGTATGCGATTAGCGGAACGCATGGCCTTCGATGGCTAACTGGAGGCTGATAAAACTACGGGGAGCGGAGAGTGGGTCTGCGAGGGCGTGCACATCAAAGTAAGCACACACTCTCACACTCCACTCCACAATTTTATCAGCCTCCAAGTAGCACACCGTGTACTGAAGGCCACACGTTCTGGCGTTCGCGTTTCATTATATGCCAACAGTACCCAAGTGCTTCAAGTTCTGTCTGTGTTCAGCACTGCTTTTCCCAAGCTGTTATGCGATGGCAGGTCAGATATAACTAGAATGGGATTTATAACATGGCTTAAGAATCCAGTTTTTAGGGTGGCTGCTTCAACCTTTCAACTTCCAATGTCTATGAGCTTTTGCTGATGTGCTGACAATAGTACGGGCAAACTAGGCTCTTTACTGAAGATTTAAGGTATGTACTTTCTACTCAGAGTAGACTTACTCAAATAGTACATCCACTCCTCGGTGGCAAAACCCTTGATGGTGTTCTGCAGCGCAAACACAACGACCCCAATGATGGCGAGAGACGGGTCGCGGATCTGGAAGAGCCTGCTGAAGACGATGACACACACGGCCGTCGCGATCATCTGCATGATGCCGAAGAAGGCCGTCACGTTGGAGAACTTGACGGGGTTCCAGTCGAACCGGTTCTTTGTGTAGAAGTAGTTGATGTTCCTGGCAGCTGTAGCGGAGAGAAGAGAGGCACAGGGGTACCTTGTGGCAAGATGAGACCATCTCGAGGAACGAGTTTGTCTCAGAGAGCTCCGTCAAACCGGCCCCACCACCTGACCGATCAATTAATTTCACTTGCAGCCCATTCACACCCTCGCATTAGCCTAAGACTTAATTCCAATGATCTCTTGTGACGGGGACCAAACACATGCACACTAGCGCCATCTATGAGCTGACAGCGGAACCGCATCTCACTAGAGCAAAGGTTTTACGGTATTCACAAGATCAGATCTGTGTACCGTCCATGAGAAATGTTTTTTCACGAAATTGTCAGAAGCTTTTCGAGGCAAGAAAGAATGATGTACGAAAAAAAAAAAGAAGGAATATACGGAATGACCTTGCGTTCGTCGTCGAGAGAGATTTTAAGAGGTTCTAAAGCACACAGCCATCCAAACGAGCCACTCACTTTCGCTGTTGAACAGGATGAACCAGAGCGACACCATCATCAGCAGCAGTTTCGCCCGGTTCCAGCCAGGCCTGGGCTTGAACACCGATCGGCACCCTTCCCTGAGGTTATCCAGCCTCAGCAAGTCCCTCAAGAGCTCTCTGTAGCCTGTCCGGTGCAACTGGGCACTAAAGGGCACTGTCCAAAATATCCACAATGCCATCACCGCCAGAAGACCCGCCGAGGTCCCGTAGATGGGCTCGTAGCCGCCGCGGCTGAAGATCTGTCCCCCCGCAAACATCCCGAGCTGAAAGCCAAGAGTCAGCGCCGTCAGGATGCACGCGAACCGCACGGTCTTGAGTTCGGCCGTGACGGTCCGGGCGCCGTTGCTGTAGACCGAAGCGCAAACCGAGACGAGGCCGCCGCTGAGGCCATTGGGGAGACCGCAGAGGACGGTGGCGTACATGGGAACGCTGAAGACGATGACTGTATCAAGAGTCATGAGGTCCTGGAGGATGCCGCCAGCGATCGCGACCAAGATGGGGAGCTTGTGGCCATAGCGGTCGCTCCACGGGCTTACGAAAATGGACAGGAGGCCCGCGGGAACGAACTGAACCAGGAACAGGCACAGGTTGTGGATATTGGCATACCTGGAAAGAAAGGAAGATAAACAAGGAGCACCCTGAAATGCAACATATGGCTTGTTGATAAGAAGCTTCTTGTAAGACCTCCTGGTAGCTTTGTGTCTAAATTTACTGCACTCTGTCTATTCGTTGTCCCCGAGAGTGTGTAATACAAAAAAATACAGACCTATATGCCAACTTCTCTCAGTGACATCACATGCAGGCACTTCGCCCTCCAACATATTCGCGACTCCAGCGACCTATAGGGGGCGCCACCACCAAACAAACATGGCGGCTGAGTCCAGGTCGCATCGGCTCGGCCGGGCCGCCTGAATGGGTGGCGCATTCAATTTAACAAATTTTCTTTTGTTGAATGCCCAATTTTATGGGTATTTGAACTGAGACAGTTAAGTGTAGCCGGTGCGCATAAACTTGCCGAGCATAGCTTTGTTTTGCCGGTGTTTTTTTGTTTTTTTTCATGTCAAACTTTCGTTTCGGAGACTTCTATCAAAACCGAAACTATGGGCTCCGGAGAAACGGTAATAGACTCTAACTAGTTTTGATCATCTAAGGAAAGCGGCGAGGGCTACAAAATTGTTCCACCGAGAGTAATTTTTAGCTAACTCGCATGCCTCGACCATGCGACTTATCTGTCCGCAAATTGAGCTTTTGTGCCTGTCCGCGTTTCAAGAAACAGCTCCAGTCGTGTGCTCGGTCAAGAACACATGCTGCAGGAAAATTACAAAAATTAAGCAAGCGCTTCTTGAGCCAAGGAGTACGTCAACTCGCTGGCGCTTCACTAAGCAGCTGATACTCGTATTTCAATTCAGGTTTTAGTAGCAATCGAGAAGTCATTTTAACGAATATGCGGATTATGTATCATATTACGTACTATGGTTCTACTAAAGCGATATTAGTATATTCTTCGGGTTGAAATATGAACTTAGTTAACTAACTATTATGTGAACTGCTGAATAAAAGTATATTTGACAGACAGAGAGATACTACTTAAACTTAGCCAAACGGTTCTAGCCGGTAGAACGGAGACGAATGCGGACAAACTGAGGAGAGTCTTCATCGGAGATTCACTCAGACCTCTCTGCATTGAACTTGACTTCGAATCCTGAACGGATAAAATGAGTATTTTTTGTGGCCGGTCAACCTGAGCAATGTAGACGTACAGTAAAACCTTGTTATAACAAAGTTGAAGGAGCGGTCGTAATTATTTCGTTATAACCATTAGTTTGCTATAGCCACTGTCCATTTCTTCCCAATCTTAGCAAGCAAGGGGAATTATGATTGCTTTGTTATATCCATTAGTTTGTTATATCCCATTTTGTTATAACGAGGTTTTACTGTATATTGCTGCTGGCTTCAACAGGGGTTATAATATAAATATTGGAGGCGCGATAGATCCTAATGACGTGACAGCTTCTAACTTTGCGAGACGCGTCCCCCACCTTTTGAAAGCAGATAATTTCCCTCATTAATCATACGCAGCGAGCAGGTTTTCTGAATCAAGTAATTGCGAAATTAGCCCAACTCCTTCAATGTGGTCTTTTTCGGCAAAACGCCGCCAAGATGAATAGCCGACGCACCGGCCGGCGTTAGTGGCTCAAATTAACTTGAAGCTAATCGAGCACAACCAAACTCAAGGAAAGCAGCTATCGAACCTTCCCATTCACTTGACTGCAACATTGGTGTTCCCTCCAGTGAAGCACTTTGTCTGTTGACCTCAGTCCACTGTTCTACATCCTTATAAAGAAACCACCTATCAGTTACCAAGCAGTCGTCCCTTTGAATGTGATTAGAGACAGACGAGAAATCAAAACGTTTTTCCGTGATTCCTCCTAATCCAAAAAATTGAAAGCACGCGACCGTGTGTTGTGGAGTAAACGGGCTTTCAAACACGTGATGGAAAGAAACAATCTATTGAGGCTTCACCACACTAATGAACACTCAAGCAAACTTAAGAAATTTTCGGACCTTCGTCAAATTACATTGCTCGCCCCCGCGCCGACAGCACGTGTCTGCGAAAGCCATTAGAGACGCGGCGGGGCGCGGAGCGACCTGGACCGACTGGTTCCCGGTTTTCCCGCTTGGCAGCGTCCGTTTTGTTGGAGTCGCGAATTGGCTCAAGCGCACATATGTAATGCCCACAACTGGGAAATGAGCGGGGTGGTTTTAGACAGCTCTAGATAGATTTTACCATAGTTGACACGGTAGTGCCACAGGAGTGGTTATATTAGTTGTATCACAGCAGCTGTGGTCCAAGTAACAAAGTAAATACAGTGGCAATGTTGTAATGACTATGAGAGCAGTGCTGCTATAATGGGTATGATGAGAATGTCATAGCAGCTATGGTAATGCTGCTGCTACCATAGCTGTTACCATAAAGGCCCGTTCACACTTTTGCGACCGAGTACAACTGAGAGAGACGAGATCTCTTAAAACTTCTTAAATGTTTTTAGAATGAGGGAACGGAGGGAACACACTGGCATTGTGGTGCCATCTATGCGGTGACCCTGGAACTGCATTTCACAAGAGCGAAGGTTTTGCGGGATTTCAGAGGTCAAATGTGCGTAACACCCATAGAAAGGCTCGTTTATAACATTGACAAAAGTTTTTCGAGCCAAGAAAGAAAGGATAATGCGCGAGAAATAAAAAAAAATATGCTGGACCGCCGAGTTTACACTGCTTCCCAATAGTGTGTTCTCTGGTTTAAGAAGTTTTAAGGAACCCAGGTTTAAGAGGTCGCAAGAGTGTGAACGGGCCTTAATAGTACAGAAATGTTAATGACAGTTATAGCATAATGGCTATAGTGGCCCTGCTTGTTTTCAAGGTGAAAGCAGTGTTTTTTTGGTTGCAACATAGTCATTTTGGCATAGCTGCACAGCTTTTAGCTTTTTTTGCCCGATCCCCCAAAGTTCATCCCGGTGATATCCCACGCCGCCTGGGAATAGTTACGAATTTGCAGAAAGTAAGCGAATCGGCGAGGGAAAGAAAAGTATGGCCGTTGGACAGGGTGTCTAGCAAATTATTATTCTGGAATTCCCTGACTTTTCCAGGTTTTCCCTGGCGATTTCAGGTGAAATTCCCTGACCACTCTAAAGGCAGTTAAATATATAAGACCATTACAACACAAGGCATTGAGCATTGAGCACTGTGAATCATTCTCCATGGGCTTAATCCAATATGCATATTTTGAAATATTCGGGTTCGTCAAGTCTAGATTAAACGAGCACTTTCTTACCGCCGACATCGTCAGTGAAGAGGCCACTTCCGGAAACACAATGAAAACACGATGCTCAACCACACACATCAATAACCGAATGGCAGCATGGCCACCAGTCTCCAGATGCGCATTTTCGGATACTTTTGGCTTAAGTCTTGGATTGGATTAGGATTTGTGGCTTTCCCTTTTGTTATCTAGTAGCTCTAACTGGATTTAGCCTAGTGTTGCGCCCTCAATTCAATCCAAGGCTTGGACTGGATTTGTCGGCTGTTCCCTTTCGCATCAGGTAGCACACTCTACATCGGGTAAACAGAGCCTGAACTCCGCTCTAAGCAGAATTTATTGCCTATTTTTCTGTCCCCAAGTCCTCAAGTCTTTGCTCAGGGCACTCGATGGTGTTTCCAGCTCATTTTCCCTGACTGGGCTCGCTTTTTAACAATATATCTGACAATTCCTGGTTTTCCCGGTCGCTAGACGCCCTGTTAGAATCCATCCATCCATCCATCCATATACTGCTACAGCAGTTGTGTCAAAGGTGCGACGATAGCAGTGCTGAAGACGATACAGCAGCAACGCGGTACCGGTAAGAAAAAGTACCCCAGACAGCAATCACACAAATCCTAAATATCAAAGATTCCCCTGTGCAACACATTATTGGTTTCTCCTTCATGGCTCCCAAGTTGAAATCTTGCAAATGGGTTATGGAATTGGTCATATTTAGGGGTTAAAAGCACTAACAAACGACGGAGTAGAAGAGACGCACACCACGGAGAACAACTTACAACTGATGCGTGGCGATTGGGTGTGATGGGATGTGTGTCTTGTCGGTTTTGCAGTGGGTGTGTTTTTCGAAAGATTAAACCAGTTGTAAGTTGCGCTCTGTGGTGTGCGTCTCTCCTACTCATGCATAGTTTTTTTAGCACTTTTAACCCCTAAATCAACCAACTAGCCCAAATTCGAACGCTTCTAGAACTGGTCATAGCTGGATCCAGCTGGGACCAGTTTTATAATCCAGCTGCTGGTCGGCTGATTTTCCCCTGGGCTGTTTCCCAAACTCCGAAATGAACTCGGATGCTTTGCAGGCAATCAGTGAAGCAAAGTAGATTGGCCAATACAGTACATTCGCTCACCTGGTGACCTCGTCTTTGACAGTGATGTTCCACGAGAGGTTGCGGCAGGCAGAGGCGTTGATGTCATACTTGAAGAGGCAGGCCTTGGTCAGGAACAGGTCTTGTGTCATGACGAGTCGCATGGAGTAGGACATGGCGTAGACAAAAAGAAACAGCTCCAAGTGCAGCTTGCGGAAAAACTGGATCCAATCCACGCGGCGAAGAGCCGATCCAGCCGGCTTCTTGTCCAAGGTAACAACATCGTCCTGCTGGCCAGACTCCATGCTGTCAGCCGCCTGGCAAACAGAGTAAACAAAAAAAAATATTAGGGAAGGTTTTGCGTGCTAAACCAACAAAGGGCATCTGGCACGCCCCAGCCTTAGGATTAATTTCGACTGCCTGGGGATCTCGTGACGTTCAACCGAAAAATTGCAGCCCCTTCTCGGCAGTAAGCCTCTGTCATTGCGGGAACCTCGGCCAGAATTGGGGACTTGTTGTCTGGCACTAAGGACTCTTAGTCCGGCGTTTTGCCTCAGAGACACCGAGGCAGCTTGGCAACGCAAACAGAACAGAGAATGTATCAGACAAATCGATTCCTACGTCCACCTGAGTAAATCTGAGTGGTGAGGGATCGAAGGAAACAAGAAATGAGAACAACTCACTTGTCACTCAAACCCCTGCAAACAGAGGGAGTAGCGAGGAAAGAAGTAGAAAGATCGAGAGAGATGCCCCACCCCCTGACAGGTAACCCACCCCTATTGTTGGCTGGATTTGCTATTTTCTTTTAAACACCGAAAGATAGCTCACTCCTAGTAATCGCAGTGTTGGGACCAATGATGACCCCAGCGTAAATGCGTCTAGTTAGCTATGGCGAGATATAAGCTAACATTGGTGACTGTTAAGTACAGTCATCTGTGCTTTATTGCCCAGCCGTGATAACAAGTTTGGCAGGCACACATGATCTTAAAATAGCATTTTTTAAGACTTTTCTTGACTACACACCGAAAGTTAGCCCACTCCTTATTTCCACCTAATTTTCTCTCGATTTTAGGTGGGCTATTTCTCAAGGCATTACGGTACATCAGATGTAAAATGTACCATGTCTTGCGACGCAGAATCGTGGCGCGTTCTACTGCGAGCCGTCGTAATCACTATAGTGAACATAAACTAATGCAGATCTCAGAAATTAAAACAATTATGAAAATGCAAAAAAGAACACATCCGAACATACGTACGCAAGTGACAGTCCTACATGCCGTAAGTGAACATTTACAAGCAAGTTAAATTAAGCAGAGCTAGGGAATGAAAGATAAATACATTTACGACGAAAAACAATGAAGAAACGAAGTAGCAAATCCTGCATAAAAAAAAAGATTGAGTTCATTCCAAGTCTCAAAAGCAAAGAGGCAAAGATTTTTTTCCCGCGACCTGGAACTTAATTATAAAATACCCATGAAGAGAAACATTAAGAAAAAAAGATGTGAGGAGAGTTACGTAGCAGCTGCCGAGGATAGCTTTCGAGACATGCGGAGTTCGTATTGTGCAGAACTGCATGTCATTCTCTGGAAGCTCTGCGGTAGCAGAGAGCGGTGCACTGGTGCCACTGTGGAGGTACTAACAGTACTACGCAATGATGATATTCAAAATGGCGATACAGAAGGAAACAAACGTGTTGCATGTAACAGCTGCAAACGGTTGCGTGTGCAAACAATGAAAAAATGTCAGGAAACAGGTGCCGACGAGGCATTTCGAAACGAAAATGGGATGAGGCGGACACAACGTCGAGCAGTTATTCACAACTTGTCCGACCAGCTGTGCTTGTACAATCGTAATTGAGGGATCTGAAAACACTAGAAATTAAGCAGCTGTGAGAAGGGACAACAAAGAATTGTATGTTTAAAAGTAATTTCAGCAACAAGAAGGCTATCAGGTATAGTCAAGGGTCAGTCATTAGTCTAAAATCCAAATATCAGACCCAGTTTTTGGAGAAAAATACATATTCTTACTTCCGTATTGCTACCAATTCATCCTAACTGGCATACTGCCGGTATTTCTACTAAAGAACGGAGATATTTCCCATTAAAAAAAGTATATTGGCATGGGCACATAACAATACAAACGTGGGTGCATTGAAGCTAAGAGGAGGCTTGTGTGATCTTATTCTACTAAGACAGAAAAGCAGCAAAGAATACACTGAAACACTAATAATAAATTCTTATCGTGATTACTTGGCCTTTAATAGAATAAAAACTGACATCAGCTCCTTTATACTTGTCTTCACCTTAAGAACAGTAGTAAAAAAAAGTCCGGCTCTTCGCAGAGCATTACTCAATTCTCCCTTTATGTAGAGAATTAAGATACCTGCAGGGGTGTATTTTAGATTAGATATTTGCTATCTTATCAAGATGTACCCATTTCAAATGACATAAAACATTGCTTCTTCCGCAGACAACCAAATATTGTAAAAAGTACTTTGTGTGGCGTATGAACAATGCGCAAAACTTCAATTTTTGTTGAGGTGAAAACAAGTAGTATAAAAATTTGCTAAAATGGCAGTTGAGAGAGAGCGAATTGCACTCGGGCGTCAATTGGGCATAGGTCGTTGGCAGCGAGCCAAACAGAAAACACTTGTGTTTGCTGTGTACTTGGAAATAGCCTCCAAATGATAACAGAGCAGATAATGCAGAAAACAAACTTTCTCAGACGCCATGTCATGCGGGAGATGGACAGTCCAATCTAGTGCTCCCCTCGTTGTACGGCCAGTAAAGACCTGACAAACAACAGCTGTCCGTTGTTTCTTGCACACTAAAATCGATGCGTAACTCATGAAAGGTTAGGTGTTCAAAAGAAATCAGAATTAGCAAGAATGAACGCACAAATGAGTTCCCGGAGTTGCTGGCAGTTCCGGCTAATTTACGCCAATGTACCTCAGATCAAATTCACTGAGCAATCGTCCCACCATAGCAAAAATAACACAAAATTACGCTTCCACACATAATATCATTAAAAAAAAATTTATTTAAAGCTGCATTCTGAACCACTGGGTGTATCAATTTGAAGATAGACACTACATTCAATTTATAAAATTAATTTTTCTAGGTGTGCATTGCTGGTTTCCGAAGTGCAACAAAAAATGGGCGATAAAAATCAAATCACTGCTGATAAACGCTGATCCGAGCCCCATAATATTTACGATACGTGCACATTCACAGTTTTTGTCCTTCTACTTGTATACTAAGTATAGTAACAGCTGAAACAAAAATCAACTCACCCAGATGAAAAACAATGCACTTGTTGATATATCCACAAATACGGAAAAAAACACGTACAGACAGGTTAGGATGGGTTGCTAGATGTCTTTTTCCATTCTTTTTTTTTTTTTCCACATGAGCTTAGCCGACAACTTTCCCATTGCAGCAAATGAGAATGTGTTCAAATAATGTGCACTGTCCCAATGACATCCATGGGACGTTAAGAGAACATCAGTAGCCACATAGAGAAAGCCAAGCAAGAAGATGAGGATCAAACCTGATCTTGTAGTGCCCTGGGTCTCAGTAAGGGCACCTGGCTTCCTTGAAGGCTTTCCTGGTCGTCTGCTTGAAGCGACGCATGCATATACGGCCCGTTCGAAGATCACATGCTGAAGATCAGATGATTGCTGGGCTTCCCTCTGTGACCCCGCTTGCGATGGCTGCAATCACGAGAGGATGCGACAAGGGATTGCAATCTCAGAGGCTGCTATTGTATAGAATCGGGCTGGTTATCACTCCAGAGCCTACACCACCGGCAAACTGAGACAGAGTTTTCAGCAAGAAAAAACCTGGTAATTATGTTGTTACGCCCTGCTCAGCAGGAGTGAGCTAGCACAAACGGCAGTGCTGAAATAATCAAGAACGGTGCAGAAGTTTACATACACATGTGCAAATAAGTGTCACGCAGAAGGAAGTGGCTACTATATAGTGATTAACCGTGACAAAGCATGAAGAATACTTGGGAAGGTCAGAATTGCAAATTGTAAAGAAGTTTTGAGACCACTCTTCAAGTAAAGGGGAAAATGCTACCTGTTATCTATTCAGAAAATAAAGAAATGATTAATAATAATTTTTTTTTTTTTTATGTATGTGATTACTTCCAATGAGTCTACTCTATTAAATTTGCTCTTGTTTATTTATTTATTTTATTTATTGAAAGTACCCTCAGGGCCCGAAGGCATTACAGAGGGGGAGAGCACGTACATACCTTAAAATACCGGGCAAGCGCCCACTCAAACTTTAGAAATAATTGCAAAGAAATGGAGGATGGGCACGTCCAGTCATCAATTTTACATAGTAATGTACAGTGCGTATTATCTCAGATCTCACAAATTTGGTAATGGGCACTTCATGTGGAATGGGCGGATGTGCGGTATTCTACGGTAAAACAAAGATAGTAATATAGTAGCAAGTAAACAATATTAAATATACAACAAACAAAGAAAAATAACAGGTCATGGGTCACTGCAAAAATAGTTAGTGATGGAATTTCTAAACAAGTTAGTATCAGTTACAGTAGCAATCAAACCGGGGAGATAGTGGTTATGCGGGGCGCAAGTTTGTCTGCCTTTAGAGCAGGGGTCGCAGTAACGTCAAAAGGCCGAGCTCTGATTGGCTCCGATTGGAAGGATAGTGGGTAGACCTCACGGCAGCTAGTATTGAGATCTACCCACTCTCCCTCCAACACAGCCAATCGGAGCTCAGCGTTCTGACGTCTCTGCAACCCCTGCGCAAGAGGCAGAGAAACTTGTGCTCCGTATAGTGACGCTGTCCAATTCGAGGTTTATGGGTTTCGCCGTCCCCTTACTTTACGCTGATCAGTACGAACCTGCACGATCACACGCTTTCCTCAGAAAAGATCTCGGCAACTAATTTTCTGGTATTGAATATCCCAGCATGGGTCATTCCCAAACTGCATCAGCGTATAGCAATGATAATGAGGTTGTGCATGCGGTTGCATACGGATGAGCAAGTTAGCGCAAAGGTGCTGGCGCAAAACCAGGTCAAATATGTTTACGAAGGGTGTGTGTCATATTAGCAAACAAACGAAGGGCATCTGGTGCTTTCAAGCGAAGGATTGAGAAATAATTTAGACCGCATAGGGATCTTTTAATGTGATGCCTTCTCCTCCAGTAAACAGTGTCAATTAATGCATGAAAGTAAATTTTTCGGGGACTGCATCCCAGGACCAGAGCCCTGTGCAGTTCAAGAGTGAGTATCTATTTAAAGAACACCTCTTCAAAGTGAGTATCGACAACACGAGGTAAACAGAGAGAAAATTATGTTTCCTGCGCTTTCACAGGCGCAATTAAATTTAGAAACGGGGATGTCACGCGCTGTAACGCATTGCAACCCGATGGCGAAACAACCAAAAGGCGTCATCTGGAACATATTATGCCAAACAAAACGTCCCGGATCAAGTGATGTACCCTTGGATGCTTTGCTTTGCCTAGGCGACCGTATTTCACCGGATCCGCTCTTGATTTAATTAACTTTTTTCCCGAGTGTAGCTGGAAACAAGTGTTCAACAGTGACGCAAGAAAACGCTGTTTGATTACGTGGATTACGCACCCCTTTGCGACATCAACGCTGCGAACAGGTGCGATACGAGCACATTAAACGTGGAATTAAAGCTCCTGTAGAAATAAAGAGATCAATCTGGGGAACGGCGGTACTCACCTTGTGGATCACACATGAGCGGAAAGCTTACGACGAAGTAAAAGCATCTTAGGTGTGGAGAGAAAATGACTAGCCTCTGTGACTAGCTAATGATATAATACTATTTCCTGCTACACGACGCGGCCCTTGCGATTCCCACAGCAATGGGAGACGACGGATTCCGTCCTTCGGTGCTTCAGGGCTTCAGTCCGGTTGCTTCGGTCACACGGATGTTCTTGTTTATTACATGGTTTATTACCTCTCACCATAGATGGCAGCACCATGCCATTAAAGCTAATTTTCTAGAAAATAATGGAGAAAGATAATTAAAAAAAAAAAATGGACATCGGAAAGGTGAAGACGAGGTAATGCGACTTCTAATTTACTCATTTATGACGACGAACGATGGACATGGAAGACGCTCCGCGAGTATGCCGCGCAAGGTTTGATGCCGCGAGTGCGGTCACCGGACGGCCATCTTGCATCTCGAAAAATCGCGTTTTTGGAGCCTTGGGGAGGCTGGCGGCCAGCACGCTAATTACAGGTTTTCTTCACGATCGTCGTCATTCCCGAAAGAACTTTTTAAAAACCTTTTGTAAGCCGTGAGTATTTCCCTTGGGAATACGTGGAAATTTTTACGGAAGCGCAGTGCCGCGGAAAAAAAGGCACAACTCGTCCAAAGCAAGTTTCGTCGGTCTCGAGGCGTGATCAAAGTTTCCTTGGCACGCCGAAGCTCTACGTCTCTGTGGCTTCGCACGCTTGGATACCGATCAGGAATCGGCGCCGCTCTTTAGCCTAGCCATAGAAGAACATGACAGGGCAGCACTGATCATCTCGCTTAATTTTATTTCGCAACATTGATTGCGGGCACTTGCAAGAACGCGAGAAGCGGGGGGGGGGGGGGGGGGGGGGGGGGGGGACTTCATGAGTTGTGCTTCTGGCTGCTTGTATGTCTTGGTGGGTGCGAAAAGCACAGTGGAAACTTGGATTCGTCACATTATTAAACTCACAACCGTCAGAGTTGATAATCTGGCATTACTCTTATTTCAATAAATGAAAGGAAAATTAACCAAAGCCAGACGACCTAGGAAAACATATAAAATAGCGCAACAGAAACAAGGACAAGAAGTAAACAGGACAGCGCCTGTCCTGCTTACTTCTTGTCTTTGTTTCTGTTGCGCTATTTTATATGTTTTACTAAGATGAATCAACTAGCCCAACAACGTACCTTACTAGACCTAGGGAAAGTCTAGCCCATCGTATAAAACGATGCTCTCTGTGGCATAGAGCATGGGCTCAGCTTCAGTTATTGTTAAAATTCGGCTACTCTCATCATTAATTGAACACGAGCCATTTAGCGGCGAGATGTTTTGGTGGCGCCCTCCTATGGTTCCCCCTTGTGACGTCATCACCTTGCAAACAACAAGTTAAATGTTTGTAAATAGCATGGTGGAAGCTTGAAATCATTGCACTCTCAAGGGAACACTGCCAACACCGTCAAAATTAAAGTTCTTTCATTCCTCTTATTTCCGTCGATGACAAATCACCTCTTCGACGCCATAGTCAGCGTTCGGCCAATCGTGGAAGGCCGACCACAGCGACGCTTTCGGTCGCGCACGGGGCTATTACCCGAATGTTTGGCGATGCTGATTGTCATGAACCCGAGCACTCGATTCGGGCTCATGACAATCGAGTACGCCACGGTGTCACGTGACTCGCGGTGCGAAGTCGTGATGTCTTGTTACGTCACGGTTTCAACAACGCTATTATATCCAGTGACGTTCTCAATTTAAATTCAATTGACGGAGTGAGTCACGTGCCTACGTCGCGTGACGTCACGGGGCCACGTGACGTGACATCACTTGACAGCATCTCTTGACGTCACGTAAACAAGTGACATAGGATTAGTCATAGTGCCAATACAAAAGCACCACAAAACCTCACAATTTCTCATACATTGCCGTTCTGTATTGACAGAAATGCCCAGCTGCCAATTTTGAATTCTCAAATATTCATTTTGTAATACTAACAAACAAAAAAAAGGAAAAAAAAAAAGACCGTGAGCCGTTTCGAACCGTTTGCCGTTACATTTTTTTCCGGTTCAGTTCCAAGATGGCGGCGAATATTTTGGTTTGGTTCAGTTCCGGTTCGACTAAAAATAACGGTTTGGTTCCGATTTTTGGTTCGGTTCGGTTCCGATTCGGTTCCGGTTCGACACTCTGAAGAGCATGAGAAGCAAATGAAAAGGCGATGCGAACGGAACCCATAAACGCTATCACGTTTTTTTTTTTTTTTTTTTTGTGCGATGCGTGTAGTTTTCGCAGGAGCGATTTTGCCCACGATTTCGGAAACACCCTGTATATCTATAGTTATCATAATCGCATATCCATAACCGACCTTCATTCGAAACTCAGTTCTTACATGAAAATCATTGATTGAAAGATGCGTTTATTAATGTATGATTGGGCGGATTGGGTCCAGGTTGACTTCGTTTGATGTATGAATGTTGCCAAGTCTTGGAACGCCGTGGCAGCTCGGGCCGTCTGAAACATCGTGTGGTACTTCGTCTAGGGATTGAATATGTTACTTTAATGTGCTATAAAAACCTCAGATGTAAAAAAAAAAAAGAAAAAAAAAAAAAAAAACTTCTCTGATGGCGGTTGGAGGCAGAAAGATTTACATATAGCCCTCCATTCGTCGAGATTTTGTAGAATGTCACATTCCAAAGCATGACTGCATTTCCAAGTCCAAGCGATATATGGCTGCACAAAATTGAAATACAAAAAAAAAAAAATTATTCAGCTAGACCAGGGCTCTCGAAACCCCGGCCCGCGGACCAAATCCGCCCCGCGTATGTCTTGCGACCGGCCCGTGGCTGGCCGTCGTTCTTCCCATGAACCCCCGCCCGTGGCCCGCATCCAGCAGGTCCGCTGCTACCTGCACACTAAAGGCCTGTTCACGCATGCAGCGGAGCGCTATAAGGAGTATTCACTGGACGCCATATTTGTGGTTGCTGTTTCGAGCGCATGCTCAGAACGAGCTCACATCAATATAGCTGCTAAGACCGGCACTCTTGATGGTGCGGAATGCTCGTTGCAAAAAAACTGTGGAAGCTCGCCATCAGCACGCGCTCAGCATTCGCGCACACAGCTATGGCCGCCAGTGAATACTCCCTATAAAAGCATACCGCTGACCTCGCGCTAAGCACGTGCTTGTATCGCACCGTCAAAACTGTTGCTCCTGGCAGGCGACAAGTGAGCAGCGCTACATCAGCGCTTCGCTGCATGTGAAAACCGGCCGCGTAAACGAAGATACCAGAAAAAAGGAGTGAAAACTGCCTGTCGTAAGATGTGTCCTCTCGTAATTTTATTCATTGGACGTTTCCGACACCAGCATCAGCATCCTTAGTCCCCTCTTTCATATCTGTGTGACTATACGTATGTTCATAGAAGACTTTGGCGTCCCCGTGTATATGTGCTTAGTGTCCGGTGTCGTATCCATTACATATCGTGAGCAACAGTTTTGTCATTCTCATCAGTCTTCTGCCCTGTTGGAACATGCCAAAGGTCCCACGCACTTTGATTTACGCCCGATGAGTTTCCTGGGTCCCAGTTAATGTGTAATGTCATATTTAGCTAAATATTAAATTTCAAAGTAAAATCGATCTGTTTATGCATTTATTTCATATTTTATATATTTTTTTTTACTTCGACTTTAAATTTTTTTATTTAAATACTTATTATGGATTATTTATTTTCTGTTTCCTCATTTGTATTACTTGTGCATTTTGCGGCCCTCAAGACAGCGACAGATCTCCCGTTCGGCCTGAATTAGCCAGAACGTTTGAAGCTAGACGAAGCTATAGACGTATGCGCACGATCAGGTGCGCGGTCGAATTGGTCAGGCGTGTAGAAACTTTACTGAGCACTGAAATAATACATTTTCAAATGACAGTTTCGAAGTTACGCTGGTATTGATTGATCGCTGTGAGGTTTAGAAAACCATGGCAAGAATAATGAAACGAGAGCAGGTCGATGAAGAAACAAGAATACAAATATTAGAACAATTGTAAATTCTCGCGATTTCATCGAGTGTTCAAGGCTAAAAACATTCCAAACGCTGTACGATAAAAAAAAAGAAATAAAAAAAAAATACTGGTCACTGAGAGTGGTTCACGTTTAGTGGAATAAATACATCCATCAATTGCTGTACACTATACAAGATCATGTATGCAGTAACAAAGTGTAAAGCAAGCGTTCTCGTTACGTAACACGAGCGTTGTACGGTGCAGCGTTAGGCCTAACCGCGACGTCGGGATTGTCTTCCAGAGAACGGTACACAACCAATCCCCTGTAAAGGCAGTACCTGCAAAAAAAAAAAAAAGAAATCGTCAGAGGAAGGTCAGAGTTTGTTCGTGAGGCCGCGAAGCGGGAGCAAAGTAAGGGGTGTAATATCTTACGTGATTGCGATGAATGGCACTGCCATGAGCCCTGCCGAGATGAAGAAAGGTAAGCCAGGGTTTATTTCGAGAACAGAGTTGAACACCAAGCTGGCGAACACATTCCCAGCTATCGGCACCAGAGATTCGCAGGAACTCCAGAAGGAGAAGACCTTGCCTGCAAACGCCGGAACAAAAAACAAGCAGAAAAATTATAACGAACATGTATCAGTCCATCTTCAGTTGCTCCAGTACGAGCCTTCCCACCCAACCCACCCTACCTTCGATAACACTTCAGCGTGGGCATCAAGCAGCTTTCAAACGCGCGCGCCAAAAATGGGTCCGTAACGTCATCACTACGTCACCATATATCGTTCGGCTATCTCTCCTCTCTTTGGCTCCGGGAGGCAAACGCGCGGCCATTTGCTAATCTTTGGTTAGCATATGGCCGCCGTGGGTAGCGATTTCAAGTTTTTCATTTCCAACCTTTTATTCGAGTAAGGGTGAAATCCTTGTAACCGTAATGCACGTTCGCCGGCAGCCACCTCTGCGCAATATTTTAGCTTGATACGTTTAGAAACCGGACTTTCGCCGTCCCTTCAAGCCGACGCAAAAAATAGAACTCGTCGTGCATTCCAATTCGAAGAAAATAATACTTTATTGAAAAGAGTCTAGTTTCCGAGCGGAAGTTGTCCGGGGGCATAGCTCAGTGGTAGAGCATTCGACTGCAGATCGAGAGGTCCCCGGTTCAAACCCGGGTGCCCCCTCAGACATTTCTTCATTTTGTTTTTACTTTTTAATTGATTTGGCTTTTACCATGCTGTACCCATGACACGCTTACAACTGACTTATAACCATTTAGAACAGATTTTTTGCTAATGCTAGCCTTGATATATTTCATGAAAAGCGTAAATCTCAACGATGTCTTGAAACCTCTTTTTTTTTTTTTTTTTTTTTTTATATCCTGTTTAGCGTTGCATTTCCGAAGGAATAAGTGCAACACTAAGGAGGCGTCAAGCTGTTGGTGGGTCACTGAAAATAAGAATAAACATACCGCCCGCCATATATGCATAATTTTCAGCCGAGTGCTACCCGCCTAACCAAATATAGCCAACCAACTTCTGCGAGCTCGAAGATCCGTCGACTGCCTGAAAATTCGGCCGGCCTGTTTCGTAACAGTTATTTATTATCTGGTACAATAAATACTTTGAATGAGTGAAGATTGACAAATGCACCCGTAGTAATATTATGAACTAAAGGGGGGGGGGGGGGGGATTATTAAATTTATTGCATTAGGAAAACAAAAAAAGAAAAAATTGGCAAAAAAAAATATATATATAGACCGACACGCGGAGCGGCTCTGTTTACCAACACGGCCGGAAGGCCGCGCATGCGCGGTAGCTATGTGGGCAAAAGCAGCCCGGCTGGCCCGGCTGTCCGTGTTTTCGCCATTGCGCTCTATGGCGTGCGCTCGTTGTTGACGTTGTAGGGACGCTTGTATCTTTATTTGTGCGTCGTATTTCCTCATAACGTATGTCGTATGCTATGCCCGACTATTTGAGCTTGTTGCCCGAGCCTGAACGGTAGCGGTATCGGAACAAACTGTGCGTGGACGGCGTTGCCTACGAGGATCCGTACGCCGTAAACAAGACCTGCTGGACTTCCGACGTAAAGTTGCTGCCACGGAAGTCAACGGCTCAGGTCGTCGTTTATTTAGTTTTTTCGCCAAGCCAGTTCACGGCCCACACGGTGCAGGCGTACTAGTCTCTCGAGGTCTACGATTACATCGAGTCGGTTTCCGCACTGCCGGCGGGATCAGCAGACTGTGGGTCTGCGGAAGTGTGTGTATTCATTAATTGATTAAATACACAGAGCGTCTTCAAGTCAAGGTATGATATTTTTCATACCCTCATGACCACAAGGCATTACAACCAATAAAGGTTTGTCCGTTCTGCAGTCTTGACGGTAACAGGTTACAAGTAACGGCGTTACCAGGAACGCGTTACTTCTTTCAGTAACGTAGTAACCTACTCGTTACGTTTTCGGCACAGTAACGGGTAACGTACTTATGTTACTATTTCAAGTAACGTAGTTACGTTAGTCTTTACTACTTCCCAAGTCTTAAAGAAATTACACTTCAATTGTTTCCGTGTTTTAGGCGTCAAGCCATGTTTTTCTTTGCGTTTTTTCTCGTAAGTATTTAAGTGAAACCGTGAAAGGAGCTAAAGTAATTATGTTCAGTTTCTGCGTGAATATAATGTTTCTTGATATATGACCTGTATCGTCAAAACCGTAAAATGTGTTACATCATAATTTAGAAAAGTAACGCAGAAGTAACGTGCCTTACTTTTTATCGGTAGCGGCAACGCGTTCTTTTATTTTTAGATAACGTAGCTCAGTAACGCGTACCTTTTATTTGCAAGTAACGAGTAACGTATTTCGTTACTTTTTTTTTTTGGTAACGCCTACAACACTGCCGTTCTGTCGTCGATCCCCTTCTGCACGGTAGCACTGGCGTAGCGAGCCTCCGACGAGCGCTTGGGGGGTACCCGGGTGCGTTGTGCGCGAACACCGTGGAAACAAAATCCGGGTGGTCTCGATCAGACAACGGTTTCCCTGCACATAGGCAAGCCTCGGGACGGAGATTGAAATGGAAGCCGCACTTGCCTCCAAGAAAGTGTTTGCCGCACAAACAGTAGTTCGTGCGAGGCGACCATTCTTTTCGATCCACAGATATTATCCACCTTCTATGCGTTTCAGAGTCTGCCGGGAACTTGTGGAAACTCACTCCGCTGCTTTTCTTGAACATTTCGGTGCAATTAACGGCAACGCAGCTTTGCGGCATGCTGAAATGCTATGACGCCCATGCGAAACGTGCGCGCTTTTGCCCACACCCCCCGGCTCCGGCGCGATCGCAGCGCCGCCGCAGCTCCGTGACGTCAAGCCCGCGTTTGCACGTGACGTCATTCAAAGAGCGCTACGATGACCACCAGAGAGGAGGTCGAGAAGAAGCTCCGCTCTTATCAGGGCCCCCTTTTGTGCCGCCCGGATTTGCCCAGTCGTCGCTATTCTCCCCCCAGAAGATTAGAGAAGATTAGCCCGTCACTCAAAATTCTTACAGAAGCAGCTTCCCTCTCCCCCTCTTACATGGAGGCCAAAAATATGCGACGTGACGTCAGTGCAACCTATGTATATATACACGACCATGCTCTGTACAGTCGTTCATTGCCATTAAAAACACGTTGCATATATGATTGCGAAAGAACATACAGTTCCTCTACGCAGGGGTTTATCCAAGATAGCAGAGCGCTGCTTTCGTGGGCCAGAAAACACTATGTGTAATGTTTAGTGGTATTGTATCGCATTGTATTGTATTGTACTGCATGGTATTGCACAGGGTGTCGAACCGGAACCGAACCGAACCGAAAACCGGAACCTAACCGGTATTTTTTCCGGAACTGAACTCGAACCCGAACCGTTATATTGTTATCGCGATGAACACGAACCGGAACTGAACCGGAAAAAAAAATAGGCTCCTTGCACAGGACGTCACTTCCGTTGCCCTCCAAAGAAGAGGGGAAGAAGGAGCTCCCCTCTTATCAGGATCCTCCTTTGTGCCTCCCGGATTTGTACAGGCGTCGCTATTCTCCCCCCAGAAGATTATAGAAGATTAACCCGTCACTCAAAATTCTTACAAAAGCAGCTTCCCTCTCCTCCTCTTACTTGGTGTTCAAAAGTGTGCGATGTGACGTCAGTGCAAGAAGCCTATAAGGGTTACCGGCTCATGTCAAAACGGTTCGGCCACGCGCTGTTGACAATGAATGTGCTATCAATGCCATTTGTTTTTTAAGTGCCGTCAACTGACACACACCTCGCTTACATATTTTTCTTCTCCACTCAGTCTTAGGAATATAAACGCTGCATCCATGAATCTTGACAAACGCTGCATCCATGAATCTTGACATAGGAACCAGTATTGCGCTGGTCGCGGCTTGCACGGAAAAAAAATAAATTAAAAGGCTGTGCAAAAAAAAAAAAAAAAAATGGCGTCATGGGATTTCATTTTTTTACAATCTCGTAAATCCTAAATGCTGCTGTGTGCTCATTTCATAACACGTTTCTAAAACGCGCGAGTTCTTGAAGCTTGCTTCCATCGGAACGAGAAAAGAAAAGGCTGTGGAGTTTGATAATAATGCATCTCGTTTCGTACAGGCACTTAGAAGCTAACATATTTGTGAAACAGCGAACTCTTCTATTTTAATATTTATCCTCTTACGTCCTTCAGGCGTCGCGTTCGGTGAACTGTTTTTCATATCCCGTATCTTGTTTAATGAAAACTTCTTTAAGGGTCTAATTTGAGTTACCGAAGGCTAGTTCAAATAAAGAAAGCTGTATTTTCTCCCCTCTGTTCCTTCAATTGCTTACACGCCGAGGTGGCGGGCTAGTTAGCGAGTTCTACTTGTAAGTGGGTTTGTAAGGAGGTCGCGGATTTTACAGCTACTGCGTCGGACCCAATTAGATGAAGTCCGAATGTGTAAACGTCGGTGAGGTAACCAATGAGTGCACATAGAGAAACCATTCCTGGTAGATATCCCTGAGCCTTACACTACGATGTATCCCGTTTCGTATGTGCTGATTTCAGATGTTTTATTTGTAATTTATTTCGATAATTTATAATTTCCGAACCGGTTCGCGAACCGGTTCAGCGCCCCGAATCGGTTCGCGGATCGAATTAATCGAACCGGAACTGAACCGGAACAAAATGAATTGACCTGAACCTGAACCGTAACCGAACCCGTATTTTTTTCGGTTCGACACACTGGTATTGCATTAGTTTGCTCTCCTTTGTGCGCGTGTGCGCGTGTGTGCGTGCGTGCGTGCGTGCGTGCGCGTGTGCGTCTGCGGGCGCGTGTGTGTGTGTGTGCGTGTGTGTGTGTGTGTGAATCAATTATGCCAACGGAAGTTTCTCATGGAAACGAAAGGGCGGACCTATCTTTCTGCCGCAATTCTGTAAGTTGGGAGTAAGTCTGTGTGTATGCTTTTACTTATCCTAGGGAAAGCTGATTCATTCTGGGCGACCACTGCAATTAAACCTCCAAAGATAGCGTCATATCCAAACTCCGTGTTTCAAAAAAAACAAACAAAAAAACATGCGTTAGTATGTTTTTTTTTTATTCG